ATTCATTATCTTTCTAAACATGTCCAAACGGGTAATAAATAACTGCTATAAAATGCACCAAATATACCTAAAAGCTTTTTGCAATAAATATTATTAAATGGTCAATAAATTACATTTTAATTAGTTCTGTCTGACAGGTGGGGTGATAAATTATCTCTTTTCGACATTTCGATTGTATATTATTCAATTATTCGACCTTGTGAATGTTACGGGATATATTATATACATATCATGTATTTGAATATTATATTTTTAATTTCCATGTCCATAAGTAGGAGAAGTAGAATAGCTATACCGATTCTGGCCCACTAGTACTATCGGCTGCCGTTGTTGGCGCCACCAGCTAAGCTTGCTAGGTTCAGGGTTAAACTTCGTTTTAAATTGTCGCAGGGTCACACACACGTCGTGAAACCAGTAAGATCTTTCATAAAGCCTCCTGGGCCCATAACCTTACTATTTGGATGTGCATTTGAGAGTTCAGACTTAAGTCGTCGACTTGAAGATACACACGTGACATCAGGGCCGCCATTTTGGTTTCAGATGGTATTCCTTACTTAGTGTGAGTGTAATTTTTATTTATAATGTAAAAGTAACATTTAAAAATTCAAATTTACTGTTTTTACTACGAAATTAGCATTTGGCATAATTATCATTAAATAAATATTTCGTGTTCAACATTATTTTTTTTTAATACCTATTACCTACTGGACCGAACCTATATGTTCCAAATTTCAGCTCGATTGGTAATACCTACGCAAAGTTAGTAGAGAGTACTCTACTAACCTTGACCTCCCAAGCAGCATTTTTGGTTCCAAAAACCATTACCAAAGTGGTGATAACTTTAAATTAGTTAGGTATACTAAACAGCTACTTTAATTTTTACTTAAAAGTAATTCTAACTTTTAAATAGCAAATTTTAAAACAGAAACTTCATTCTTTCCTCAAATGGTTTCTATAAAGTAATAAACATTTAAGTAAAACTTGGTTGCCCCAAGAAGACTTTACAACTTTAAAAAAAGGTGTTATAAGTAAAAAAAACTTTCAAGTAAATTTAATTTGTAGCAGTTACTTTCGGTTGCTACCTAAAGATTACATTATAATTATTTTTACTTTGTAGTCCCTTTGCAAGTTAAAATCTCGAAACTGGAACATGAATTAAAATCTACAAAGTTAATAACTTAAAAGTTATTATTTTAGTATTTGGAACGTTTATGGTACTAACCACAACTACCGTAAAGTAAATTAAGGTGGAAAAAAACTTTAAAGTAGGGAAAACTACTTCAAAGGAAAATGCTTCTTATCGGCCATTTTTTACTGTACCACGTGATAATGTAAATAATAAATTATTTTAATTGTTTGTTAATGGTTGTTTACTTTTTAATAAATAGTAATTTTGTTGGTAATAATTAAATAAAAAATTAATAATAAATATTAAGATTTTTTTATTTATAAACATTATTAAATAAATAATTTGTTTATACTTAAATATTGATGAAGCGCATTTATTTTACAAAAAAAAAATTCATACGTTCAACAGTAAAATTTAAAGGGTTTATTAATTTACCCGCATAATTAGACATTACATTGTTATTCTGGAAGTTATAAACTACCAGTACATATTTAATAAACGACGACATTGAAAAGCCAAGTCCGTAGGGGTTCCATTTAAAAAAGGAGGGATAGTATAATCTGATATAAGTTTGATAAAGACAGTTAATATAGAAGTAAAAACAAATAAATAAAAGTAATTATAACGCCCTAGCAACGATATTGGAACGTTCTAGTAACGTAGCAGCTACGTTCCAAATAGTAGCAGGGTTTATAGCTAGTGACATATTTGTTAACTTTTTGGAACTCGATAATTGTTCCCCACTTTAGTCGTAACTTAGTAATAAAAGAGTATTATAAAGAGACCGGCGACTGTCGCAAAACACTTTAAAGTTTCTTCAATAGTCCCATATACGTAACAAATACTTAAATTGTTGCTTAGGGAGTGTACTCTACTAACTTTGACCTTACATAAAGCGTTTTACAAAATCCATAATAAACAAATATTTTAAAGAAAACGTGCCTATATATATACTTTAGATACTAAAGAAGAATAATACAATAGAGTGTTTAAAATGGTTCGATGTGATTTAAAACCACAGGTGTTGGGTTTCGCAGGTAAAATAAAATAAATCTAAAGATAACTTACCTACATGTTTGAATTTATAACACATTTTTATTTACGCAGGTCAACTTTTATAGAAAGTAAAAAAAAATAAGGCCTTCAGAAGGGCTACCTGTTAGCTAATTTTACGAGTGGGTAGTACTACCTAGGTAGTTCTAATTTTAAACCTATATTCAAAGAATAAATATAATTAAAAACAGGTATATTTAATCTTGCTGCTACACTGAGAAAAAAATGGGACAAATAAACTGTTTACCTAATACTTTTATTTGTAGTGAATATATTGTTTATTACCTCTAAATAGTCGAAATAATAACGATAAATATACTTTAGTAAAACTTTATATGTCGGGAATACAAATATATTTAGGATAAATAAACTGTACCCTTGTCCCATATTTAAATATTTTTTTTATTTGGGAGCAATAAACTTTTTTCTCCGTGTAATACATTAATTTAAATATTTCCACCTGTGACTGTTGCTCGACGAACTCTTTTTTCGGTTGAACACTCCCGTTTGTAGTAAACTGCTTGACTGTACGGTGAAATGAAGTACGTGATCGAATTTTATCCGGAAAACGCTGAGCGTAGATCTTAACAGCATCATCAAGATTCCTGCCTGCTTCTCCATAAATCAAAATCATTTCTATTTTTTCTTCCACTGTTAAAAATTCCATTATGAGTAACTGCTTAACGAAAGAAGGTCTTTTTGTTTGCAAATTAATCTTCGAACTAAATTGACTAAATAATGCTTAACTATGTATACCTCAATAATAATTATTATTTATAACTAAATACTATTTTTTATACCTCAATTAGGATTAAATTAATTATTTGAGAAAATAATGTTTTTTTACCTTAAATGAGGTATTTTTATTAAAAATAGTACAATAATCCTTTAAATTAAAGGAATAAATGCTGGCAGGTAAAAAGTGACCATGGTGCGCAATTGATAATTATCACCGGATGAAATAATGTATAAAACTTAAACCAAAGGAAACTTAAATATTAGTTAAAAAATCGTGGGTACTACGTGGATAATTATTACCAAAAAAGTGATATTTTTATAGAAAAATTATTGCAGAATCGTATATAGAAGAAAAATCTAACAAAATTGATTTTTTTTCATTACAAATATGAAACAATTTTCAAGTTAAATGACACCCGGTATATATTACAAATATATCAAAGATTAAATATATGTCAGAGATTAACGAGGGCGACTGAGGGTTAGGCTGCCTAGACATTTTAAAAGAATGCACGACACTGGTTTTTAATACAAAGTTATTTAATGTAACACGTAGTCATATAAATCCGCACAGAACACAAAATTAATATTAATCGTCGCAAACTAATTATTAGCTATAAAAAGGAAACCAACGATCCGCGACCCGCTAGACCAACAATAGTCAATCAAAAATCAATTCAGAGATTCGACTTGTCTCAATCGAACAAAATGACTCTGGGCTCGTTTCGTTCGCTAAGCTTATCGACAAGCGGTTTCCCTTAAAAAAAAACATTTTACCCCTCCTAACATATTTTCTACGTCTTAAAGAACTATAACTAATTTGTCTAGACAAATTCACATAAATTATATGAACTAAAATAAACGTATCGTATTAGTGTTAGACTTAATCATAAACACCTAATACGAGAAAAATGACATTCTCCACATGCTTGGGACTTTTTGTTTAGCCTAAACATCGTCACACAAATCTTATCAACAAAAATAAACAAAAGGGTGAGAAAGAATCATGAGCGTACACCAATAATTAATAAAGGCGCCGACATATATATTATATTTAAAATGTTTTTTGACATCTTTTAACTGTCATTTTTGACATCTATCGTAGCCCATTTTGGACATATGTCACCTGTCATTTTTGACACCTGTCAAAAAGTTTCACTTTACATTTTTTTATTTTGGCACTTAAATATCTCGAGTGGAGAAAATTTGGCTGTAATTCATTTTTTTATTTTAACATCCACTTTCTTTATTTTAATTTACCTTTGCATTGATTTATTATTTGACATCTTCTAACTGTCCTTTTTGACATCTGTCGTAGCCCATTTTGGACATCTGTCACCTGTCATTTTTGACACCTGTCAAAAAGTTTCACTTTACATTTTTTTATTTTGGCACTTTGCATTGATTTATTATTTGACATCTTTTAACTGTCATTTTTGACTTCCGCCATAGCTCATTTTCGGCATCTGCCAGTCCATGTTGGACAGCTGTCACCTGTCATTTTTGACACCTGTCAAAAAGTGATAGCACAGTGTTTTTTGTATTATATCATTGGCTCAATATTACTTAGGTACATATTTAATAAATATGTATTATTTATATTTAATTTGTAACATTGGTTACTTGCTTCCCCAAGTTGGCAACACTGCTAAGAAGAGCGAAATTGGTCCATGAAATTTAGCAATAAAACATACCTACTTAATTTAGGTACCGTTAAAAATTTCTCTCATGGTGAAAGTGCACACTATGTTCTATAATAATTTATAATAAAGCATACTTTAAAAAAATAATTTAGGAGACAAACTATAACAATAAATGTCTATGTCTATCATACAAAGTCTGTCTATGGTTTCAATAATTGTCTTAACCATAGACATAGATATGGACATATTAATACGTCTATGGTCGTAACATGTCGGAGATAACCAGCCAATAGTGAAATAAATAAAATGACAAACAAGTTACTACCTGTCTAGACAATGTCTAGTAGATATGTCTGTCTGCATGAAAGAGTATTTTAAAATCTGTGCAGGTGTAGGAGAGACTCTCTTTTGTAGTGTTCTCTGTCTTTGTCTCTGGGCAGCCTGGGCAGTGTTGTCTGGAATTTCATAGATTGAGGTTGTGAAGGCTGCAGTAATAAATACGATACCACGTTATCAACCACCGGACAGCATTTTGTGGTGTTTTGAGATTAATTATTTGATAATTTGCTTAACTCTATTCCTTATGTAAAAACTGTACGTATTTACAAGTTTATAAACAACACAAAACAAGTTAGTGCAGTGAATAATGTAGTTTATAGTTATAAAAAACTGCATATGATTGTAAGGTGTTTTTGTCGAACATTGTTTAAAAATAAGTGCAATAAAAAAGGATATACCTACCTAAACCACCTAATTAAAAGGTAAGCTATGCAAACTGTTCAAAATATACTATATTTGCGAAAATTTTTCTGTCATTATTTTCGTTTTGTTTACTTTTACTCTACTGTCTCTCTCCCACTACAGAGACAATTTCCGCAAGTGTAAAAAACGCGGGATTATTTTATCAACTATCATTTACTTCATATTTAAATTATTTTTAATTAACCTACACAGTGTATCTTTTTATGTATCTACCTATTGGTGTATTTTATATTTGAATAGCTACATACAAGGTCGTTTAAATTTGGTAAAAGTTGGTAAAAGTTCCCTAATTACAAGTATATTAAGTAATATAATTTAATTAAAATGACATTTCAAAAATTAAAATAAATCAGCGGTTCTTACATAATTTTAAAAAACTATAACCCTGTCAAAACCAAAAATCGTTAAACTTTGTTATTCCTGAGAATTAAAAAAAATAAATAAACATACATTATTTGCTTTTCTTTGAAATTGGTTAAGTGCATAAATTAAACACACAAAATGATAATATTTTAGATTTTATAACAGGGATAATTTGGCAACGTCGTATTTTTACCACGTTAATCAAAAGGTATTTATCATAGACATACTAATATTTAGATGTCTTTTTATAATTAACCATTTTGTTTGTTTTTTGATTTGGCCTTGTTTTTTTCATTGTGTTTACGAGATTTTAAGTGGCTTTTACTTAATTTGCATATTATGTCGCTTTTTGCTGTTTGTAAACCACAAACCTGTATGCAAATAATTTAGATATGGTATATGTGCGGAAGTATGTGGTAATATGTGTGGAAGTATGTGGTAATATGTGGTACAGCTTGTTTAAATTATTAAATTAAAAAATTATAGTTATTCCTAAGAATATTTGGTTGATACAATTGTATAAAGGATTCAATCGCCTCAATTTTTGTATCAAATTGGATACAGACTAATTATAAACAATTATTTTTTATCGGGTGATGTAAAGTTTTGTTGCATTGTCTTATTTTATAATTATGTATCAATAATAATAATCAATTTATTTTACCTACTATATTTAATTTGACCTGACATTTTTATTACACATTATATTGCATTACTATTGTCCACTACTATACCACTTGTTATATACAGGGTGTTACTTAAGTAAGTACAATACATTTAACATGCGATTCTTTGAGTGATTCTAAGAGAAAAAGTTTACATAATCATGGGTCGGAAAATGCTTCGTTTTCAAGATACAGGGTGTTAAACTTTTTTTAAATTATTTTTTCTTAAATATCTTAAATATCCTTTACCCAATTTTGTTGTTATTTGACAGTATTAATTGTAGTGTTAAGGGGCTATAGCTATATATATGGCTATATATTATTTTTTTTCTACAACTTTTTTTCAAAAATATTGTTTAAGGTTATCATGCTTTTGTCTTAAATTTATAGTGCGTACTTGAGTAACACCCTGTATATATTTTATTTAATACTAATATTTATTGAGTTGGCTGTGACCTGAGTTTATGATACACATAGTTTTTGTTTGTTGCTGTACATAAAAAGTTTTTTAAATTAAATTTTTTATTTGTTTTTATACATTGTTTTTTGGTAGAATCCATTTGTTACAGAACCTATATTATATTAACAACTTAAAAATTAGTTAGGTATTAAATATTTTCAAATTAAATTACAATAATTTTATATTTATTTTTTCAGAAGTACATACTCATTGTAACCAACATTAATGGAGGAAAATAAAATAGTATGTCGATTATGTTTAAAACAAGAATTTCAACAGCTGTCAATTTTATTGACTCAAGTTTTGGCTGTCAAAAATCTAGTTAATGTAAGTATATATATACATACAACTTTTTTACAATGTTTCAAATACCTATCTATCTATGTATATATAATATATACTGCAATGATTTTTTTAAACCTTTAGACACGTTGATTTTGTTTGCGAGACGGACATTTTTTGGCTATATTGGCCTGTTTAACCAAAATTTTTATTCGTACCTATAATCTAGAGGTAAAATATACATAATTGTTTTTATGTGATTCTTCGTCCAACCTAATATCACTCCAACATCTAAAATTCAATACATAATACTACACACATAAATATAATTATGTAATAATTATTACCTACACATGCATTTGGTGGTTAATTCTATCAAATTCCACTAATTTAGCAGCTCTTTCATAATTCCAAACCAAATTAACTAACACATATATAATAATAATATATAATATACTAATTGTTTTTATGTGATTCTTCGTCCAACCTAATATCACTCCAACATCTAAAATTCAATACATAATACTACACACATAAATATAATTATGTAATAATTATTACCTACACATGCATTTGGTGGTTAATTCTATCAAATTCCACTAATTTAGCAGCTCTTTCATAATTCCAAACCAAATTAACTAACACAAGAAACAATATTCCAAAATTTCGGACACTTTCGTGAGTGGGGGATATTTTTAAGAATAGGCTAGTCGTACCAATATTTACTAATCTTAGAATAAATATAATTATATCTATATATATATACTTATATCCAGTGTAGTTTTATATCTTTAAGAACAAAATAGAGGGAATTCTCCAAAATTTGGTCAAATCGATTGTTAATCTTAAATTAAGAATAAGATTATTTCATTTAAAGTCTTTTTTAACATTTAACAGGCAAGAATAAGATCTGCTTGTTTAAAGAAAGATTAATATTTAGTTTAATGTTAGTTTTAGCCTTGACAATATTAGGTCAATCATCTTGTTTCAACTGTACCTACTTGATTTTAAGCTAAGAAATAAAATCTTTTTATTTTTAGGATAGGTTAATATTTAAAAGAAATTTAATTTATTCGTAAAAATTATACTCAAATCAAGTGAATTTTTTTAAGAATAAAGGTATTCTCACATTTAAATAACATTTTTTTCCGTGTAGTATTACGAAAACATGTCTTTTTATATTTCCCAGGTCACTTGATGTGCACATGGGAGTGGCTAAATTTTATTGTTTTAGTGGGAGGTCAAGTATAACATTTTGTTATTTATTTTCAGGGTTGCTCAAGAGTTCTACTAAAGCAAATAATAAAAGAATGTTTTCCTTTTATGGTACGTATTGCACAAACTCGAATGGGTCTACGAGGTGTGTTCAGAACATAACGGGAATTGTTAAATTTCGCGGGTTCGAAGGGTCCGGTTGTCATAAAATTTTCTTTATTATGTTGGTATACATGCCCCCGAAGTATGATAAAAACTTTAGCTGTTTTCATTGTTTACTTTGTCTGTGGCAGCCGCTAAGGTTAGACGTGTTTTATGAGCTCGGCGATTTTTCGTTCGTTAAAAGAAATGGATCAAAGAATTTGTATCCAATTTTGCTTAAAAAATGAAATAAATTCTGTAAAATGTTAACAAAGGCCTATAGTGAGTCGAGTTTACAAGTGGTATAAGAGTTTCCAAGATGGCCGTGAAGACGTTGAAGATGAGGAACGCCCCGAACGCACAAGCACATTAACAACCGATAAAAACATGGAAAAAGTGAAAGAAATGGTTATAAACCATCATAGAAGTCGCTGATGATGTTGGTATATCGATTGGCTCATCCCATGAATTTCGAATGTTTTGGGTATGAAACGCGTGGCAGCAAAATTTGTTCTAAAATTGTTAAATTTTGAACACAATTTTTGGCCAAAAACAATACTGTAATGATTCCCCAGCCTCCATATTCGCCAGACATGCCTCTGTCTGACTTTTTCCTATTCCCAAAAATAAAGAGAACCTTAAAGGGCCGTCGTTTTGCAAGCATAGATGACATTAAAAGCGCATCGCTGAAAGAACTAAAGGCTATCCCAAAGATCGAGTTTTAGAAATGTTTCGAGTATTGGAAGAAGAGCTGGCACATGTGCATAATACCCAATGGGGACTATTTTGAAGGCGACACCATTAATGTAGACGAATAAATAAATATTTGTTTCAAAAAACGAAAATTCCCGATATTTTCTGAACACACCTCGTACATAGTTTATGCGCATGATTTTATTAATTGTTAGTCTGTAAAAGTATTAGGAGCATATACAATTTGATTGGCTTTAATTAATACAATTTATCATCTTGTTTATGTTTATAATTCGTAAAGAATTCATTACAATATACAGGGTGTTATGTAATTAATGTAATATATTAAAATGATCGACTAGGAACTTTAGGCTAATCTGGTTGCCTAATTTAATTTATTATGTTATGGTTGGTAACAACCAGCCTTTCCAGATTCTGTCGAAAAAAGTTGCCAGATTTTGTTTAAAGTTTAACTTGTGAATATAATATTTTTTTTATTAAAAAACAGTAGAACTACTAACGCAAAAATGATAAAGGAAAAGTTTTCTTGTTTTGGCGTCTACTATCATCCCCCAAAGTATGACAATTAATTAAGTGAATCCCTGTATTCATAACTTTTTCGTTTTTTCAGGATATGCGTAAAATGATCAATGCTACAACTTACATATGCCTTCCATGTTATAAATCTCTAAGCCAATTTAGGGGTTTAAAGTTTAAATTCATGCGAGCTGAATTGGAGTTAAAAGAAAGAGGTTCTTTGAAATGCAGAGGATGTGGGAATCCCAGACCAACGCACAAATTTTACGAATTTTCGAGTTTTCACTACTTTTACACAAACCTAGTGCACAAATTTTTTAATCATGTGAGTATTTTTAAACAATATTTTTACCACTAACGAACTAAGGAAATCCTGGGTTGAGTTTTTATCGGTTTTCCAATAAACAGTGTTAATCTGAATGAAGATATAATTTCTTACAGTCCCTGTAAATCTAAATTGTATCTATTAGAAACAATAAATACACATTTTAGTAATGATTAACGTGAAAAGTGTAAAAATTTCAATTCAGTAATAATCGTCAAACAAATAAGTCGTCTAAATTTAAAAACCATTTAGAATTGACTTCTTCACTCAACGCTAAAAGCTTATTAATAATATGGTTCTATTAATGTAAGAAAATATAATAACCTTATTTAACTAATTGGGTCATTTTCAAGAAACACCAGCTTTCAGGAAAATGAAGATCAAAATTTTGTTAGCTAGCTTTATATGTCTCCACTGTGTTACCAATTTGAAATCCAAAATTTAATTCAATAAAAAGAGTTGTTATAAAAATAATTTGAAATAAAATGTACTTAGTTCACAAACTTTTGACTCCAATTTTATTTTTTATTAAAAATTGTATGCCTTTTTTAAATATTTATGTTAGTTAAGTTACTTTTTAAAAGACACCATTCCGATTCTTTGTTAAAAAACAATACCATTAATATTTTCTTTTAGTCACTGTATTAGTGAGTTAAACTCTAATTTATAAACAGGTATTACCAAGTGATAGTAAAATCATTTTAAGGATTTTTTTTAACAAAAACTAAAAAAAGTAACGAAATAGACATTGGTATCACAACGGACTGGGGTACACAAAGGACTTAATCAGATAACGTAAAAAAGAAACTATATAGGGTGGTACGATTTTAGAGTAATGCATAAACAAAATCCCTTGTAGTGGTGCTCACTTGCAGAATAACAACTTAGATTTCTAAATTATAGACACCCTTTTTCTTTGACTATAAGCTGGTGTCTTTTAGTACTTGTATATTGCGTGGAATTTTCCCTTGGATGTAATCTATATCATGAGTTGTAATCACAAATAATTTTAAATTGATTTATCATAAACTACTTTTAATAAAAAGCGAAGGTAAATATCCACTTTGTTGTCGAAAAATTCTATTGCGTTACCCTAAATTTCATTGCGTTACCATAAGGTAACGTAATGGACTCGGTAACGCAGTGGAAAACGTTTTGTGAAACCATATTTAAAAAATAATAATAAGACATTACAGTCATTAATTACTCTCAATGAGCTTTAGTGCCCTAAAATAAACATAAACATGAAAAATAGTATTTTTTCTTACCTTATTTTTATTATTTTTTTTTGAGTAACTTAGCAGACAAACAATTATTACATTCACGTTACCCGCACCTGTTTCAACCGATATCTTCTTCCTGATTGAATAAATAAATTCAGCTGGGTAATGTGTACGTCCGAACATCATTTGTTATTCACGTGAGTGCCAAAAAAGTTGCCATATATATGTTTTTTAAATATTCTATCGGTAACGCGACGGACGTAACGAAACGGAAAAAATGTCTGGGACATGAGTCAAATTTAAAAAAAGTAGATAAAAATTAATTATTTTATATATAAATTGTTTACTTTATTAACTAAGGATGTTATGGATTGCTATAAAGCAACACAAAGTTCTGGTTGTTCAATATTAAAAAAAAAACATGTATGTAAGTTTTATAAAACGCTAATGGGACATGCGAAAATGTGTGTTTCACAAGTTTCAAAGTTACAAAATTAAAAAAATCAATAAGATCCGATAATTTTTAACAAAGTTATTGGAATTCAAACTTACGGACAGCGGAAGGCGGGTGTTTTTTGAAAACGACCCAATTATAATAATTTGACTTTTTTATAATTATTAAGACGCCCTTTTGGTTTAGTTTTAGAACATTTCACAGTAAATTTAAATTTAAGAACCATAGACTTAACAATTTTTAGATAGATAACTAATTATTAATATACAATTTTTTTAATTTCTAAAAATCATTTGTGATGGGAGGTAAATATTTTTTTTGTTTCAGAGCGTCAAATTGGTTAATTTATGCACAGTATGTTACAATTTAATAAACGATGCCATTCCATTTGGCCGACAATGTTATAACACGTCACGAAAAATCGACATTTTCATTAAAACATTCAAGATTAAAAATAAACACTTAAATATGCTATACGAAGTTCAGCAGCATTTTTCTCATAAACTGCCTTACTGGGATGAAAGTATGGATTTTGGAAATACATTTGGTGCTAACAGTACTAACATCGGTAACTGTACTAGGGTTAGTAGTAACAGTACTACTACTTCTACTGTACCTTATTGGAATTTTAATGAAAGTACTGTTGGTGATAATAGTACTACAAATTCTTCTGTGCCTAATTGTCATTTTATTGAAAGTACCAATGTTGGTTATGGTGCCAATAGTACTACAAATTCTTCTGTACCTAATTGGCATTTTAATGACAGTACTAATATTGGTAGTACTTTTGGAGATAATAGTGCCAACATTGGCAATAGTACTGGAGTGAGTAATAATAGTACTATCAGCGGAAATGGTAGACAGAATACACAAATTGAAATTATAAATTTGACAGAAATCAATATAATAAACAATAATAATAACAACGATGATAATAGTCAAGGTTTAAATGGTACTGTTGAAAGTACTACATCAAATGTTGTGACAAAAGAAAGTACAAACAAAATTACGGACAAACAATTGGGAATGCCAGGAAACCTTTTATTAAAAATTTTGAAAAAAAATTCTGGAACCTACGAAATTGAAAAACCTAAAGACTTGACTGATGAACCCCAAGAAAATATAGTAATAGATTTGACTGAAGATGAGCCCCAGGAAAAAGCGGAGAATGTTTCTGAAAATTCAAATAATTACAATATTACTTTGAATGACATTTCTAAGGAATACGAGGAAGATATCAATTCCAAAAAATCCGAAAAAGATAAGACAAAATCAAGAAAAAGGTACGTAAATTCTATATTAAAGATTAATCATCTTATTCCAAGTATACGAGGTGTGTTCAGAAAATATCGTTTTTTGAAACAATTATTATTTATTCGTCTACATTAATGTTGTCGCCTTCAAAATAGTCCCCATTGGATATTATGCACATGTGCCAGCTCTTCTTCCAATACTCGAAACACTTTTAAAACTCGATATTTGGGATAGCCTTTAGTTCTTTCAGCGATGCGCTTGTAATGTCATATATGCTTGCAAAACGACGGCCCTTTAAGGTTCTCTTTATTTTCGGGAATAGGAAAAAGTCAGACAGAGGCATGTCTGGCGAATATGGGGGCTGGGGCATCATTACAGTATTGTTTTTGGCCAAAAATTTTGTTCAAAATTTAACAATTTTAGAACAAATTTTTCTGCCACGCGTTTCATACCCAAAACATTTCATGGGATGAGCCAATCGATATACCAACATCATCAGCGACTTCTCTGATGGTTTATAACCATTTCTTCCACTTTTTCCATGTTTTTATCGGTTGTTAATGCACTTGTGCGTTCGGGGCGTTCGTCATCTTCAACGTCTTCACGGCCATCTTGGAAACTCTTATACCACTTGTAAACTCTTGTTTTACTTATAGCAGACTCACTATAGGCCTTTGTTAACATTTCACAGAATTTGTTTAATTTTTTAAGCAAAATTGGATACAAATTCTTTGATCCATTTCTTTTAACGAACGGTAAATCGGCGAGCTCATAAAACACGTCCAACCTTAGCGGCTGCCACAGACAAAGTAAACAATGAAAACAGCTAAAGTCGTACCAATATTTACTAATCTTAGAATTAATATAATTATATTTATATCCTGTATAGTTTTATATCTTTAAGAACAGAATTAAGAATAGGATTATTTCATTTAAAGTCTTTCTTAACATTTAACAGGCAGGAATAAGATCTGCTTGTATGAAGAAAGATTAATATTTAGTTTAATGTTAGTTTTAGCCTTGACAAAAAGTTAAATAAACATTTTTTAGGCATTGGACTGGTTACTACTACAACTGTTTGTTTGGTACAATGCAATTATTTGACTTTTCATTTGACCACAAAGGAAGACCATTAAATGCAGACTGGGATAAAATTTCCCAAGCGTTTCACGTTCCCTTTGAAGCCCTGGGAATCAAGTTTGATGTTAAGAAAGGTTGGAGTAGATTGACTAGAATGTCCATGGAGTATTTGGCAAGTGGAAGAGTGAAGAATTCCATTCAGAAAAGTATACTGAAGAAAGTTATTGATTATACCAGTTTGGTGTTACCTGAATCTTCCAAGGGAGTTAACGTTGTAGGAAGTGTGGAGGTACTATCAAGTGAAGAAGAAGAAAAGACCATGGATGTTCCAGACAATATAAACAATAACGATGAAACTAGTGAGGATTACTACAAAATCATATCAATCTCTGATGACTCAAGTAGTACAGATATTGAAACAAACAAAGAAAATACTAATCTACAAGAAACAACAAAAAGAAAATCTTTGGACTTGGACACTATAAGGGAAGAAATAAATATTGAGGAACTCCTCAAGTTAAGCGGCCATGTGGGTTTAGAAGATATCCTCAAACTTTCTACCCAGTAAGTACCCTCTAAGATAATAAATAACTAATTTATTTTTACATATACTACACTCACAACTTTTTTATTTGATTTCGGATTTAAACAAATATTAAAGAATATTGTATGCATTAATGGAGAATCGCTCACATTTTAAAAATTACTAAAAAATACACGTACGTTTATAATATACAGGTTTAAACAAAAAGATGTTTTTTACTATAAGTTTAAGACACTCTATAGAGTGGCAAAACCGTATATTGTTTTAAATTAAGTTTTATTTATCAAGTCACATCTATTTTAACAGTTTTATTTTTGGTTCACCTTGATATATTTATTTTTGTGGAAAATATGGATTTTTTTAAAAAAACATTGCAATTTCCAATATTTTCCTGTATGAAGGACCAAGTTTGCTATGGTCCATCTCCTATGGAGGATGACAGTGGCAGTTTTGTTGAATCATCCCATACTTGGACATGTCATATACATCTTTCAAAAGCTATCAAATTGTTTTTTGTAAATTAATGTGTTAGTTTTGAGGTGTCTTCTTACTTTTAAAAATGTCTCCGACTGATGTTGCCCTTTGTACTTTACTTCTTGCGACGTTTAAAACACTTGCCACGTAATACTGTGACCGTCCATCCTGGATTAAATTAATGGCTCTGGCAACATCAGTCGGAGACATATCCATTTTTTAAAGTAAGAAGACACCTCAAAATTTAAACATTAATTTGCAAAAAACAATTTGATAGCTTTTGAAAGCCGTGTATGACATGTCCAAGTATGGGATGATTCAACAAAACTGTCACTGTCATTCTCCATAGCCTATGGATGGACCATATATGGTGCTATAGCAACCTTAGTTCTTCATACAGAAAAATATTGGAAATTGCAATGTTTTTTTTAAAAAATCAATATTTTTCACAAAAATAAATATATCGAAGTGAACTAAAAACAAAACTGTTAAGAATATATTCTATAGATGTGACTTGATAAATAAAACTTAATTTAGAACAATATACGGTTTTGCCACTCTATAGAGTGTCTTAAACTTATGGTAAAAAACATCTTTTTGTTTAAACCTGTATATTATAAACGTACGTCTATTTTTTAGTAATTTTTTAAAATGTGAGCGATTGTCCATTAATTTATCTACAATATTCTTTAATATTCGTTTAAATCCGACATCAAATAAACAAGTTATTTGCGATTGAAATTCATCGAAAATTTGTGTGGATCGATTATTTTGCCTGTGAGTGTATATATAATTTATATTTTTTTTAGAGCGAAAAAAGCAAAAATGAAAGATGATGAAACAGTAGATAATAAAACTGATTTTGATGTGATAATATTGGATTAAGTCCCATATTTAATTTAATTTAGAAGTTCTTGTTATTTTGTTCCTAACTAGGTTACCTAAGTATTTTTTGAAAGACTTGTTGATTTATATATTTTTATATTACATTTTTTATAAACCTTCCTTGTTTTTTTATTTATCTTAGCCCACTTAAAGTCAAACTCAAACTAGTGCAGAAGACATAAATTATATACATATATTGTAGAAGGTAATAAATCAGGCAGTACGATAAACACTTAAAAAATGTTAAATTAATGTGTCTGGACCAAAAGAAAAAGCAGACAAAGCGCGAAGGTAATAATGAACGCATAGCAAATCTAAAAAATACAGGGTATATCAAAAATATTATTATACAGGGTAAATCAAAAATATTATTAAATATTAATCAAATATTTTTTTAAAATATTTTTTCTACTCCCACCTTTAAAACGCCCTTTATCGTACATGATTCCATGACACTAAGTGACCTTTTAACTACACATTGACAAGTTGTGGCTTTATGGCGCTTTAGTCACGGGCTGAAGTTAGCAACAGGTTTTTAGTCAAGGGCTGAAGTTAGTTTTAAGTCAGTTGACAGTTGTAAAATGTCATACAATCGTTAAAGTAAAGTGCCTTTCTTGTACAATAATACTAAATGGGAAAATTATTTTATTATCTCAAAACAAAAATACAAAAGTATTAAATAGTTTCTCAACGCCAATATTTGATAAGAACATTGTACTGACCTTTTAATTTCGCCGGCAATAAAATTAATTAATTAAATTCGGACACGGACTCCACTGTAAAGTGCTCATAAAACATTTTCTTTACTTTCACTGTGAAAAACTGTCAATTTTCAAGAAATACATTTCGATTTATAACCTTTATTATCTGTGTTTATAAAATATAAAAATTTGACATTTGACGGTGACACACAGATTCCCCTATTGTTTCATAGATGGCGTTCTATACAAATTTTTGATTTAAATCATTTTAAGATAATAATAAGTATTTGTCGTAGAAAAAGTATAGTATGCACCTCGTTTATAAACTTTTATATACACTCATTAATTTAAGAACTAAATTAAATTCGTGTATAAAATGGCATTTATCAAACTTGATACATAATATACTATTAACTATCAAAATATATAATGCAATGAATGAATGAATTAATACAACTAATTGGTTAGAAAACAAGTTTAAAAAACGTTATTTTACATAGATTTTGGTTAATTTACTTAAAATGCTAGTTATAATATAACCAGTTTTGCTATTTGGGTAGAATCTTAAAGATACGATTTGGAACTACTTCATGGAATATAACAATTTATGATGATGTCAAGAAAACCATTTGACGTCCCTGTGATTTATACCCCGTTCTTATACCTGCTTTAACATTAAACAGATGTAACATTGTAAATAAACTTTTATTAAGTTTAATCAGTGGCGTTACATAGAGCAAAACAAAATTATTTATTATACCACGGAAACTTTAACAATTTTAGAATCAATAAAAACGTTAAAATAATATTATTTTTCTTAACAAACTTATATCGAAAATTCAACAATTTTAAAAATACAAGATGTTGAAGTTGCATACATTCTTGGAAAAAAATCAATTTCTCCTAAACTAATTCGTTTTCATACTACAAGCAGTGGCGTCACTACAAAGAAAAAATGGTATGCCAATGATCTAAAAGATTTTTTTCTACATTTTTATAAGAAGCAATGGATTTTTTCATAAAATGTATCTACACAGTACAATTGTAATTCGTTTCTTTATAATAATAAAAGGTACGCCAATGATATAATATATTTTTTTTAAAGTTGGACAACTTGAAAATATTTTAGTATATTACAAAAGATCCAGGTTTTTTTAACTTGTCCACCCAATTTTAATGTATTTTTTCAAAAGCACGTTTGTAAAAAACATAATAAATATTCAAAACATCAGTACCTTGGCGTGTCACAACTCCTGAATCAAATATTTGAGTGATTTTATTTTAAAATATATTCAATTTATCTTAAATTTTTCAATTTCACTACAAACTATAAAACATTAAATAATGTATTCTTCATATTTTATTTTAGATTCGAAAAATAGCAATTTTTAAAAAATTATAATCTTTGTACTTACTTTTACCCGTCAGTTCTGTGTCCAATGTAAAAATTCAAAATTCCTTCGAAATATTGAAGTTTAAACGCCAAGTCCTCGTTTTAACTCAAGTGTTGGTAAAAAATTACCTACCGAGCCCGCCCTTTGCACGACAGTCATCTTGAAAACAATGCAAGCGGCGAAGTTGTGGTGAATGCACGTATAGTTTCAGTACTGTGGTGAGTAGTTATTTTCTTACGTATATATATTTCATTGTAATTTATATAAGGCTATATGTGATTTGTTGATAAGTAGCATCCACTAATAAAAAATATCAGTAAAATACTTAATTCCGAATTATAATCTCAAATTTGTATCCCATTCATCAGTACCGTGTCGTCAGTTCCATGTTCGATGTTTCGGTTATCTTTTTTTCGAGAGTACCAAATAATAACAAAGTAATAATAATAATACACCTTTATTTGATAAACTTATAATTTGATCAAATAAAAAAATATGTACAATATACAGGGTGTTTCATAATATATGCGCAGGACTTCGGGATGTGATAGCTCATCCAAAAAGATGAAAAAAGTCGCTATTAACTTACCCTCTAAAATGCACAATTTTCGAGATACAGGGTGTTGAAATTTTAGAAAAAAAATCGATTTTTTCGAATATCTCCGGAACCGTTTATCGTACAAAAAACAGCTTTTGTAAGCATTTTCTACTCAAAATAAGCTATGTTTTGTGCCAGAAAAAAAATTTTTTTTACTCATAATTGGTGGAGATTTTGAAGGGGTAGCGGGTGTTTTTCTCCTCAACTTCTACGCCCCTGAAAAATGTACGGTTTTGAAAGGCCTATTCGAACCGCCAATGTTTTCTACACAAAAAAGGTACTCTTGGTCATAAGCTGTAAAATTGACCGTTTTCGAGAAAAATCAACTTTTATGTTTAAAAACATGGTCAATTTAAAAAAAAAATTTTTTTTTTACTAATTTTTTATTTTTTTTTTAATTTTGCAATTATCGTTTGGTTTTGTTACTTTTTCTAACGTTAAAATAAATTTTGTTTAATTAGTAATAAAATTTTTTTTTCAAAAAATTGAACATGTTTTTAAATATAAAAGTTGATTTTTCTCGAAAACGGTCAACTTTAGAGCTTATGTTCAAGAGTACCTTTTTTGTGTAGAAAACATTGGCGGTTTGAAGGGGCCTCTCAAAACCGTACTTTTTTCAGGGGCGTTAAAGTTGAGGAGAAAAACACCCGCTACCCCTTCAAAATCTCCACCAATTATGAGTAAAAAAATTTTTTTTCTGGCACAAAACATAGCTTATTATGAGTAGAAAATGCTTACAAAAGCTGTTTTTTGTACGACAAACGGTTTCAGAGATAATCGAAAAAAACGATTTTTTTTCTAAAATTTCAACACCCTGTATCTCGAAAATTGTGCATTTTAGAGGGTAAGTTAATAGCGACTTTTTTCATCTTTTTGGATGAGCTATCACATCCTGAAGTCCTGCGCATATATTATGAAACACCCTGTATATAGACAGAGAAAATAATTATCCACCTCAGCCTTCATCATTGGTCTTTCCAAGGTTATTCGGTGGAAGGATTTTGTCGTTTACTATCCTTATGTGCCTTAACAGGTTACTCTGTAAACGTTTTTTAAACGCGCTTTCGTCCTGCGTCACCTAAAAATAAGATTTAGGAAATTTCGGTAAAAGACGACTGCGTAAAATGCATTTAAAACATACTGGACCATCAGGCATAATATCTCCTATAGTAGCATCCCCTCTCTGTCTTTTGGCCGGCAATGTGTATGGATGTGTTTGCACGTGCCGCACCCAGTCCCCCGGTAACGTGAACGTTTGGTTGCATAATTCACAGGTGAGCGGTGTGTAGAGTTGCTCATTATCTTCTGTATTCGCCGAATCTTCGCTGTGCTCCTCTTGTTTCACTTGCAAGTCGCTTAAAGCGCTCTTGTCGTCTATCAGATCCATTTCTTGGCTTGGCAAAGAAGACAATGTGCTAGTGAGGGCTACACAGCAAACGGAATATATAGAAGTGTATATCGCGCTTTGTTTTTATATTTTTCGCCTCTATACCTATGCACGACTATAGTTAAAGTCAAACTCAATGGTGTCTTAAAAGATACCTTATTTTGATTTTCTATATTCAACAGAGAGGTAGAAACTCGACCCTGTCGAATGGTGCAGTCATTCATGTCTCTAGAATTTTTCAAAAAATTGACGGAATAAATTGAAAATCACCATACAGGATTTTTGGGGTCGCTGAAAATGAATCTGGAATCAGAATTCCAAAATTCAAAATGGTAGACCTCAAGTGGCGGACATTTTTATCAAATTTTGTCGAAATTAATTATAAGATCAAACGAACTTACCTTAAGTGAAGTTCGATCTTAATTATATGAAGCGTCCCGTCCGAGGTGATCACATTGTAGTACTCCCTTTTCTGTCTAGATGGCACCACGATTTTACAGATAATAAAGAAATTTCTAATACCTACCTATCGATGTTGGTGGACCTGCATGCTTATGTCATTATTTTTAAAGGGCCACGCCGGTAGGCTGGCTAAAATCTTGTTACAACATGGGTGATCACTAGGGTGGGTTAGATATAGAGGGTAGGGTGTGATCACCTCGGACGGGACGCTTCATATAATTAAGATCGAACTTCACTTAAGGTAAGTTCGTTTGATCTTATAATTATATTTGCGTCCCGTCCTCAAGATCACATTGTAGATGTTTAAAGATGTTGTAACAATAAAATACATATATAAAAGATATATTAACTGCAAATATACAAATTATTTTGTGACTTAAGATTAGTTTTTTTTTTTTTTTTTTTTTTTACATAGGTAATATAATAATAACTCTTATCGGTATCAGGTATTGGCTAGGTTTAGAATAGTGTTGCTGAAAATATTGTTGTCGACAATAGGTCTGTTATAGAATCTGGCAAAGGTGTCAGATGAATCTGACCAACCAGCGGTCTTCCGAATAATATCTAAGTTAATACCTTTTCTTTGAGCTGCGGAAGTCGCTGCGTGGCGAGTACTGTGAGCAGAAAAAATAGAGGTATCCAAGCCAGCTTTACCTAAGGTTAACTTTATCCAGCGACTTATAGTTTGAGGGTTGGCGTTCTTATAAGGTTTCTTACATGTGATAATAAGAAATTTATTATCGTCATTCCTTAGCTGCCTGGTCTTATCAAGATAGCATTTTAATGTATTTGCTACACAAATCTGAGGAGTTTTGTCAAATTTTGGAAAATTTAAAACCGGTTGACATCGTTTATAATTTGAGGTTTTGATTCTATTTGGAATTAGGATGTGGAATCCATCTATGCTTTCTCTGATGTTATCTAAAAGTATCAGGGATAAGGTTTGAACCCTGTGCGCAGAAATAAGAGCCATTAGGGTAACGAGTTTTAAAGTGAGGTCCTTTAATGATAAGGTGTTATTAGGATAAAGTGTTTTAAGATAATCTAGGACTATAGATGGATTCCAGGTAAAATTATATCGAGGTCTTGGTGGACGTGAATTTTGAACTCCTTTCATGAATCTCTTAATTCTATAATCTGAACCAATATCAGGGGATAACAGAAGCGATAAGGCAGACCGTGTTGAGTTCAGAGTACCGAAGGAAGCGCCTTCCTGGAAAATGAGAGTTAAAAAGTCGAGGACAATAGGTACTGAGCTTCTAAACATATTCTTATTGTTAGATATACAGTATTTCCACCACCGTTTGAAACTATGGTTATATTGTTTCAAAGTTGACGTTGTGATCGAGGCGATCATGATGTCTATTGTTGTGTTTTGAAATCCTTTGATCTCGAAGGCTTGCCGGAGACAATCCCTGCCACCAGGGAAAGATGGCGGTGTAGTGGATGTGGTTGTCTGTCAATAGATAATAGTAAATTAGGACTTGAAGATAAAATGATTGGGTTAGATATAAGAAGACTTTGAAATATGGGGTACCAAGGTTGGGTAGTCCAGAGTGGAACCACCACAATACCACAAGCGCCTTCTCTGATAACCTTTTGAAGGAGAGGAAGAATTAAGGAAAATGGTGGAAACGCATAGAAAAAGAATGGAGTCCAATCAATTGTGAAGGCATCCACTACAAAAGCGTCTGGATCTTTTTTCCAAGAGGCAAATGTCTTACACTTTGTGTTAAGTCTTGAGGCGAAAAGATCAATATCAGGAGAGCCAAACTTTTCAACGATATCCAGGAAAACTTCTTGATTAAGTTCATATTCTGTTTCTGCAGGTAATTCCCTAGATGCAGCATCAGCTTCTACATTATGTTTTGATTTTATATATGAAGCAAATATCCAGATATTCCTGACTTCACACCACTGCCAAATATCGCGAGATAGATTACTTAGTAAAGGAAAGCGAACTCCCCCCATTCTGTTTACATAGGAAAGTGCAGTGGTATTGTCAATGCGAAGGAGAATGTTTAAGTTAGATTTGTGGCTGGCAAAACATTTAAGAGCAAAAAAGGCTGCTAAGAGCTCCAGATAATTTATGTGGTGGGAGCGTTCGTTCTCTGACCATTGACCCAGAACCCTTTCTGCACAACATACTGCCCCCCATCCACTTAAGGAAGAATCAGAGAAAATTTCTAATTGAAAGTTGTTTGACTCGATAGACTTTCCTGAATTGTGAATGTTTTCAGCCCACCAATCAAACTCTGAAGAAATACTCTGAGGAAGATTTATGATCTTATTATAATCCCCCTTTGCTCCTTTTAATGCCAAGTATTTAGCTCTTTCAAATTTTTTGGTATATAACCAGCCATATTTAAAAGCTGGGCATGTTGAAACTAGAACACCTATGACTTTAGACAGTTCTCTAATAGAGCACTTCTTCTTGGCACGAAAATTGTTAATCAAATTAAGAACGTTAGAAGCTTTTTCTGCTGGAAGGCTAATAATCATATCAATAGAGCTAAAAAGAAAGCCCAAATGGTTACAAATTTGTGAAGGTTCTAATTGGCTTTTCTTTAGATTTATTTTAAAACCAAGACTACAAAGCAAGTTAGAAGTAACTTTAACATTGTTTATACATGTTTGATAAGAATCTCCCAATAATAGGAAATCATCTAAATACACAGATGAGATAAGGCCTTGATTCCGTAAATTGGAAACTACAGGTTTCATCATCTTAGTAAAAACGTAAGGAGCTGTTGATAAACCAAAGGGAAGAAAATTATATTGGTAGAGAATATTATCAAAATGAAATCGTAAATATTTTGTATCATTCTCGTTTATACGAACAGCGAAGTAAGCATCTTGTAAATCAATAGATGCCATATAAACATTTTGAGAAATTAGTCTGGAAGCAGTGCGCCAATCTTCTAACTTAAAATGTTCAGTTATAACAAATTTATTAAAGGACTTTAGATTTAGAACAAGTCTTATTTTTCCATTTGCTTTGGAAATAAGAAAAACCTTTGAAATGTATTGTACTTGACAAGGAACGACTCTACTTATGATACCAAGTTTTATAAGCCTATAAATTTCACCCATTATAAGTCTTTTCTCACAAAAAGACCAATTTTGTTCCACAGGAGCTTGATATTGGACAACTGGAGAGTTAATAGGAATAGTATAACCTTTTACCCAAGATAAGATTTGTTTATCTGAAGTTATTGTTTGCCATTTGGCAAAAAATGCATTGAGACCAAGACTTACGTTGGTTATCGTCTGCGCCTCTCTGGTGGGTACTGTGGTTTGTGAGTCTGCGTCTTGTAGTGAGCAGGCCGGTAAGACTGTTTCCGGTCGTATCTTTCGTTGTTCTTGTAATGTTGTCTTGGGGAATAGAACTTTGACCCGCCCGGGCGATTGTTTGTTCTTTGCCTGAGCGGGGTCCTTGAGTTTAAATGCTGCTGATGATGTATCTTTGGGGTGCTTTGACCCTTAAGTTCTTGTCCTGATTTTTCAATAGCCTTGGCTGTCTTGACCCTCTCCGCTAAATCTTCTCCAAATAACCAACCATCATATGCTGCATTGATCAAGGTGTCCTTAAGATCCTTTTGAAGCGTAAGACTTACTAAAGCTCTACGAGACTCTGATTCTTGAAAATGTACGTCAGCCAGAAGTCTAGCTGCATCACTTATTGCCTCAATTAAGGGTAGATTTGTGTCCTCATCCATATTGAGAAGAACAGAAAGAGCCTTGCCTAAGGCCGCCAAACTTGCTCCTACCTGAGTCTGGGTTGCTCCCAGTCTTTCATCTCTCTTTAGAGTAGATTGGTTTACTGCCGCTTTAACTTCAAAATTTAGTTTAGGAGCAGCCATTAATACACAATTTTTGGGCCTTGGGTATTTTAATATTAATTCAGACTTGCTCTCATTATCTATTCCCTTTTTTAAGATAGAATCCCATGTTCTTGCCAGTAAATCATGTATTTCGTCTCCAATAGTGTCTGTTATTCCTGTTTCTGTCCCAATTACCTTTCGCAACTCTTCACTTAGGGGAGCAACTGTCTCCAATGCTAGTGGATCGTTTGGAAGGATAACATTTTCCAAATGTGGTGACTCACCTGAAATATCCCATAAAACTTTAGAACTTTTGATTGGAATAAAAGTAAGCACAACACTGTACTTTTGATTGTAATAAACGTACAACACTGTACTTAAATTGGACTAATACTAGTCTATAAATGACAGTCATACGACGTCTAATATATCTCACCTTCACTACGGAAGGATTCGGAGGTACCTCCTTGTGAAATAGCCGGCGAACGATCCCGTTCTTGAACCGCCGCCATTTTGGCGGCTTTGAGTTTACGTTTTGCTTTTCTTAATTTACGTCTTAAGTTTTCTTTCTCCTCTTCCGAACTGCTTGAACTGCTTGAGGAGGTAGAAATGGGCGAGTGCCTACGCTTTCTTCCCATTCTCTTGTTAAATCGAGCACAATTATCTCTAATCTTAAGTTTTATTTATATACGTGGTTTCCATTAAGCACGAAAAAGAATAATGACATAAGCATGCAGGTCCACCAACATCGATAGGTAGGTATTAGAAATTTCTTTATTATCTGTAAAATCGTGGTGCCATCTAGACAGAAAAGGGAGTACTACAATGTGATCTTGAGGACGGGACGCAAATATAATTAAAAATCCGTAAGAGGTTCTTTTTAAAATGTAATAAAATATCTTTTTATAAAATAGCTTAATTTAGTTTATTATAATTACATTTATATGATATTATTTAATACCTACATATATATTAAACAATCTCCGTCACTGGATTCGCTCGTTGTATCATTAGCAGAGCATGGGAAACCATCAGAAGATAGCAACAGTTTTATTGCTTCGCGGGACAAAGATTTGCTCTTTTTCGGAGCAATTTTTCTGGAGCTAGAAATATACGGATCGGAAGATGCCATAAGCCAATGGAAAACATCTTCCATCGTTTTCTCCCGAGAAACACTTATTCAATAATTCAAAATTTATTCATAAAATTTAAATATAACAGATTTTATACTAAGTATTTTAAATTTGTTGTATTTCTTTTACTTAATATTTTAGCAACGATTTCTTAATTCGCTAAAAAAATTGTCAACACGAATAACCACAATTCAAATTTGACATTAACACACTACAATGCGCATGCGGAGTTGTTTTAACGCACCTACAAGAGGTGGGTTAAATATGTAAAATCGGTGTTAAATATCTTAGTAGTCAAGTGAAAGTCCAGACACCGCTGTTGTAATAAACGTTTTGAGTTAAATCCGAGTGAATCGAGTAAACGTCATGAACCCAAAAATAAAAAAAAATCAGATACGCGATCGACATAGGCTTAAAATCGCGAGGTTTTTTACCACAACCGTGCCTGAGCGCCCAAGAACATGTAGTTTTAAAGAGCCGGGGGCAAGTTGAGGCAGCTAATTTATTGATGGCTTGATAGACAAAACTCTAAGCTATTCAATGGATCTTGAACTGATGCCTTACAATTCATTACAATTTTTGTTCTAAAAGCTCGATTCAAAGTTTGCGATTTTAACAGACCGATCTTGTCGGTTACAATAACCCGATGTACAAGCAAAATCAACGAAAAACAAATACATATCTGAATTTTAGATACCTTGAAGATCACCCTTCATCAAACCGCCTAACAATCGGACACACCAAACACAAGTTATTCACTTTTAAACAATAAACAATTTTCCGCAGCGATCGCGTGTAAAGTACCTTCAACTGAAAGCGTCAAGCTCAAACTGATGTACAAGAGAAAATATACGTATTTTATATATATTTTTTTCAATACAGGATGGAGACGGGTATTAACTACCCATCTAACTCAAAATTTACCTGAAAAAAATGTCAATTTTTGAGGTTTTGCCGATATTTTCCAGAATTGAAACACTGTGGGTCATCCAATACATTTCTATATTTTTTCGTTTGCTGTGATGTATTGTAAGCCCGAAGAACACTAACTTACCATTCAATAGCTTCATTCTTGATCTCCAAAAGCTGCAAGGTTTCCTTATTATCTTCATCATCATTTTGCTTCTCAGCTTCCATTGTTCTACCAATCTGATTGGGTGTTTCTTTAAGTGGTGGCTGTTTAACATTTAGGACTTTAGTGGTTAGTTCACTTTGGACATTTCTTGGTATCGTTATCGTTGGTTTAAGGTTATGTTGAACTCTTTTTACTTTGTTTATTGCTACAGGGCTTGGCGATGAAGAAAGGCCTGAAAATAAGGTTTAGAGTACAAGACCAAATAGGGAAATAATTACCTGAAGTTGTCCCACTTTCAGAACCTTCTTTGTTCTCCTTGTGTCTATATAACCCCTTAACTTTCAATATCTCTCCACCTTTTAAAACACTATCCAATACATCTTTGGTGACAGTTGCCTCACCACTGTACATATACTCAACAAGTATCTTCAAAGTATTGAAACTTATCTCCGGAGGTAACACAATCATCAGTGGTGAGTATGTGTTGACTTTCGGTTGAAACTTCAACACATCTTTCAAAAACTGGCTGCTGTAAGCCAGAACCAATCTGTGGGCCATAATTTGGCGCCCATCTGTGGTCACTAGAGCCACATCGGTGTACGACTCATTGTGTAATGAAGAAGATACGCAAGAGTGGAGGTATGTTTTGAAGGAATGCCACCTCAGTTTGGTCATATCTAAAAAATATAGAAGTGTATTGAATGACTCCCCGTTTGAATACTAAATCAGAACTGCATTGAATCGTGATTTGTTTTTATATTTTGCGCCTCTATACCTATGCACGACTATAGTTAAAGTCTCAACTCAATGGTGTCTTACAAGATACGTTATTTTGATTTTCTATATTCCACAGAGAGGTGGAAACTCGACCCTATCGAATGGCGCAGTCGTTTATGTCTCTGGAAATTATCGAAAAAGGGGGCAGTCCAATGGTGCAGCAACTTTGGATTCTTATTCTCTTCAGAGGCATAGAAACTCAAGCTTTTCGAATTTTACTGGCAATGATTTTCGTTAAGGTCTCCGAGAATTATGAAAAAACATCGCAATGCAATATAGCAACGGTTTCGACTTCTCTTTACTCTACCAAGTTATAGCAACTGGAGTCTCTCTAATACTGTTCTGGTCAATATTTCTGAGAGCATAAAAAGAGGGTGTAATTCAATATTGCAAGAAATTTTGATCTTTTGATGGATGCAAGTATTTTGAATATTATTTCTGCATATAATTTTGTTGAAAACAGTTCCTTTCTTTGGTTCCTTTGTCTGATTTTTATTTACCGTAACAACTCAGGTATATAAAGCACAGAGGATATGATGTAAAGTATATTTATGTATTATATAAAGTACCTATATTTGTATTAAAAATTTCATAGGTTATGTTAAAAAAACGATCGATATGCTATTAAACTTTAGTAATTTAGTAAATATGATTTGTAGCTTACCTAGACTTTTGTTACAGAGCAAAACAAAAGTGTTTTATTTGCTAGCTCTGTATCGTACACTGGATATCTACAGAATATCATGTATTACGAATATGCCTCTATCCACAGACATTTCTGTAGGTAGGCAACCGAATTACAACAGTAAACAATCGATAATTTTATCCACCGATTCGGCGCATGCGCATTTAAACTATACAGCAGTTATTGGGTCGTTTTCAAAAAACACCCGCCTTCCGCTGTCCGTAAGTTTGAATTCCAAAAACTTTGTTAAAAATTATCGGATCTTATTGATTTAACAACCAAGTGAAATTCTAACAAGCCCTTAGTAAACTCTTTCAGAAAATGTTTGTTTAGTTATTTCAGAATAATTTTTTTTAATTTTTAAACTTGTGAAACACACATTTTCGAATGTCCCATTAGAGTTTTATAAAACTTACATACATGTTTTTTTTTTTAATATTGAATAACAAAAACTTTGTATTGCTTTATAGCAATCCATAACATCCTTAGTTAAAACAGTAAACAATTTATATATAAAATAATTAATTTTAATATACTTTTCTAAAATTTGACTCATGTCCCAGACATTTTTTCCGTTGCGTTACGTCCGTCGCGTTACCGATAGAATATTAAAAACATATATATATGGCAAATTTTTTGGCACTCACGTGATTAACAAATGATGTTCGGATGTACACATTACCCAGCTGAATTTATTTATTCAATCAGGAAGAAGATATCGGTTGAAACAGGTGCGGGTAACGCGAATGTAATAATTGTTTGTCCGCTAAGTTACTCAAAAAAATAATAAAAATAAGGTAAGAAAAAATACTATTTTTCATGTTTATGCTTATTTTAGGGCACCAAAGCTCATTGAGAGTAATTAATGACTGTAATGTCTTATTATTATTTTTTAAATATGGTTTCACAAAACTTTGTCCACTGCGTTACCGAGTCCATTATGTTACCTTATGGTAACGCAATGGAATTTAGGGTAACGCAATAGAATTTTTCGACAACAAAGTGAATATAACAACTTTTTTTATTGAATTAAATTTTGGATTTCAAATTGGTAACGCAGTGGAGATATATTATAAAGCTTGCTAAACACATTTTTCTGAAAAAAACGTAAAAAAATTAAAAAGTGCACTGCCTGTCTTAAATGTAAGTAAACAAAACTCTAAACATTTATAAAAATCCAACCAAAAGTCGATTTAAGCAAAAAAAATATTTTGATCTTCATTTTCCTGAAAGCGGGTGTTTCTTGAAAATGACCCAAATATTGATAAAATAAAAAAACAATTGCATTAAAGTAATTTTAATTCTCTAATACAGTACATCACTATTCTCGAAAATCCAAGTCTTATACTCCGAAACTCTAGTGAAGACAGAAGGTTTACCCCCATCACAGTATTTATAGTTGAACGAATACACTCCAACTTGTTCTCCATTGACCACAAGGGGCCCCCCCTGTATCCCCATTGCAAGCCCCTTTCCCCCCCACTCCAGATAAACACAAATGAGTATCACGTATTATATCATTGTACGGTTCAATACTCCTACACTGATCATTACTCAAAATTTCGTTCGTAATGTACTGTAACGCAGGACAAATATCCGAAGAACTGTCTTCCGTTACCCCCCACCCTGTTACAGTCCCCTGCTCCCCCTGATAATCCTTCCCCTCATCGGCCAACTTAACAATTTTGATGCAATCGTTTTCTTCCACAGCCTTCGGTAATTTTACCAAACCAATATCATTTGATAGTTCAGTGGGGTCGTAATCATCGTGAAATACAAAATCTGACGATGACAGTCTTAGTTGTGTATTTTCTGAGTCGCTAAGTTTGTGAGCACCCAGTATAACATCAGCTGTGATGGCACTGCAATTAGATAATCACTTTTGAAGACTAATTATAAATTTAATTACAATAATTAATAATATAATTAATAGCAAGATTTGGGAGTCTTCTGGAAGAGTTAATAAGACTTTTTAAGACTTAATAAGACTTTTAGTAGAGAAATGGTGATAAAAATAAATATCCGAAATAATTCACAGAGGTTTTATTTGGTTATCGTAAAATAAAACACATAGAAAAGTATTTATTAACATTTTTGCTGTTGTTATAAGCCAAGTTTATTGCATAATTACGTATGTAATAACATAGTTAAGATGTAATAATTATAACAATTATAATTTTATACATACGATGCGCTTGACATGCTTTCATTGTTTCCACCATATAAAAAGGAGTTGCCACTGTACGTTTTATTTTAATAGTTTCTTTTGATACACGCAAATATTTACCTATCTAAACAAATCTTCTAGACGTAATATCGAGAGACCAGCTCAGCTAGCTGACCAATTAGAGCACAGCTGACCTGTCAGTGGGACGCAGTGTTGCCGTTTGCAAGTATTTTACTCGAAAATCGGGTATTTTCGTAATATTTGCGGGTGAAATCGGGTGATTTGCGAATTTCTATCAAAATAATTACAAAAGAAATTTTCAGTAAATAATATTGTATATTGTTACTAAATATGCACAATTATTTTGTTCTATCGTGTTACATTTTTATTATTATTTTAGTATTTTGTAATTTATGGTCAGGAACTTTTATGGCAACACTGTACGTAAACACGAAGATCAACCACACAGAAAAAAAAAGTACATAATATTAATGTATTTTAATATTGTGACAATGTATGCGCACATTAAAATAGAGCCGATGCACAAATACATTATTATAATGTAAATGTTTCATTAATGCATTACAAATTACATTGAACAATGAAGTGTACATTGATATAATGTAACAGTATACATTGATCAATGTATGTCATACATTTATAGTATGTACCTTATTCATTAATATAATGTACCATGTACATTTATATAATGCATCTTGTACATTGATATAATGTACCCTGTACATTGATATAATGTAACCTGTACATTGATATAATGTACCCTGTACATTGATATAATGCACCCTGTACATTGATATAATGTACCATGTACATTGATATAACTATATATTGTTATAATTGACTGTGCGTTCCACGAAACATTGGCGGTCTTGGGAATGTGATGCAATCGTTTATTTCTATATAACGGCCAACTTTTAATTATAATAATAATGCTAGGGTTTTCCATATATTTGCAGCCGTTGCAGGCAAACGTATGCAATAAACCCTATCCCGATATCAATAAAGAGTTGGCCGTTATACAGAAATGAAGAATTGCATCACATTCCTAAGACCGCCAATCTTTTGTGAAACGCACTGTATAGGGTGTTTTTGGATGAGGAAAAAAACACATTTTTATACATATTAGATTTTTTATTTAAATACTCTTTTAATAAATGAACTTTACCAAAATTGTTTGCCGTTTTAAATAAAAAAAAGGTTTCTAAGAAATTATAAATCATTACTGATTCGGGCGGAAAATCTAAATTAAACAAATAAATACATTTAAAGCAAATATGTACTGCCCTTAATACACTTAAAAATTTATATCGGACACCATCAAAATAAAGATAAATTTCTTTAATGTTTACCTCATCCTTTCCTATCCAAAAAATAAATAAAACTGCTGTGCATTGACTTGCTTTTTTTTAAATGATCAAGATGCTTCTCGAACTCCTTCAAAGTGGGTGAGAGGTACAGAAATGCGTCTTGTGAATCCTTTATCGTAAATTTAGTTGTCACGTTTTTTTCTGTGTTATCTTTTTTGACTATTTTGCCAGTTGGATTGCCATGGATTACCAGAAAAATTGTAGCATCTCGTGCATCTGAAATAATAGCAACATAATATTATTTCACAAGCATCTAAGGTAATTTCGACAAAAAGTGGCCTCATTTAACGTAAAGTGTTATTTTCATATATTATATTACTTTTTACATTAATAAGTGATATTCCTTACCTTTTTTTTCTATTTATCTGCTTTTTACTTTTACAATAACCACCTGATTCGACTCACAAACACAAAAGAATAATAATTTCAATTTTTTCTTAGGTTGTGGGCTCTGGAACAGAAACAAATGCGTCCTTGCACTGTTGGCTAGTAAAGCGGGAAGCTATATAATTAATACTCTGTAGGCGTTTATAACTTTGCACATCAATACAATGTATTAATTTATTGAATAATGAACAATCTACCTTGATTAATGAATTTTTACATTGATATAATGTATTAAAAACATCAATTAATAAACCTGAAACATTGGTTAATATATTTATACATTAATATAATGTACGTTTTTTTTTTAATGATTTGGCTAAAGTTAATGTATATATACTTTAGTTAAATGTATTTTTACATGAATTTAATGTATTAATACATTGATATTATGTAAAATTGTACATTATATTAATGTATGCTATACATAATATCAATGTACGTGGTCATGAGCTTATAAAATTTAAACATTCTATTAATGTATTTATACATTTTATTTATGTATAACTACATTAATTTAATAAAATATTGGTCAATGTTTGGCATACATTGATAATATGTAATTATTTTTTTCTGTGCATATTTGTCTTATGAGTCTATCGAAAATGTCATGTCTATGGACATGATATTAACTCCTTTCTCTATGGTGGAAACAAAGAAAGCATGTCAAGCGCATCATATGTATAAAATTTTAATTGTTATAATTATTACATCTTACCTATGTTATTATATAGGTAATTATGCAATAAACTTGGCTTATAACAACAGCAAAAATGTTAATAAATACCTTTCTATGTGTTTTATTTTACGATAACCAAATATAAATTATTTCGGATATTTATTTTTATCGCCATAGGTACCTACCATTTATCTACTAAAAGTCTTATTAAGTATTAAAAAGTCTTATTAACTCTTCCAGAAGACTCCCAAATCATGCTATTAGTCTGACTTAATAAGACTTATTCAGACCTTTTCCGACTTAATAAGTCTTATTCTGACTTTTTCCGACTTAATAAGTATTATTCAGACTTTTTAAAAGAAAGTAAGACTTTCTCAGAGAAAAATTTCCACAAGGTACACAAGTGTACACTTTATTCTAAAAATGTTTTTTAAACCTTCCAGTGAGGATATTCTTAGGATCATGCTATATTTCTTCTAAAGAACATGCTTAAAAGACATATAGTATGATCCTAAGAATATTCTTACTGGCCTATAGGCAGGTTCATAGAAGGTGCAAAGTTTTAGTGGTAAAAATTAGTCTACTCTAAAGAATGTTAAGAAAGTAATTGCTATAGAAAGTTCATTTAGGAACATTCCTGTTAAGCATATTTAGTTCAGTTACCTATATAATAGTAAAATATACCATAAACTACGTATAAAGGTATATACCTATACTTAAGCACCTAATAAGTAATTAGTATTAAATACTAAGTAAAAAACACAATCCAAAATATTTTTTTAAAGTTATTTGTCAAATTCGATATTCGATAACAAAAATACTTTTACTATAGGTATTTTATTTTATGTTAAAAATAAATATTTATTAATTTGTATACCGATTTTTTATTTCTGAATTAACATTTTTATGTATAATAATCCTAATTATCTTCAACTTCAATCTAATCTGACTTATCCCACAAAATTTTCTAATTTTACTTTTTATGAAATAATGTCATACAACGTATGGTTTAGAGGTCAAATTGTTTATTTAATATTTTTAAATAAATATAGTATATTAATATGTCGCAAAATTTATTAAGGGGACGACAAATACATTTCACTGTCATATTATGACAGTGAGGCGTATTTGTCGTCTCCTGAAGAATTTTACGAATGTAGAATCCAACATATTAGAACGTGGATATCTGACATATTCGGAAATATTCTCAAAAGCTTCCTAGAAGCTCCACAAGAAACCTTCTAAGAACATTCCAAAAACGTATTCTTAAAATGTTCTTAGGATGCTTTTTAGGAAGGTTTTAAGAAGCTTTAAGAATCTAATTGCATCATTAAAAGGGTATCTATTGAATGTTTTAAAAGTCCCTAAGAACATTCTTAGCAATAAGGGAAGGTTCTAAGAATATTCCGGTTTAACCGGTTTAACGGTTTTAGAATTCTACTTACGTTTGTAAACAGGAAGCCGACGTCAAAACATAGTTGGCTGATATTAAGGAGCCTCCACAGAAGGCATAGGAGTACTTATCCCTTATTTCCAAGGCCACTTGATAAGGGAATGAGTGAGGTTGTGCTTCTTGGCCACCTATTATTTTTAGATGTTTTTTTTTAAGGTCTGATGTGATGTTTGTAGGGTGTGCCTGAGGTAAATAAATGTTTTTATTGTAAACTATAATTTTATAAAAAAAAATACTTACATAACTATTACAGAAAGCAACAATGCAAAATACGATAAAAAACTTCATAATTGCATGAAGCTTTTCGCGAAACTAAATATTAATGAAACTTTACAACTATTTAAATACTTATCTTTTATCTAAATAAATTTTAATTTTTTTTCTTAAAACAAGTACATTATAATTCAGATAATAGTAGTTCATATGTACCTTAAAATTTGGATATAATTCGGAGACAAAAAAATGTGGCAAAGCCAGAAATAAAAAACATGTTTTTATGCATTTATTTATTCTTTACTATAAAACTTACCTACTTTAAGTTTCGACATATTTCCTTATTTCCCACAAAAAATGGAAAAAACAATTACATAATTTTTGAATGCTTTAAAATATTTTTCTTAAAATTTGACCACTGTCATTCAGAGTCCTCGTTATGTAACTTAGCCAATAGAAGAGCGCGTTGTTTTTCCAGTTCGGACTCGCTCATTTCGCCACCTTTACTGCCTGGATCCGGCTCTGACGTCCTGTGCTGATGCAGGGGTGTATTCTAGTGAATTTACAAAAAGATGTAAACTTTGTATTATTGCTAATAATTTTATTTATTTGATGTTATTTTTATAAGTAAGTTACATCAGTTAAATCAGAAATTGCGACATTATGTCCTTAATCAAGCTTTTCAGCTTTGGATCTTTTGGACAAAATTTTGAGAATTTTGGAAATTACCCAAAATTTTCAAAATTTTGTAAATATTAAAATTTTTGGAAATTAGAAAATTGTTTTGAGATGTGAAGCGTTTTAAAATTCAGGCTTTTTTGAAAATTTTGAAATTCTTGAAAATTTTTACATTTTGTAAATTTTTTGAAAATTACATAAAAGCTTATCCAAGCTTTGAAGCTTTTAGTCTGTTTTGAAGCATTTCAGCTCTGAAGCTGATATTAAGCTTTTATTTTTAATTTTTTTGAAAATATTGTAGAATTTAAATTTTTGAAAATTAGAAAAAGCAGAAGCTAAGCTTTGAACTCAAGCTTTTTAATTTTTTTTTAAATTTCACTTATATTTTTGGATATTTTGTAATTTGTAAAACAAGCTTTAAGCTCTTTTTAAAGCTTTTAGTCTGTTTTGAAGCTAGTTTTAAGCTTTTATTTAAACAAAAATAATGTTTTAAAAATTTTGAAATTTAGAAAATTAGAATTCTTGAAAGTTAATTATATTTTGGAAATTTTTTGAGCTCTTATGCTTTTTTAAGTTTTTAGGCTGTTTTGAAGCATTTTAGCTTTAAAGCAGTAGTTCTGATTCTTTTGTTTTTAAAAATTTTGAAATTATTGGAGAATTTAAAAATTTTGAAGATATTAAAATTTTTGAAAATTAGAAAAAAGCAGAAGAAAAAGCTTTTTTGAAAATTTTGCAATTCTCGAAAATTACGTACTTTTATGCTTAATTAAGCTTGAAGCTTCTATTTTTAAAAGTTTTTAAAAAATTGAAAAATTTAAAAATTTTGGATATTAAAAATTGTGAAAATTAGAAAAAAGTAAAAGCTAAGCTTTGAGTACACAATCTTTTTTAATATAATTTTTTGAAAATTTTGGAATTCTTGAAAATTACCACTATTACTTATATTTTGGAAAATTTTTGTAAAATACAAAAAAGCTTTGAGCTTTTATGCTTTTTTAAGTTTTTAGGCTTTAAAGCTGTTTTAAATCTTTGAAGCTCTTTTTATGCTTATATTTTAAAGTTTTTAAAATATTGGAGAATTTAAAAGTTTTAGATATTCAAAATTTTGAAAAAATAGAAGCTTTGAGTTCTCAAGCTTTTTAAATTTTACTTCTTTAAAAAAATTTGAATTCTTGAAAGTTCTGTATTTATATATTGGAAATTTTGAATTTTTTTTGAAAATTACAAAAAAGCTTATTTTTATGTTTTTTTAAGCTTTTGGTCTGTTTTGACGTTTTTCAGCTTTGAAGCTGTTTTTGAGCTTTTATTTTGAAGATATTAAATAATTTGAATAAAGATATTAAAAAATTTGAAAATTACAAAAACAAGCTTAATTTTGATATTAAAAAAAGTTAAAATTAAAAATGGTTCTTTAAGCTTTAAGGCTTTTTTAAAGCTTTTAGTCCTTTTTGAATCTATTTTGAAGCTTTTAATTGAAAATGTTTTTTTTTATATTTATGTCACCGTTTGAATTCATTTCGAATATTCTAATATATATTTTTCCTGTTTTTTTAATTTTGACTCGTAACGCCAAGTTTTTGTTTACCCCAATGTCCCCAAAGAAGTTTCACTTCTATAATATAATTCGCCCCAAAAAATTACCATAAAAATAAGTAGGTACTTTAAGTTTGTTTATTTGCGAACAAAAACTTTAAAATACTTATTAAATTGATACTTATGTATAGCAGGATAATTTAAGATAATAAACCATCTTCTTAAAAACAATACTATGATGTCATTTAACTTTTAGATAACCACAGATAAATTGATAATGTATCTAATAATAAAATTTTATCATTTGTATTTTTTATTGTTGATAAAAATGATGCTCTTCAAATATGTTTGTTTTCATTTAATTTAACACCTTATATAAATTTAAAAATAAAAAATATATTAATATAAATCACTTAATGGGAAGTAAAAAAAATCTGTAAAAAAACTCGAATCGCCCAAAATATTAATAAAAACTTAAACTAAAGATAAAAAAGGTTAGTAGGGATTGGAAATATATTGAAACAAGTTACATTTAAAATTCAAAACATGCAGAGAAATCGGCTATAAAAAACTCACAGACGGGCTCTTCTTTTTGTGCTTTTTTTTTGACTTCCGCTTCCGGTAGTCGTCTTCCTCTTCCTCCGACTGAACCGATTCGCTTCTCGAACGTCTTCGCGAAGATTTTTTCGTCTTCTCCTTTTCCTTCTCTTCTTCCGAATCGCTGGACGAAGATCTGTACTTTTTGCTCTTCTTCTTCTTCGATTTTTTTGACCGCGAATGGTGGTGACTGCAACTTTCCTCCATTTCGTGCTGGTAATCCTAGGAGATGATGAAATGTTTTACGGAGGAAATATGCTTTCTCTACGACTACTTAAGAATAGTAACATTCTAGTGTAATTTTTGATCATAGAAAGGATGTTTTTCTGCAATACTGTGCGAGAATATTCCTACTCTTGTTTAAGAATGGTCACAAGTAACGACATCTCCTGGCTGTTTACTAAACTTAAAAAATTTAAAAATATTTAAATATTACTGTATTATTTATTAATTAAAAAATAATAGCAGTATATAATTAAGGTTTAGGCACAAAAAATTAGTTATATTTATTGTTTTTCAAATATACAAATCAAAATTATAATAAATTTGATATTAAAATGATAAACCAGTTACCTACTATACCGGCTTTGAAGTTTTGACAGATTCAAAAAGTTTAAAAAAAGACCTTTAAAATGTAGAAAAAGAATAAATGTTGACATAGATTACTTGTAAAATTAGTTTTGTATGTGTTACAATCTTATTTTTTTTATTAGTTAGTGTAAATAACTATTTTTAATTATAATAAAGATTTAGGCATACCATTTGTTTAAATTTATTATAATTTACATTATAAAATTTTGACGGCACAAAATGGTTTGACAATACAAAAAACTTAAATGTCAAAAACTGCTTGGTTTCTTTTCTCAGTTTAAAATTATATAAGCGTTACTATTCTTACGTAGTCGTAGAGAAAATAATGTCTGAAACACGTTTGGAATAGCATATTCCAAACTTGTTACAGAATGTACTATTCCCTGGAATTACCTTGTAAGTTCTTATTCTGTCGGTATCTGAAGTGAATGCCATGAATTCTTCTTCTTTTTCGAGTTTCGATCGGACTTCTTCGAACGACAACTCAAAATCGATGTTCATTTCTCTCAGAAGGGTTTTAAAATTCGCCTCCAACTTTTTCATTTTTTTCGATTCTTCCTTCAAGCGCTCCTTTTCTTTGGCTTCGGCCTACGCAAAACGAACCCCCTTAGACCCGTAAAGACAGACACAGCAAGCGGAAAAATGTAGAAGTGTATTGGATGACGTCACGTTTGAATACAGTTTTCTAAATCTCGCCACGGTAGGAGTTGTATTAGTCATATCTCTGTGCTTTACTTAACTGCGCTGTTTTTTATAATTCTCGGGGACATTAACGAAAATCTTTGCCAGTAAAATTCGAAAAGCTCGAGTTTCTATGTCTCTGAAGAGAATAAGAAATGACTGCGCCATTCGACAGGGTCGAGTTTCTACCTCTCTGTTGAATATACAGACTGTATAGAATCAAGTAAGTAAGGCTGGAGACAAGGATGACAAATTATATTCTGATCAGAGAAAAAGAAACAAACTTTAATTGGGCGTGGTTTAAACCAAACCATTCGTAATTACGAACCATAGTTGCCAGGTTGTTTTAAATCAGAAGAGAACGATTATAATTATTTAATAAATAGTTCAATTTTATTTGTTTGAAACTTTAAAAACAACAAAAAAATTAATAATATGTCAAAAATAATTTGATTTAGTAAATTGTCTTACTTTTAATATTAAAAAATAAGAAAAACAACCCTTTTAGGAAACAATAATAGCATATGGCAACAGCGCGGCATGCAGCCAGATACAAGGGCATGCAGTTTGATCTACTGTGTTTGTTCAGTAGCTCCGACGCTGTCGTAGGAAAATGTGTATAGTTTTTAAGAAATACATTTTCGCCATTAACTGGATTTTAAAAACTTAGTTTTTATTTGCAGAAATGCATTAAAACAAAACAAACGAATTCGATAAAAATAAAACCTATAAATTCTCAAACAAAAATAATTCTAAAATAACGAAAATAACTTTTTTTCTAAATTAAATGTTCAAATAGACCACCAGCAGCAGTTAAACAAATTCAATCCCTACCACAGTGGGCGGGGTTTGGCACTTGTTTTATTTAAGTGTATCTATTCGTTTTAATACACACTGTTGAAAATCAAAATAATGTATCTTGTAAGACACCATTGAGTTTGACTTTAACTATAGTCGTGCATAGGTATAGAAGCGAAAAATATAAAAACACACAGCGCGATTCAATACAGTTCTGATAAAATGATAAGATTTAGTATTCAAACGGGAAGTCATCATATACACTTTTATATTTTTCCGTTTAGTGTTGAGGAATATTTCCAATATTTGTATGGCAAAGTATTGGTTTTCGATATACCTTCTCCAAGAAAGAATTGAACGTCAATTTGACATTTCCAGCGTCGAGTTCCGCACTACGTTTGTCCTCGCAAATGACAGTCGCGAATTGATCGAAAGTGGTGTGCGCTTTAACCTCAAAGTTTTTCTCTTTGAGAATCTCCTTTATGATTTTTTTCTCGTCGTGAAAGCGAGACTTTAGGTCCTCCACGTAAAATTTGAACAGGTCCAGAGGAGTAGACCCCGACTGACCCAACATAGCGGAGAATCTTAAAAAATACATTCTTGAAGAAGTACGCTAAAGAAGTATCGGGCATTTAAAGCATACAAACTGTACATCATTTTTAATTTGTGTTTTTCGTTGCAAGGAAAAACTAAAAAACTGGTTTAGTACTCGATTTCGATTGATTATTCCTTATATCATTGATTAAGAAACTCAACGCTTAAATGCTTATATAGTTACGTTAGTGTATATTTTATCTAAGGGATCATGGTGAATTATTGCGTTTTTAATTGCAAATAAAATTCAAGAATTAAATCGTTGCATTTTCATGTTTTGCCAAAGGATCCAATTCGGTAAGTACATTTGTTGGTGCAGAATTAACTAAGGATAACTTTACCTAATATAATTTGTATTTAAGTTTGAACATTTTTAAGACATTAGTAAAAATTAATTTTTGCAGAAACATAACCTTAAAATCATTTATTTATATATTTGAGTTCTCTAAAAAACGCCGACAACTGCATTTTAAACAACAAAATGTACCTACGAATTCATGGCAACATATAATACATAATATTAAAGAATTCTTAATTAACGCTTTTAATAATGCTAAATGCTGTTTAAATTTAGACGACTTATTTGTTTGACGATTTTTACTGAATTGAAATGTTTACACTTTTCACGATAATCACTACTACTAAAATGTGTATTTATTGTATCTAATAGGTACAATGTATATTTACAGGGACTGTATGCAATTTATTTCTTCATTCGGATTAACAGTGTTTATTGGACAACCGGTAAAAACTCAACCCAGGATTTCCTCTCGAAATACACCCAACAACACAACAAATCGTGCCACGTTTTTTTTTCGATATTTTTTAACATATTCCGGCTTTATTCTCAAAAACACTCGTTTGTAACACACGCGTTTGTCAGCTGATTATCAAAAGTTGTACTTTTGTTACGATGATAACAGCCGAGTGGTGGCGCTACTAGCGATACTTCTTTAGCGTATGAGTGAAAAAGCTTGAGGGTTAACCAAGGGAAGAAAACGAGGAAGTAAAGCAAACTGGAGCCAATAGAGGGACCTACCTGATATCAGCCGATATAATAGGGTACAACTCAACCCACAGAGACATCGACGTCAGTTTTCCTTCTTCGTGAAGATGGTCCAAGAGGGCTATGAACTGGTCGCGATTTTTGCGACTTTGTCGCTTCAAGCGGCGCTTTTCCCGCTCTTTTTCTTCGACTTGCTCCTTTTCTAGCACGCGTATGTGCTCTTCGAAAACGATGAGGGCGTCCTCTTTGTCCATAGCGAGCAAGTTCACGTCGTTTTTGAAGGATGTGTTTTCCAAGAGTTGGTACTGGAAGAAATTATGATTATGTTGTGCTACAGGGTGTTATTTAATTAATGTGATATAATCAACAATGTTGTAATGAAGGTAAATTCAAACAAAATCTGTCAACTTTTATGACAGAATCTAGTGCATTTCTTTCAAATTTTAGGTTATGGGCCCAAATTGTAAATATCTTCACTAAGGATTTATTTACACAAATTGAATGTTTAAAGTTTAACCTGTGAACTTGTCCTAATTTCATCTGAGTAAACAAAAAGAAAAAACCGATGAAAAAATTAATTTTGTGGTTATGGAGTTTTTAAAATAGTTAATAAATTTTCTAATCATTGCTTAAGCTAATAGCTGGATGAGTAAATAAATACAGAAGGGTATTAGAGCTCTGAGGGCATAAAACTTATTTATTGAGTTTTTATTTATTTCTTGTCATTTAGACAACAGTCGTTTTGCACCTGTATTGACGGCTGCAATTTTACAAACTTCTTTTTTGACAGCTGTCATTGTGACTTGTTGTAACAGCTGTCATTTTGGTACATGTTATCTTGACAGCTGTCATTTGAACAGCTGTAACTTCAAATTTAAACTGCTGTAAATTTGACAGCTGTCATTTTGACAGCCGTAATTTTTGCACCCGTCATCTTAACTGCTGTTATTTAGATGGCCGTCATTTTGGCACCTGTAATATTGACGGTTGCAATTTTAGCAACTTTCTTTTTGACAGCTGCCATTTTGACCCATTGTGACAGCTGTCATTTTGGTAAATTTTATCTTGACAGCTGTCATTTGAACTGCTGTCAATTTGACAGATGTCATTTGAACTGCCGTCAATTTTACAGGTGCCATTTGAACTGCTGTCAATTTGACAACTGTCTTTTAGGCACCTGTCATTTTAACAGCTGTTATTTAGACACCTGTCATTTCAACAGCTTTTATTTAGACATATGGCATTTTGACGGCTGTCATTTTTGGAGCTGCTATATTGGCGGATGCAATTTTAACAACTGTCATATTGACAGCTGACATTTTTTTAAAATGTCACTTTGACAGCTGTCATCATGAACATGTCATTTTGACAGATGTCATTTATGAACATGTCATTTTGACAGATGTCATTTATGAACATGTCATTTTGACAGCTGTCATTTAGGCACTTGTCATTATGGCGGCTGTCATTTTAAAACCTTTCATTTTAATAGCTGTTATTTAGACACCTGTCATTTTGAAGACTGTCATTTTTGCACCTGCCATTGGCGGTTGAAATTTTAACGACATTTTGACAGCTGTCATTTATAAAAATGTTATTTCGACAGCTGTAATTTATTAACATGTCATTTTGACAGCTGTCTTTTATGAAAATGTCATTTCGACAGCTGTAATTTATTAACATGTCATTTTGACAGCTGTCTTTTAATAACATGTCATTTTAACAGCTGTCATTTATTAACATTGAACATGTCATTTTTACATCTGTCATTTTTGAACATTCTATTTTGACAGCTGTCATTTTTGAACATGTCATTTTTACATATGTAATTTAGGAACATGTCATTTTGACAGCTGTCATTTAGGCACCTGTCATTTTGAGACCTTTCATTTTAACAGCTGTTATTTAGACACCTCGGCCATTTCAAGCGGATGGACGGGACAAATCACAAAACTGTTTTTATAAAAAAAATTGTAGCTAATTTATTATATATTATTTTTGCATCAAAATTGTCAAAAAAATTCTTCTATTATAGGGGTATACATTAAATAAAAAAATCGCAAGAAATATTTTATAAAAGTAGAGATAATTTCAATAATTGACAGGGATGGACGGGACAAGATAAATCTTTTTTTTGTCCCGTCCACACCTTTCAATTATTAAAATTATATCTACTTTCATAAAATATTTCTTGAGTTTTTTTTATTTAATGTATAACCTAATAAAAGAAGAATATTTTTGCCAATTTTGATGCCAAAATATTATATAATAACTAATCTACAATTTTTTTTATAAAAACAGTTTTGTAATTCGTGCGTTTCGCGCGCTTGAAATGGCCGACCTGTCATTTTGACAACTGTCATTGTTGTACCTGTCATTGGCGGCTTTAATTGTCATTTATGAAAATGTCATTTTGACAGCTGTCATTTATTAACTTGTCATTTTGACAGCTGTTATTTAGGCACTTGTCATTTTAGAACCTGTAATTTTGACAGCTTTCATTTTAGCACCTGTCAATTCAAAAAAAAATTAATTAATTGTTTATTGTAGCACAAACAAGTAATAATTAAATAGTTGTTAATTGTGGTAGTCGTAATAGGGTTTGGCAAATACAGACGAGCCACAAAAAGTCACTGTACTAAAAAAACAATTTTTAAATCTGGAACACAGATAAAAAAAATAAGTAAAAACATAAATAAAACTTTAAAATTTGGAGATGACATTTTGTTTGCTGGTGAATTTTTCATTTAAATAATAATAAAAAAAATACCTGGGCTTCACTCCAAGTGGTATCGTAATTTATTTTCGGCATGCTGTCCAAAACTTCGGCCAACTTCTTCATATTTCTCTTCTTCAAAACCTTAGATTCCTCCTTCTCCCGTTTCGCCAAAGCGAAGACAACATCTTCGTAAATATCCCGTCGATCCGAATCACTCACGCTCGACCATATCTTAAAAGAAAAAAAGTAACGTCCAAAAAACAAACACGTATCGAACAAAATTACCTCCAAATGCATGAAAATTTCGTCGCACTTATAGTACTTCGTGTTCGACGTGATCTTGTCGGTTTTCATCAAAAATACCTCCAGTTCTTCCTTAGCCTTTTTGGCTTTGAGTCTGTTCTCCTCCTTTTCATCCTTTTGCTTTTGGGTCTTGTAGGAATTAAAAATTTGCTTTTTCTCGTTCAGTTTTTTAAAGGATTCGTACCTGGAATGTATAATAATACGGACCCCTTCCACACTGCCGCACAGTGTTTCAATTCTGGAAAATATCGGCAAAACCTCAAAAATTGACATTTTTTTTCAGGTAAATTTTGAGTTAGATGGGTAGTTAATACCTGTCTCCATTCTGTAGGTACTGTATTATTGTTTATTGTTTAAAAGTGAATAACTTGTGTTTGGTGTGTCCGATTGTTATGCGGTTTGATGAAGGTATCTAAAATTCAAATATGTATTTGTTTTTCGTAGATTTTGCTTGTACAACGGGTTATTGTAACCGACAAGATCGGTCTGTTAAAATCTCAAACTTTGAATCGAGCTTTTAGAACAATGGAGCTACAAAAATTGTAATGAATTGTAAGGCATCAGTTCAAGATCCGTTGAATAGCTTAAAGTTTTTTCTATCAAGCCATCAATAAATTAGCTGCCCCAACTTGCCCCCGGCTCATTAAAACTACATATTCTTGAGCGCTCAGGCACGGTTGTGGTAAAAAACGTCGCGATTTTAAGCATGTCGAGCGCGTGTGTTTTTGCTTTATAAAATATAAGATTTTTTTTATTTCTGGGTTGCGTTCATGACGTTTACTCGATTCACTCGGTTTTAACTAAAAAAAATAAAAAATGATTTTTTACACAAATGCTGAAATGTTCGAAATGCGTTACCTTTACGGTTTGGAGAATTTAGCAAAGACAACTTTTGAATCATTTTTTATTTTGCAATTATGGTTTGGTTTTGTTACTTGTTCTAACGTTAAAATAAATTTTGTTTAATTAGTAATACAAAATTTTTTTTTTTTAAATTGACCATGTTTTTAAACATAAAAGTTGATTTTTCTCGAAAACGGTCAACTTTAGAGCTTATGACCAAGAGTACCTTTTTTGTGTAGAAAACATTGGCGGTTCGAATAGGCCTCTCAAAATCGTACATTTTTCAGGGGCGTAGAAGTTGAGGAGAAAAACACCCGCTACCCCTTCAAAATCTCCACCAATTATGAGTAAAAAAAAATTTTTTTTCTGGCACAAAACATAGCTTATTTTGAGTAGAAAAGCTGTTTTTTGTACGATAAACGGTTCCGGAGATATTCGAAAAAATCGATTTTTTTTCTAAAATTTCAACACCCTGTATCTCGAAAATTGTGCATTTTAGAGGGTAAGTTAATAGCGACTTTTTTCATCTTTTTGGATGAGCTATAGTCACGGCCAAATCTATATGGGTGCACGTCATCAATGAGATATAATGACGTCAGCATTACCAACTTTGAATTGTAAAGTTACTGCCGTTAAATTTGCTTTTTTAAGGCGTAATTCTGATGTGTTATTAAAAAGAAATCATTCATTTGCGTATTGTTTACCAAGAACTGTAACAATTTCCTTGTTTTAAAACGTTTTTTCACGAAATTATCAAAATAAAACCATTCACTTAGTAATTTTTGTGTGTGCCAGTTGGTAATAGCTTAAGGCTGGCGCGCACCGTTCAATATTATTGATGGGTCGCTGTCATTTTATATTTGACGTATTTTTGTAATTGTGACATTTCGTCCTGAAGCATCGTTTGTTGCAAATTATTATAAATAATATTATACATTATGTTTATAAGATTCTATCCCTGGATTGTGCAAACAATGATATAAGGCTTGTTGGCAACTAGCCGTTATTAGATTTCGAAGACATTGCGCCCTTAATAATAAATTTGGGGAAATAATCAGACTTCAATTCTGACCTGGTTTGCTCTGATGACAAGGACGACTGGTAATTTATATATTTTGTGTTTCTGATAATTTAGAATTTTTTTGTTATGTGCATATGTAATAAAAATGTAATAAACTCCGTTTGTTTTCTCTTTAAACACATTTAATAAAAATTTGCCTGTAACAAACTCCTAATTAGTTAGTGCAGAAGATTATAACAAGGACGTTATAATTCCATCTTAATAACAGACCCCACCGCTATAAACAGTCAACAATACACGAGTGTTAGATTGTGTCTGGGCACGTATGAATAGACCTTAACGCTGACGTCATATGCCGTTGATGACGTGCACCCATACAGATTTGGCCGTGACTATATCACATCCTGAAGTCCTGCGCATATATTATGAAACACCCTGTATATGGATTTTCAGGAGAATCCGACTACTCCTTGATATTTTGCCGAAAATTTCGAGAATTGAAACACTTAACAAAAACTTACCTGGGATCGTTCGAGATGATTTTCACGCACTGCTCCCAGGAGGCGTTGCTGGGCACGTTCTTCTCCTTCAGGAGGTCCTTGAAGGCCTCCATGGCCTCCTTTTTGTTGGCGAAAGTGCGCGGTTCGGGGGTCGAGTTTCGAGATTCCTTCGCTTTCGATTCGCCGTGACCCGATTGGTTGGAATCCTCGTCGATTTTCGGCGGCGGGGTGGGGAGAGCTATGGAGGCCAAGGTGGCCGCCATTGCCGCCTCCAACGCGCTTTTGCCTCCCGGACTTGAAGCTAAAGGGGTTGAGAGAAATTTGGTTTCAAATTAATTATTATTTACTAGACAGTACATAATATATGTTATAAACAAATTCCAAAATCACCCAGGAATGTAAAAATTAATTTTAGAATGTTAAAAACTTATTTAAAAAACATAAAAATGTCTAATTAGTTGAGAATATCAATTTTTTTATTTAATATAGTAAAAAAAACATACTTTAGAATGTGAAAACTTTAAATTTGTCAAAATTACTTCAGCATTCTAAAAACACATTTAAGAATGTTAAAACACGTATATAAACAAATTCCAAAATCACTTAGCAATGTAAAAACACATTTTATAACTCTACAAATATATTTAAGAATCTTAAAAACACATTTTAACATTCTAAAAACACATTTTAGAATGTTACAAATCTTAAAACACTTTTAAGAATGTTAAAACACATTTTAGAATGTTACAAATCTTAAAAGCACTTTTAAGAATATCAAAACACATTTTAGAATGTTAAAAATATGTTTAAGAATCTTAAAAATCATAAAAAATGTCAAATTACTTGAGAATGTCAGAAAAACAATTTAAGAATGTCAAAACCAAATTTTATAAAGTAAAAGAATGTGAATATATCAAATTACTTAAGAATGTCAGAAACACATTTTAAGAATGTGAAAACGATATTTTATAAAATAAAAAAAATATTTTAGAATGTTGTAAAACATTTAAGAATGTCAAAACACATTTTAGAATGTTAAATATATATTTAAGAATCTTCAAAACCAAACAATGTCAAATTACTTGAGAATGTCAAAACCAAATTTTATAGAGTAAAAGAATGTGAAAATGCCATATTACTTAAGAATGTCAGAATAGTACATTCTGTAACAAGTTTGGAATACAGTATATTCCGCTCGAGGAAAAATTTGACACACGAGCCGAAGGCGAGTGTGACGGTTTTACGAGAGTGGAATATGCTATTCCAAACGTGTTTCAGACATTATTTTCTCTACGACTACGTAAGAATAGTAACGCTTATATAATTTTAAACAGAGAAAAGAAACCAAGCAGTTTTTGACATTTAAGTTTTTGTACTGTCAAACCATTTTGTGCCGTCACAATTTTATAATGTAAATTATAATAAATTTAAACAAATGGTATGCCTAAATCTTTATTATAATTAAAAATAGTTATTTACTCTAACTAATAAAAAAAATAACATTGTAACAAATACAAAACTAATTTTACAAGTAATTGTATGATTAGAGGTGTCCCTCTATAAACTGTATGTTTCTTGGGATGAAAATAAAGTATTTTATTTTATTTATTTATTTATCTATGTTCAACATCTATTCTTTTTCTACATTTAAAGGTCTTTTTTTAAACTTTTTGAATCTGTCAAAACTTCAAAGCCGGTATAGTAGGTAACTGGTTTATCATTTTAATATCAAATTTATTATAATTTTGATTTGTATATTTGAAAAACAATAAATATAACCAATTTTTTGTGCCTAAACCTTAATTATACAACTGCTATTATTTTTAATTAATAAATAATACAGTAATATTTAAATATTTTTAAATTTTTTACGTTTAGTAAACAGTCAAAAGATGTCGTTACTTGTGACCATTCTTAACCAAGAGTAGGAATATTCTCGCACAGTATTGCAGAAAAACATCCTTTCTATGATCAAAAATTACACTAGAATGTTACTATTCTTAACAGGGGGGTATAAGGGGAATTTGACAACAGGCAACAGTAAAATAAATCTAGCATGCGTTGAAACCCAAGTTGTTTTTGACAAACCCCAGTTATTAACCACGTGATTCTTACTTTGTTGTGATTGGTCTTTTCCAACGTGTTCGTTGATGTTCGGTTTGAGAAATTACAAATGGCCGACAGCGTTGTTGAAGTGGTGTGTACAAAGTTTTATAATCCAAATTTTCTTTGTTTTAGGTAAGTAAACTTGTTAATTTCGGCTTTAACATTTTATTAGGTGTTTTTAGTCAAGTTTGAGTTAGTTGTAGCATCATTACCGCGTTTAAAATAAGAAAATACGTGTGATAAACCGTATTGGTTTTTTTCTCTATGTTTACCGAAAACACATGTACCTAGTTAATAAAATTCTTTTTATGTAATGAAACCTATCGCAAAGAGTAAAGACTCTTACTCTTTGCTTATGGGTTGTTTAACTAATGCAAGTTTTGATAGAATTTAAATATTTTTAAAGCGTTTTGATTCAAAACTTTCAATCAAAACAGTTTTTAACGTTTTTTTTCTCGACACTAGTTGCTGTTATACAAAATGTTAAATATACCTATAATCTTTGTCAAAATGTATGTTTTTGTTAAAATTATTTGATGTAGCTACGCAAAAACTGGACCTGGGTCCAGGGCCCCACTACATTGGCATTTAGTGGAGCGGAGGTTATTGAACGAACAGCCCCCTCATCGGTGGATCGGACGTAAAGGGCCCAACAATTTGGCACTTCATGTATGGTCAACACGTTCAACCGATATCACAGTGTGCGACTTCTTTCTCTGGGGCTTTATAAAAGATAACGTTTATGAGCCCCAAGATTTGTAAAAGCTAAATACACGAATTGGAACTGCCGAGTATCTACAAGATGTTTGCAGCTGGAAGAGGTCATATTAAACACTTGTAAGCATACAGTTCAAAACTTGATTATATTACAAATGTTTTGTGCTTTCCATGTTTTTTTTTACATAAATATAGCATTTTGAACTACAGGGTGATTTTTTACAGTGTTTTTATAGTTATTTTATTTGAAGGGGTCAATGCAAGAAGTGTACAAGTCACATTTTCAATTAAATTGTTATTGTGGCTTCATCCATAAGTTGAAAACCAGGCAAACTCCCATTGAAGTAAATGCAAACTAAGGCACTTGGGCACATATTTCTGCCACTTTGAAAATACCACCTGAAACCTTATGTGAAACACTCTTAGATGATGCCACAATGTAAATTTAATTGAAAATGTGACTTAGGCACTTAAGTGCAAGAATTCTTGCATTGACCCCTTCATTTGTTCTATCTGAAAGTCTGACATTTTTAATGTACATAAATAACTAGACAATTCATAAGCAAACCTTTTAAAGAATTATATTTAAAGTTTTTAATTCAATTATTTATTGCTACAATATAAATTGATTTTAATTTAATATAATTAATTTTAGCTTCTGCAATAATGGAAAAATTAGACAAGATTTCTCCTGCATGAAGAAAAAGAATGAAAGCTTTACTCGTCAATCCCAAACAGAAATATTTGACCAAATTTTTTTAATAATAGGTAGATATATTTTTTTTTAATTTAGAATACATTTTTAGTTACAATTGGTGGTGTGTGAATATTTTTACGAAATAAATTAAGTAGTAATATTTAATTCAAACTTAAAATTAAATATTTAAACTACATAAATAGTTTGAATTATTTGAATAGTTCAATAATTACAATCATAATCTATTCAAATAAGTTAATTAAGGGTTAATGACAAGTAAATAAAATTCTTTTTATTTCAAAATAAATTTTAAATTACAATTCCAATGTTCAATTTCTTCAATTACTATTGGAAAATTTTAATTTTCTAATTGAACCATTTAAAAATTTGAAACATTCAAACTATTTAAATAATTCTTGAATTCAATATTCACACATCCATAGTTACAATCCAAATATAAAAAAAGTAAAAGAAAGTACACTTTTAGTATTTACTCCAAATATAATTAAATTGTTTATTGTTAAAACAAGCAATCTGACATTTTTATATTACATACACTTCTGCTTTAAATTATTATTTTGAGGCAGAAATATTTTATTTAGGATTTTTATTAGGATATTAAAAAAGGATATTTTCATGTTAAAACAGCACAACTTAACCATTATTAGTTTTTATAAGATTTTTAAATTAAAAAATAAACAAAATCATACTTAGTTAGTTACTTAGCTTATTTTTACAATAAACCATTCAATTATTTTTATGCTGGTAAAACAATTACCTTTAGCATAAATAAGTAGCATAAATATTGATACATTATTTTTATTTTATTTTAAAAATTATTAGGTAATATCAATTGTTTTACAATTTAAATTGATTTTAAAATTGGTATTGATTTCAGGTTTGGGTTTGTGTTAATGGAAGAAGCAGACAGGACTTGAATTTATCAAACTTCTTTGCAAAAGAACATAGAAAATATTAATTGCAGTTGAATATTCTTCATTGAATCAAGAAAAAGACGCAGGTTCAATCCATGAATCATGAACAAGAAAAAAGACAATTAATACTTAATATTGACCAGAAAGTTAAATCATACATAAAGATTTTAATTTTGCCAAATACATAATAACAATATTTTTAACAAGATTTAAGTGGTTCTATTGATTATTAATTTTAATTAAACCAATTTTACTAAAAATTAAATATTCCAAAGAATGTAATTTAATTTTTGGATAAGTAGGAATTCCTTTTTGCCAAAAATTCTATATTTTACAAAACTACAGTATTGTGCTTATTTTAAAAACAAATTATAATCATAATTCCTAAAAATTATAAGAGTATGGTTTGTTATTACTTATTAGTCTAATTATGGCATTAAACATTTTAGGCATAAGCCTTTTGGTTTATTCCAATAAAGAAATTTGGAAATACCTATAGGTATACAATAAGTCAGTATGTATTACAAAATTATTTATTTTTATGAATTACATATTCAAAGTTAAAATAATTTTAATTATATTATATTAATACTCAAACTGTTTTAAAAGGTTGTTTTCTAATAAGGACCAATAAGTATTGAACTATTGTTTATCAAGAATTTATCAAATATTTTGATGGTTTGTAATATGTTTTAGAGTTAATTTGTTTATAAACCTTTGCATTTTTATTAAGAAATCTTAAAAAACCTATAAAAATTGTTATTATGTGACACAAAATTAAAATTTCTGAACATTATCGCTGTAATCAAGCGATAATTGTCTTGTAGGCATATATAAGAGGGTAATTATCAATTTAATGTCATACTTTTTGATAAATTATACCTAAATAATTATAAATTATTATACATGTTTGATAAACCTTTTTTTAAATATCACTAAAAGTTATAGAATAACAAACTTTGAATTTCTCCTCATTTAAATATTATTTGTTAGTTATACTTTAATTTAAAATTAAATTAAGTGTATATTTTGTTAAATATATTTATTAAAAAAAACAAAAATGTGTGTTTTTCCACTTAATTAGTGGAAAATAACCGAAAATTGTCGAAATTTTATATTTTTTGATTTTTAATGGACAATATTACGTATATAATCCTTTTAAAATCAAAAAATATATAAAATTTAAACAATTTTCGGTTATATTTCCTTGTTTTAAATAAAAATTCAAATATCCAATCATTCAAATTTCCCGCCGAAAAAAACAACTCGGTTTTCCAAGGCTGCTAGATTTAAAAATCAACCAATGCTTGTTGCCACTTTTGACTACAGCGCTTTTAATTCTCTTATGTTCTGTGATTCTTAAGTAGTCGTAGAGAAACACATTTTTGAATGTCAAAACTATATTTTATAAAGTAAAAAACATATTTTAGAATGTCAAAACTTTAAAAATGACAAAATTACTTAAGAATCTTAACAACAAATTTTAGAATGTTAAAAAACATTTAAGAATCTTCAAGAATTTGAAAAACACATTTTAACATTCTAAAAACACATTTTAAAATGTTAAAAATATGTTTAAGAATTTTAAAAACCATAAAAAATATCAAATTACTTGAGAATGTCAGAAACACAATTTAAGAATGTCAGAAACACATTTTTATAAAATAACATATTTTAGAATGTCAAAACTATAAAAATGACAAAATTACCCAAGAATCTTAACAACAAATTTTAGAATGTTAAAAAACATTTAAGAATGTCAAAACACATTTTAGAATGTTAAAAATATATTTAAGAATCTTCAAAACCAAACAATGTCAAATTACTTGAGAATGTCAGAAACACATTTTAAGAATGTCAAAACTATATTTTATAAAGTAAAACATTTTAGAATGTCAAAACTATAAAAATGACAAAATTACCTAAGAATCTTAACAACAAATTTTAGAATGCTAAAAAACATTTAAGAATGTCAAAACACATTTTAGAATGTTAAAAATATGTTTAAGAATTTTAAAAAGCATAAAAAATGTCAAATTACTTGAGAATGTCAAAACCAAATTTTATAGAGTAAAAGAATGTGAAAATGCCATATTACTTAAGAATGTCAGAAACACATTTTTGAATGTCAAAACTAAATTTTATAAAGAAAAAAACATATTTTAGAATGCCAAAACTTAAAAAATGCCAAAATTACTTAAGAATCTTAACAACAAATTTTAGAATGTTAAAAAACATTTAAGAATGTCAAAACACATTTTAGAATGTTAAAAATATATTTAAGAATCTTAAAAACCATAAAAGTGTCAAATTACTTGAGAATGTCAAAAACACATTTTAAGAATGTCAAAAATATAATTTATAAAGTAAAAAAACATATTTTAGAATGTCAATACTTTAAAAATGCCAAAATTACCCAAGAATCTTAACAACAAATTTTAGAATGTTAAAAACATTTAAGAATGTCAAAAAACATTTTAGAATGTTAAAAATATGTTTAAGAATCTTAAAAACCATAAAAATGTCAAATTACTTGAGAATGTCAAAACGATATTTTATAAAATATAAATAAAAAATATCTTAAAAACCATAAAAATGTCAAATTATTTGAGAATGTCAGAAACCAATGTCAAAACTACATTTAATAAAGTAAAAAAAAACATATTTTAGAATGTAAAACCTTAAAAATGACAAAATTACTTTAGAACTTGAGAAACACATTTAATAATTTTATTTTATACCTAATGTATTTCTTATAACAATATTTTTTTAATGTTTACAAGTATTTTTAGATAAAAATATAACTAAATAATACCAACAGAAAACTTACCAGCTGGCGAGTTAGTTGCGGAATCGATTGGCAACACTGGAGCAGGGCTAGTAACCTCTTTTGGAGTTATGGGGGCTGAAGCCGGTTTAGCCCTAAAAATATTTTTTCGTTCAAATTTTGTCCCCATTATTGTATTAATTTTGTTGTATCAACTTTAATTTTTAACAATCCTAATTTAACCAAATAAATAAAAAATATATACTCACTCCTCAGCAGCAATCTTCTTCTTAATCTCCTCCAACTCTGGTGGCACAACCCACCTGCTCTCCTTCGTATTAATATTATGATAATAAATCTTCCCATTGTCCGCAGTGTATTCCTTCCACGGGCACTGCGACAACAACATCTCTGCCGGACTTTTCAACTGGTCCGGCTTCTGCCAAGAACTTTGCTTCGTGGCCCCATTATAATAATAAGTCCTCCCATCTGGCGATTTGTGCTCCGTCCAGGCATCAGCAGTGCCCGTTGTTGGGGGGAAAGCCCCAAAACCTGGGGGAGGTACGCTAAAAGGAGTCATAATGGGCGGAAAACCGCCCATTGGGTGCCCCGGGGGCATCAACGGTGGCGTACCCATGCCTGGCGGCGGCACGAAACCAGGCGGCAAATTGGGGTCCTAAAATAATGAACATAAGTGAAAAAACCGGGTCATAACCTCAAAAACTCACCATTGTTTGTTTATATCGCTAAATACTGTTCAACTACTTAAATTATTGTATTATTAATGCATTTTCACTTTACAACACTTTATTTCACTTAAAACACATTAAATATAGCGAAATTAAAAAGTTCTGTGTGCTGTCAAAAACACATTGGATGCAACGTTGACAAATTTCTTCGCATTATTATTACAATTTTCTCCATAAAAACTGAAATATTCCAATTATTATTAAACCTAAAACTAATATAAGCCTAATTATTACCTAAAATCTCTTAAAATAGTGTTTCAGTGGTTAATAAGACGAAAAATCGATATTTTGATCTGTCAAAAACTGAACGTTAGACAACCGTTGTTACACTATAGACAGGTTGTTGTTTAATGTAATATAAAGGTTATTAAAGGTTTTTAAGATATTTATTATTATACATAGAGTTAAATTGTTTAAATTAATTGATAGACCTTCATATAAAAAAGTGCCACAAGAAAAAATTATTACATACATAGGTTGTGATATAATAAAATCAATGTGAGTACTCTTAATATTTATTTATTGTTTTTTATTGTTTAATCGCCTGTTTAGGGTTGAGTTGATGTTGTTTGAACCGGTTTTAATATTTCACTTATTTTTCATGCTTAACTTAGTTTGAGGTGGATTTTTGGGTAAGTTTTAAGTTATAAATTATTTTTTAAAAATTGTTATGTTATCTTGACTAATATACAGGGTTTCCCAGGTTAAAGTAGCAGTAAAAGATAAGATTTTTAAGTAAATTAGAATACGTAGAATATGATTAAATAATTAAATAAAATGTCATCCATTTTTTGTGTGAAATTTTACTTAATTTAATTTAATTTGATAAATTAACAACAGTAGGCTGTGACAGCAATTTCGGCGGTGCCAATGTAGTAAAAATAAAACATTGTATTTTAATTAACAAATTAATACTTAATTACAAATTAAAGTATTATTGCAAACTAAAAACAACATATAAACTAAATAAGTAGCAATATAAATTGTTAATTTATTGTTATAATGGCAAAATTGTTATATTTTTGTTTTCGTAAGTTGGTAGCACAAAATTTGAAATGACATTTTAAACAAATCAAAAAATTGTTTTTAAGGTTTCTTTAAAAATATACTGTAATATTTAATTTTTTTGGTTGCTGTGATATACAAAATACACTGTGGCGTAATAAAACAAATTTAGGTACGTAAAAAATACGTTAAAATGTATTCTCTTGAAACTTGTGCTGTAAAATACTCTTTTAATATTGACACCTGCGTTTTTAATTTATTTTTAAACAAAAACACACAAAACAAACTTGTAAGCTGACAATGCGGTTTAATATGTCCATGATTATAACAGTGCAAACCCTTAATAACAATAAAACCAACGAAATAATTAAAAATATATATTTTTACAACAATTTTAAGTTATTTAATTCTATACATACAATCATGCAATACCTTAAAAATTTTCGTAAAACAACAATCACATCTTTATCGAGTAAAAAAGTTCACACACACGAATCTCGCGCTGCCCTGGGTGTGGGAAGCCTTACATAAAAATCACCGTAAAATATAAAATCGAGGACATTTTATAAAAAAAAGTTTTATTTTATTTTGATTCTATTTTGCTTTGTCGAAGCGGTGTTGCCGTCACTACCGAAGACTTCTTGCGATGCATAGGTTATGTATAGGAAGCCATCAGTCCCAGCATGTTCGCTATATACTTCTGACATAGAGGTGGATAAACTCATCATTGTTCGGTTATTGACGAGTAGATATAGGCTTTGGTTTTGGTTCATTCTCATTTTATTTCTAAAAAAAATGTAGTTGTATGCAGTGTTGCCAGAAGCAACTATAATATTGTACCAAAGTGAACACGAAAAATGTACCAATTTTAAATAAAAAGTACCATATAAATTTCAAATGAACTTAAATTAGATTGTTTTAAACACGTACACAGAATAAATTAATATTTTAATATTTAAAATATTAATGTTCAATTGAGCTGTTTTAAAAAAGATGGGAATAATTAAACTAGATTTTCAACAACAAATATATTTGATAAACTTCTTAATATTTGTTATATGTTCTTAATTCAATAAAACCTTTGTAAAAAATAGAGTAGGCAGAAAATGTACCAAAATTGTTCTCGATGTACTTTTGTACCACGAGGTTAAAAATGTACCAAAATGGTACAAATGTACCACCTCTGGCAACACTGAGTTGTATGAAAGTCGGTTTTTCTGGGTGCTATACGCTAAAGAAGTATCGCTAGTAGCGCCACCACTCGGTTGTTATCATCACTTTTAATAATCAGCTGTCAAACGAGTATGTTTAAGAATAAAACCGAAAAATGTTAAAAAATATCGAAAAAAACCGTGGCTCGATTTGTTGTGTTGTTGGGTGTATTTCGAGAGGAAATCCCGGGTTGAGTTTTTACCGGTTTTCCAATAAACAGTGTTAATCTAAATGAATAAATAAATTGCATACAGTCTCTGTAAATATAAATTGTACCTATCAGATACAATAAATACACATTTTAGTAGTGATTAACGTGAAAAGTGTGAACATTTCAATTCAGAGAAAATCGTCAAACAAATATGTAAGTCGTCTAAATTTAAACAGCATTTAGCATTATGAAAAGCGTTGATTAAGAAAGTCTCCCCTCAACGGTAAAATACCATTATATTATGTATTATATATAATATTATGTTGCCATGAATTCGTAGGTATATTTTGTTGTTTAAAATGCAGTTGTCGCGTTTTTTAGAGAACTCAAACATAAAAATGGTTGATTTTAAGGTTATGTTTGTGCAAAAATTATTTTTTACTAATTTCTTAAAAACGTACAAACTTAAATATGAGTTATATTAGGTAAAGTTATCATTAGTTAATTCTGCACCAACAAATGTACTTACCGAATTGGATCCTTTGGCAAAACATGAAAATGCAACGATTTAGTTCTTGAATTTTATTTACAATTAAAAACGCAATAATTCACCATGATCCCTTTGATAAAATACACACACTAACGTAACTATATAAGCATTTAAGCTTAATTTTCATGTATCCGTTTGTCCGTCAGTCCGTTCATCCGGGATAGCTCTTATTGGTCCAGCTATAATTCGAAAATTATGACATTTTATCGGTCCGTCAAGTTTCAACTTCGTACGTCTGACAGAGAAAGGTTAAATAATATTAACTCATCCGTCACTAAACATCTGTTTTTGACGCCTAACGTTATTTTAAGATAATTTATTTTCAAATATTTTTATATTTTTCAATAAGATTGTAAAACGAAAATATTACGTTCGTTATGTGAATAATGTTTTACTGTTAAGTTAAGTTAGTATATTCTTTTTATAAGGTATATTTACCTACCTTTAAATTTATTAGACAGCTAACTGTTAAAGTTACAATTGTTGACATAATTGTAACTATGACAATTAAGCATTAGGTAAATTTAGTAAGTGAATATACTGACACTTAATTTCTATCTGTCGCAAAATCAATCCGTCAAACGTCATTAAAAAACGTATGCATGAAAATTAGAACATTTCTTATCGGACGATTTTATTGAATAACTGACATGAGTAATTCTTTTATAAACCGAACACCTTTTGACCGACACATCTCAGATTTGGCTGAAACTTTTTTTACGGATTCTATGTCGAAAAATAAGAGATACGTGTCCGAGGAATTTTTTTTCTCTCGCATATTTTCGATAATACAAGCTATCGAAAATTTGAGAATAACGAGTTTTTTGGCTTATAGACTCATTTTCAAAAATTTATAACTCTGGTTCTATTTGAGCTACAAACTTCTTTTTTTTTAATTTTAAAGCTAAAGGACTGAATTTTCATAAAAAAATATTTGTAATAAATATTAATAACAAATTCATATTGTTATTAACAATTTCATTGTTTAAATCAATTTTTAACAATGGCCCCCACCTCGTATTAAGTTTTTAGTATTTTTATCGTATTCTTCGTCAAATTTTACATAAAAAACATGTTTTCAAAATATGGTACCTTTATTATTACTATTGTTAAAACATTAATTTGTATTGCGCGACACATAAAAAAACGGTTTTTTGTTAATAAAAAGAAAACTATAGCTCGGATCAAAAAAAGTCAAATATAAAAGTTGTAGATAATAAAAAGATATACAATTTTTATTTTAACTATTTTTTGACATAACCTCACTTTTCAAATAAATTGAAAAATTTCATTTTATTTGAAAAGTGAGGTTATGTCAAAAAATAGTTAAAATAAAAATTGTATATCTTTTTATTATCTACAACTTTTATATTTGACTTTTTTTGATCCGAGCTATAGTTTTCTTTTTATTAACAAAAAACCGTTTTTTTATGTGTCGCGCAATACAAATTAATGTTTTAACAATAGTAATAATAAAGGTACCATATTTTGAAAACATGTTTTTTATGTAAAATTTGACGGAGAATACGATAAAAATACTAAAAACTTAATACGAGGTGGGGGCCATTGTTAAAAATTGATTTAAACAATGAAATTGTTAATAACAATATGAATTTGTTAATAATATTTATTACAAATATTTTTTTATTAAAATTCAGTCCTTTAGCTTTAAAATGAAAAAAAAAAGAAGTTTGTAGCTCAAATAGAACCAGAGTTATAAATTTTTGAAAATGAGTCTCCAAGCCAAAAAACTCGTTATTCTCAAATTTTCGATAGCTTGTATTATCGAAAATATGCGAGAGAAAAAAAATTCCTCGGATACGTATCTCTTATTTTTCGACATAGAATCCGTAAAAAAAGTTTCAAGCAAATCTGAGATGTGTCGGTCAAAAGGTGTTCGGTTTATAAAAGAATTACTCACATACGGATGACGGACAAACGGATACATGAAAATTAAGCTTTAAGCGTTGAGTTTCTTAATCAATGATATAAGGAATGATCAATCGAAATCGAGTTCTAAAAGTTTTTTAATTTTTTCCTTGCAACGTAAAACAAAAACCCGATACTTCTTTATCGTATACAAAAAATGTGTACGGTAAAACAGAATCAAACTTGTAACTTCGTTACCTTATTATAGTCTGGAACTGGGACATTGTGATTTCTTGAGGGACTAAAAACTTTGATTTGTCTAGCTGAGGAAGATGGGTTTCTTTATAAAATCTTTGAACTATAACCTAAAAAACATATACTTATAGTAAAGTCAATCAGTTAAAAAAAATTAGGAATACTTACAGGTATTTTTGTGGGAAATCTATTTCTTATAGCTAATACTTCTTCTTTTCTTACTTCTGCAACAAAAAAATAATATTTAAAATAGTATTTAAAAAAATGCTAGAGCAGAGTTGGTCTGGAACATACCGATTTTTTCACTGAAAAAGTTATTAAAATTACCAAGCATCGTAATTTAGGTTAAAACGTTTAAAGAAAATTATTTGTGTGTAAATTTTTTGAAATCTTCTTGTGTATATCTTAAAAAGTCATAACAATTTTATCGTATCTAATGAATAGCTTACTTAATATTTATTAATAAACCAATAGGTTAATTTTTTATGTTATGATAAAGTATTAAAATATGAACTATTGTGACATTATCTTAATGGTCGGTTTTATACAGTACATTATTTATAAATTTTCAACATTCGACTAAAAATAGGTAGATTTTGTCTAAAACATTTTTTCATATTTGTAATAGATGGCGCTGTAATGATATATATGATAATATTCTGCTAACACTGCTCTGGGATATTCCCAAATCTCTAGATAATTCTCGTGTGCTTGCATGAGGATTAGCGGCCGTTACTGCTAATACATTAATTTCATTATTTCCACCTGTTACTGTTGCTCGACGAACTCTTTTTTTCGGTTGAACACTCACGTTTGTAGTAAACTGCTTGACTGTACGGTGAAATGAAGTACGCGATCAAATTTTATCCGGAAAACGCTGAGCGTAGATATTAACGGCATCATCAAGATTCCTGCCTGCTTCTCCATAAACCAAAATCATTTCTATTTTTTCTTCCACTGTTAAAAAATCCATTATGAATAACTGCTTAACGAAATGAGGTCTTTTTGTTTGCAAATTAATCTTCGAACTAAATTGATTAAATAATGATAATAATAATTATTATTTATAACTAAATACCATTTTTTATATGTTTTTTTACCTTAAATGAGGTATTTTTATTAAAAATAGTACAATAATCCTTTTAATTAAAGGATTTAATGCTGGCAGGTAAAAAGTGACCATGGTGCGCAATTGATAATTATCACCAAATGAAATAATGTATAAAACTTAAACCAAAGGAAACTTAAATATTAGTTAAAAATCGTGGGTACTTAAAAAAATCAGATTTAATTTAATAAGATAATTATTACCAAAAAAGTGATATTTTTATGGAAAAATTATTGCAGAATCGTATACAGAAGAAAAATCGAACAAAATTGATTTTTTTTCATTACAGCGCCATCTATTACAAATATGAAAAAATGTTTTAGACAAAATCTACATTTTTTCGTAAAATGCATACTAACAAAGTTTCAGGTTAAATGACTCCCCCTGTATACTAATTAATTGTAAGGTGGTGCAAACTTGGTTTTGAGCTTTTCAAAAATCGATTAGCACCCAGACACGCAAGGTTATAAGACTGTTCGACATGACTCACATTTAATTTTATATATAAATAAGGTAATTACAGATTTTTAAAATTTTCGATATCTTAATTGATGCAATAAAATTTTAATTAACTATATTATTATGATTATCAAATTGTTTGAATCAAAATATTCAAGCTCCAGACAGATAAACAAAAAAGTTTATTACGTATTGCGAAAACCACGGTTTTCTTCTTTGATGTATATTTATCAGGTTTATTTTTCAATCAATCAATTATAATATTGTCTAATTTTAATTGGATGTACAGGGTGTTATGTAATTAATGTAATATATTAAAATACTGAATACCTTTTGACATCAGGTGTAACGGAAAAATATTTAAAAAAATTAAGATGATTGGGTTCTGTTTGTATTTTCGGTTTCTACAATCAAAATCATGAATTATAGCGTTTACAGAATGTTTAGATTAATTCTGTTTTTTTTTAAATATCAATTTAAAGTTTTAGTAATTCTGTATCCCGAAATATCGTAAAATAATAAATAATTAGTACCTACATAAATTATGGGAATTATTATTATTATTACACTCACAGGCAAAATAATCGATCCACACAAAAATTCTATAAATTTCAATCGCAAATAACTTTTTTATTTGATGTCGGATTTAAAGGAATATTAAAGAATATTCTAGATACATTAATGGAGAATCGCTCACATTTTAAAAAATTACTAAAAAATAGACGTACTTTTGTAATATACAGGTTTAAACAAAAATATGTTTTTTACCATAAGTTTAAGACACTCTGTAGAGTGGCAAAAACGTATATTGTTCTAAATTAAGTTTTATTTAACCAAAAACAAAACTGAAAAATAGATGTGACTTGATAATTTAAACTTAATTTAGAACAATATAGGTACGGTTTTGCCACTCTACAGAGTGTCTTAAACTTATGGTAAAAAACATTTTTGTTTAAACCTGTATATTATAATATACAGTTTATATATAAACGTACGTGTATTTTTAGTAATTTTTAAAATGTATCTACAATATTCTTTAATATTTGTTTAAATCCGAAATCAAATAAAAAAGTTATTTGCGATTGAAATTCATCGAAAATTTGTGTGGATGGATTATTTTGCCTGTAAGTGTACAAAAAGGAGAAATGAAAACCACTTTCAGAACCCCATAATTTTTGTTGCTTGTACTGTGTAATAAATTACATTAATTACATACCACCCTGTATAAAATCCTGCATTTTTAACCAAAAAATATTACATACTCTTATTTACTGTTGTAAAGCCTCGTTCCACAACAAACATATTCACATAATAAACTACTTTTTTAAATAAGTTTGTATAGGTTATACTATTACCGAAATTAACTAAAAAAAATACCAAAATCTACTACTGTTCAAAAACATACTAAAATTACTAAAAAAGATTTTAACAAACTACTAACATTTAATTATTTATTTGTTAATGTTTAAAAACAGTAGAAGATCCGTTGCAGGTATTTTAATATATCACAGCCGACTTATCTCGTCAAAAACGTCTTGCAAACTGACCTGTTGTTTTGTTTTTCTTCGCATCGCCTCTCTGATTGTGATTATTGTTGCTGTTTATGTCTTTCTTAATTTTTTTAATCTCCATCTTGTTGCTGCATTCGCTGCTTCTGCTGTCGATTTTCATGTTGTTTTTGTTCATTTGAAGAGTACAATTATTGTTGTTGTTGCAATTACACGACAAGCTGTTGGAGTTCGATTTAAGATACATGGGGAGACATTTATTTCCAATCACCGCACTTGTATTACACTCAACCACACTGAACACTTCACTCGGTTTTTCGGGTACTTTTTTCGTCGAATTTTTTCACCGCAGAGTGCTGTCCGGCTGCCGATGCTGTTTTGTTTTCAAAGAGATTGTGATTTACTTATTTATATTAATTATAATAATATCAACTCTTATCTGTAATATATGTTGTGCCGTTATTTGTTGGGTGGATATTTGAATACTGTATTAATGTTTTTCACTTTGGGTTCTTCTGGAATTATTCTGGAGGTTTTGTTCTCCCCACTACTAATTTGTTTACCGGTACTATACAGGGTGATTTACCAAACTTATTCATTAGAAGTTATGGAGATTAATATATTCATTTGAAATTTGAATAGCAATTTGATTTTTTTTTATATTTAAGAGTTTTTGAAATATTTAATTTTTTTTAAGTTTTGACAAATACATGGTCTACTAATATGTCTGTATTACCACTAATTGTAATGTTAAAAAGTTTATTTATGGACCATAAATATGGTGTACCTGTTAACTCTATCGAAAGCCATGGGTGATAATAATTACACTAGTAACCCAGACCGCAAAATCACATTCACTGCACATGTCAGGAATATTCCCAGGAATATTTCAAGCGTCCCAGAATATTCCCAGGAATATTCCTGGCATAATCAAATGACCGCTTTTTTGTTAACCCAGGCATCATAAAAAGAATATTCCATATAGGTATCTGCCTGCAGAAGACTCAAGGATTGTTAGGGGAATATTCCTTGATATGATTTGGGGATTATTCCCAGCCCTTATTGCCTCTTATACCCAGGAACTTAACTTAAGTATAGCCATTATTGAGTTACTGAGTAGATCAGTCCCACTCTAATCATTGTTTAGCTTTGCCATCACAGACGCACATCTCCAACTGATATTATTAACCTATCGGTATATATAGTTATCAAGTGTGCGTAAGCAACGGTGAGAGGTATTGCAACTAAACTAATGAATATTCACTGGGAATGTTCTTAGATGATGCTTGGAAGTTTTAGAGGATCATTCTAGGAATATTCCTAGAATGAAGCGGATTATTCTCTACGTTTTTAGTTGTTCTATCTAAATTGTAAAATTAGTGCAGTTTAGCATATAGGATAACGATTTTATAAGTCAAAAAGTGAGCGTTTCTGGTGTTTCACGATTCTCTATATCCTGAGCATTGTTAGATTTATTTGAAATTCTTAGGGAAACATTCCAAAATTACGGGCCTCCAAAAGTATAATATTTACTAACCCATCTACCACATAATCACAAATCACAACGTGGCAAAACGGAAAGACAGATTGACAGGATTTTTTTAATATTTCCAATAGTTAAAGGCACAATGGAAAAGATCATATACCTACTGATGTTACAAATAAAAAAATTAGCGTTTTTTAGGAAAGTTTTGCCCATAAACAAAACCAATGGGAAACGAGATAAGTGCCTGTGTAAGGAAAACTTCTTTGCATGCACTGTAAGGAAAATATTGACTCCCTATTTTCAGTCATGGAAACTTTTTCGTGTTTGTCTTTCTACAATCACCACCTGATATGCGTTTGTGGTTACAAAAGAGTTTTTATTTTCGAGAAACAACAAGAGATTTAAATAAAACATTATTAAGATAAGAATTAATAGTTATTTATTTGCAATATATTATTTTCTTTGACAATGATTATTGTACAAAACAAGATAAGAACAAATGCAATGCTGGAGGAAACCATACGATTTTTAAACGATGTTTTATATTTATTGATCACCCAGGAAATTTCCTATAATAAATAGTTTTCATGCATCTAATTAAGTTAAATTTCTTTAATTGGTATTAGCTTTAGTGGCGCCGGTATACGTTAAAGTTTTGCACTTTTTATTGTATTTTCAAAATCATAATTTTTGATTTAATAATTAATTAATGTTACACTCTGTATATTCAAGATAAATTTGACATGGTAATTTGTTATGATTCAGCAAATGGTCCAAACTAGATCAAGATATTTTCATTAAAAAATATATATAAAAATGTAAATGGGTCAATACTATGTATGAAGACAGCTGATATTATTTAAACAAATACTATTTAATTCAATATTTATTAAAGATAATAAAGTGTTTTTATTTTGGTGAGTAATGTTAAGTTTTGCACACGTTTACTCATTATTTAGATAGCCATGACTATTAAGGTAGTTGTCGTGCTATAAGCATACCATCAGAAAATTTTGAATTTTTGTATACTTATTAAGGACATGACAATACATATATCCTTAAAATTTGAAGTCGATTGACCGTCTATAACCCGAGATAAATTCAATTAAAAATTGGATAATTAACATGGATTGTATAGGCTTTCTGTAGTTCTGTACCAGTTTCTTAGTTATACAGAAAAAACTAACTGTCAGAAGCTTTCAAAAAACTAACATTGTTTTAATGTATTTTTGCTGAGTTTAAAAAAAAATAATTAAAAATTTTTGACCGTCCAATTGTTTATAAATAACCGTTTAAAGTTCAACAATTTGTAAAAAGTATACATCACTAGTGTCAGATAAAAACAACTTGGCAAGGCTGTACGCGAGTATAGATATAATTTCCGCAGTAAATTCAAACGTCTGATTCAGTCTCCAATATATCTATTGGTTGAGCATAAGCGACGTTGCCGGATTAAAACTTATGAAAATATTTGAAAGTATTACGTAAAAATAACGTCTCCAGGGTACAGTCTTGCGAACAAATTATGAATCACTTAGCTACCAGCTCGTATACTTTTACGTTGCGTATAATCTAAAAATTTTTGACAATATTGTACCACGACAACTACCTTAACTACTGTATTTTGTTTTAATTATTATTTGAACCGCTAGATTTAAAAATTGTTGGACAAAACATTAAAAATACGTCTTTTTGACGTATTTTTTTTAATTTTCAAAATGGGTCGTGTGGCATATCATTTAAAAGGTCTTTTGATGCTGATTATACGTGACTACTTATTTTTCCGATTGTACAGGGTGGAACAAAAAAAATTACGCTTTTCAAAATTTTTCAAAATGTTTTTAAATTGGGCAGTGTCAAAAATAACACGTTTTAAATTTAAGCTTAATCCATTTCTGGGGGGTAATGGGGTTAAGATAACATTTATGTGCGGAGGCCGATAATTATAATTATAATAAAAATATCACTTGGCAACAGGCTGTTACTAACAAGCCTCTAAGTACTTAAGATATTAAATTTAGAATTCTTGATTTTAAAATAAATTAACTGTGAAACATACAAATTAATAGTATTATGTTATTTTAGAGATAATTAATTGAATAACAAATATTTATGTTTGTAAAACAGTTATTTAACGTAATAATTAACTCGAATTTTCTATACACGACATATGCAGGGAGGTACTAATAGTACCGTACTATGCTCCACACCTCAAAGTCCCACCACGTGACCACGTACGGAACGCAGTCTTTTGAAAATTTGGCATTTAAGGCTTTTCAGGTTATGTATCTGTCAAAGTATAGTCAATGAAAGAAGTAATATTTATAGTGTTACCGCTTATGTTTAAGCGTTAAAAGTTAATAAATCTTTATAGTATCACAATAACAATGGTTGGTTTAAGAATTTAGGAATATAAATACTGCATTTAATAAAATTCCAAAGTGTAAGGTGCAATATAAGTGATATTTTTGTGCATTGGGTCTACATTTATCCATAAAATAGTTTTAACTAAACAGCATTTATTAAAAAAAATCTAACTTCTCTAATATAAAATAAGAATATCTGTATCAAAGGTAGGTTAATGTATTAGAACAAAAAATATCATCTAATTTTGTATTTTAAGGTTAGAAAAATCTATTTTGACCAAAATAAATAAGTGAATTATTTGAAAGAGTCTGTTAATATGGTCATAAATAAATATAGGTATACTAAATAATTGTTGAATATAGTTCAAATTAAATTGAAGCTTTTATACTTCTAACGACAAAACTTGTGCATACCTCTCGGCATACCTACTTTAAGTTAGATTATAAGAAAACAAACAATTTTTAGAGAAACTTGCAATGTGAAAATATTTAATACTCCCATGACATGTGATTTATTAAAATTTTTAAAGTTATAATGATTTTTCGATGTAGATCAAGTTCAGTTAAACTATTTGTATTGGCAAAACTTTATGTAGGTACACTTTAAGCTGGATAAGAAAAATTACCACATTTTTAAATACCATATTATACAGTCTTTTAAATAATTCAAAATACTTATTTCTTTTGGTCAAAATAAATTTTTCTAACCTTAAAATTACAAAATTAGATGATATTTTTGTTATAATATATTAACCTGCCATAAAAACAGATATTCTTATTCCATAATAGAGAAGGTAGATTTTTTTAGTTATCATTATTTCATGGAGAAAACCAGTTATTTGGACCAAATGCACAAAAATATTACTTATTTGGCACCATACACTTTAGAATTTCATTAAATGGAGTATTTATATTCTTAAATTCTTAAACCATCCATTGTTATTGTGATACTATAAGGATTTATTAACTTTTAACGCTTAAACATAAGCGGTAACACTATAAATATTATTTCTTTCATTGACTATACTTTGACAGATACATAACCTGAAAAGCCTTAAATGCCAAATTTTCAAAAGACTGCTTTCCGTACGTGGTCACGTGGTGGGACTTTGAGGTGTGGAGCATAGTACTTTGAATAATATTAATAATAATAAAAATAACTGCTTATGTTGCTATTTTTTTAAGTGTATATTATGATATGTCGCTCTTGCTATCATACCCGGGTGATTTATGAAGTGCAAACTTTTGACGTCTAATATGTATAATTTTTGTTTCAGATGACTTTAAAATAAACAAACCGTCTCGAAATGCTCCTGTCCCTATTTTACATGTACGCCACTGTGCTTCAATGGCTAAGGCTGGGCGCCTTAAAAACAAAACTAAATGGCACGTTAAATTCCCAAAACGCGCTTTTGGTCTGCAAAGAAATCGTACTGTGCGAATCCAAAAAACCCATTTGTTTGGAAAATCTGCTTTTCAAAAATGGCGATAGAGTTGCTTGTACAGTGGTGCCAAAGGTAAGACTGCTATGCATTTATATAGTTGAGATCATAAAGTTAATTTTTTTTTATCTGGACTGCGGCAACGTTGCAAATTTAGGGGGTTGGTTGGTATCTACGGAACCAAATTTGGTTGCATTGATTAAAACAAACTAAACTAGTTATGGGTGACTTTTGACCTCATTTTGTTTATATAGGTTTCGGAGAAAATTAAACAGTATTTTGTTATGAGAACATATATATAATATAATAAATATACTGTTCCAGACCGGGCCAGTCACTTTTTCAAACAGTTTCCGAAATATCTGTGTTTTCTAAATTTGAATGCAAGGGATGTGACAATATTATACATTAAATATCTTAAAATCAAATAATACCACACATCAGTGGCGGCTGGTGAATTTTGGGTATACCGATATCTCAATTATTAGATATGGGACCCACACCAAATTTATATGAGTTTATAATGACATTAAAAAAACAAGTTCTGCGCAAGCAGAATTTAAATTGAAGTTTGCGAAAAAAAGATACCCGAAACATCGAACATGGAACTGACGACACGGTACTGATGAATGGGATACAAATTTGAGATTATAATTCGGAATTAAGTATTTTACTGACATTTTTTATTAGTGGATGCTACTTATCAACAAATCACATATAGCCTTATATAAATTGCAATGAAATATATATACGTAAGAAAATAACTACTCACCACAGTACTGAAATTTTGACTGGAACTATACGTGCATTCTCCACAACTTCGCCGCTTGCATTGTTTTCAAGATGACTGTCGTGCAAAGGGCGGGCTCTGTGGTGAATTTTTTACCAACACTTAAGTTAAAACGAGGACTTGACGTTTAAACTTCAATATTTCGCAGGAATTTTGAATTTTAACATTGGACACAGAACTGACGGGTCAAAGTGAGATTATCAATTTTTTTAAAATTGCTATTATTCGAATCTATGATAAAATATGAAAAATACATTATATAATGTTTTATAGTTTGTAGTGAAATTGAAAAATTTAAGATAAATTGAATATATTTTAAAATAAAATCACTCAAATATTTGATTCAGGAGTTGTGACACGCCAAGGTAGGTACTGATGTTTTGAATATTTATTATGTTTTTCTACAAACGTGCTTTTGAAAAAATACATTAAAATTGGGTGGACAAGTTAAAAAACCTGGATCTTTTGTAATATACTAAAATATTTACAAAAAATATTAAAATACCTGCTCCATTGACTGATGACATCAAGTTGTCTAACTTTTGTAGAATCACCCATATATGTATATAAGAATATAAGAATTGTGGTTATTGTTAAATTCAGTAAATATGTTATTTTTCACTTTACCTAATAAAAAATAATATAAAAAAAGATTGTTTAATCCTATTAAGAGTGTAAATGATGGTATTAATTAAGTAAATAATAAATAACTTTAATCTACAGGGGGTTAAGATTACTGACCCTGTCGCACATTGAACGAGATTGTAATTCTAGTTGGACAAATACTATACTTATAGTATTTACATTAATAAAAAAATTGCATTTCTGCAGCATTCCTAGAAGAAATAAAATTCAAGTAACATAACAACTTTTACCAAGCAGTATCAAGTATTTTTAAATAGTTAAAATGACTCTTGTCCACCTTAATTTCCAGACTTGAACCGTTGTGTTTTGTGACCTTATTAATTAGATAAAAATGTCGTATTTATTTCATTTTTAACTTTATGCGAAACTTTGGGTTCAATTATAAATAAGTTAATGTAGTTAAGGATTTATTTTTGGACTAATGGATAAATATTGACTCAAATAATATCAAATGTACGTCAAACCACCAAGCAGAAATAATAACAGGGTTATAGGGTCAGTTTTGCACTTGTACACTATGCAAAAGTGAAAGTGTCGAAAAGCAGGTAGCAATTGCTTCTCACCCTGATAGCAAAATTTGATTTTAAGAATCTTCCAAGAAGATATGACCCGGAATAATGGAATATTCTTAGAACCTTCCCTTATTGCTAAGAATGTTCTTAGGGACTTTTAAAACATTCAATAGATACCCTTTTAATGATGCAATTAGATTCTTAAAAGCTTCTTAAAACCTTCCTAAAAAGCATCCTAAGAACATTTTAAGAATACGTTTTTGGAATGTTCTTAGAAGGTTTCTTGTGGAGCTTCTAGGAAGCTTTTGAGAATATTTCCAAATATGTCAGATACCCACGTTCTAATATGTTGCATTCTATATTCGTAAAATTCTTCAGGAGACGACAAATACGCCTCACTGTCATAATATGACAGTGAAATGTATTTGTCGTCCCCTTAAAAAATTTTGCGACATATTAATTTATATTTATTTAAAAAAATTAAATAAACAATTTGACCTCCAAACCATAAGTTGTATGACATTATTTCATAAAAAGTAAAATTGGAAAGTTTTGTGGGATAAGTCAGATTAGATTGAAATTGAAGATAGTTGGGATTAACAAAGCTGAAATATGCAACACATTGTTAGTATTTTGGTATTGTTGGTATTTTGGTATTTGGTTATTCGTAAAATACGTAATCACTCACTTGTTATGCTATAATGATAAAAAAATAAAAATAAATCTAATTAGTTTAAAAAATAATCAGTTATATTACAACAAATATTATTATAATAAATAATTTATTACTAATGAATTTAAAAATACAGGGTGTTGGGTAATTAATGAATAGAAGTTTTTTATATTTTTTTGTGATACGCCACTTTTTCTTGCAAAAAATAAATAAAAACACAACAAATACAAAAGTTTTGTCCTTAAAGCTCTAATACCCTTCTGTATTTATTTACCCATCCAGCTATTAGGTTAAGCAATGATTAGAAAATTTAGTACTTATCTTAAAAACTCCATAACCACAAAATTAATTTTTTCATCGGTTTTTCTTTATGTTTACTCAGATGAAATTAGAACAAGTTCACAGGTTAAACTTTAAATATACAATTTGTGTAAATAAATCCTTAGTGAAGATATTTACAATTTGGGCCCATAACCTAAAATTTGAAAGAAATGCATGGATTCTGTCATAAGTTGCCAGATTTTGTTTGAATTTACCTTCATTACAAAAATGACATAATTAACAATTAATAAATAAGCCACATTAACAATTTTCATTGTTGATTTTGTCATTTTTGTAATTAATCTAAATTTTAACAAAATTTGGCAACTTTTTCGACAGAATCTGAAAACGCCGGTTGTTACCAACCATAACATAATAAATTAAATTAGGCAACCAGATTAGCCTAAAGTTTCTAGTCGATCAGTGGCGTACTTTTTGGTAGGATAAAGGTTATTATAAATTATTTTTAGTTTTTAGAATTTAAAAAAAAGCAATCTTTTTTACCGGCAAATAAATTGTCATTATCAGTTTGTCGAATTTTCCTGTTAAATTGAAATTTATTTCTTTCCCTTTAGTTCCCTACAATCTGGGGATTTTGTTTGACAACGTTGCCAAGTGTACGACCTTTTGTTTCAGCAAAAAATTAATTTGGGACAATGGGCACTTTTTCCGAAAAACCTGGACAACTTTCCCATACCTATCAAAATCGTTTACACTGTTATAGACGAACCTTATATACACATAATGCTACAAGCTGAACTTGACAACTATGTAAAGCATAACTGTGGCAACATTGCGGTAAGTGTATAAAGATTTTAATTGTTTTCTTATAAATACATAAAAAGGATAGTTTGTTTGTTTCAACTCTATTTACGTTTACTTAAAAATAAGAATATTTGAATTTTTAATAATAGTTTTATAAAAACATGCAAAAAAGTGTAGTAATTGGACATTTTATATAGTAATTGGACACATGGATCATAGTTATTGGACATACAATTTTTATATAAACATAACAACTTTACATCAAATAACATAAATTGTTAAATATTTTTTAAAGATAAATTGCTGTTTTAGGTAATTTTTTTTATTTCGTTTTTGTAAATATCATAATATTCATATATTTCTTTCTCGGATTCCTCATCCCTTTTCTAGATTCTGAAGGTAACTACTAATTCCTTGGTCTGACTTCTGAAATAGTGTGTTGCAAATATCATTAAGTAATCTCTAGTTTGTGAAGCATTTATAATGTTTAGGCCGGAACAGGATGATTCATATATATCGAATATTTTTTCGGGTGGTATGTTAAAAGTATTTTCCGAATTTATTAATTTTGTTGCCATTAGTTTTTTATGTTCTCTATTTAAATCACTGTTATTCTGCAAGATGTCCTGTGACGAAGAAATCACTATATTACTTACTCTCTAAAAATGAATTAGTCAAAAATGCCATAGCGAAAAAGCAGCTACTAATAATTCTCGTCAACGGCAATTTGTATCCAGGACATTTAGCAGTCAATTTCTATGAAATTATTCGCTGAATCTGAAAATGTCGTCAAAAGTTATATTATGAAGTATAATCAATTTTACATATAATATGGAATTGACTATATCTCAAAAACTGCTTAACTTTTATAGTTTTTGACGGTCTTTTCGGATTCAGGGGACAATTTTACATAAGAATTGGCTGGTAAATGCCCGGAATACAAATAGAGTATGATATTGGACATATGTCCAATAATAGAAATTTATATTTTTTACCAACCAGTAATTGGACACTGGCCATTTTACTGTTTGTTTTCAGAATTAAAATTAAAACGCATTAAAGTGACAATGTTTAAACCATGAGGAACACATTTATACCACACACTGATCTGTACACTTTTTAGAAATATGTTTTATTGTAATTTAAACACAGCCCTGCTCTTAACAAAAAAACAAAAATCTTACCACCAAAGTAACTTGCGAACTTTTTTGTCCTATATTAGACTAATATTTTAGATCGAAAATTTTGGCGACCTAATAGCCTGGAGGACCGCCGAAAAATTTGAGGCGATTCTCAAAACAGACATGAAAAATCTAACAAAATTAGTAAATTGTTTTTCAAGGAACGAAGAAATAGATATTAACCATGAACTACAACTCTTGAAAATTGAAAGTGAGTACTAAACCCTTAGTGGACAAAAATTTGATACTACGGATTTATTTAATTTTAGCTGTGGAAATAATGGGACAAGCTGGTAAAATTAAGCACACGAAAAAATACCCGCTGGAAAATAATTTCAAAACGTTTGGGTCTCCTGTTAGGTGGCAAAAATTCACCGAAGAAATCCGAGATTTGTACTCCAAAATGAGGGAAGATAATAAGTAAGTTTTTCAGATTTTTCGTCGAGAATAAAAAACATGTTATTTTCGGACTTTTTAGCCCAAAAATAATGATTGAAAGTGGATCCGTCAGTTCAACAAAATCGGATGAAGAAACCAAAAAAGTGCCTGTGTCTGAGGTGATTGTGAACACCCTGTATATCATATTATTACGTTGCATTTTTTAGGTGAAACCTATCAAAAAAGAAAGCAAAAGGCAAGAGGTCAAAAATACTTTGGACGTCACATCTAGGTCCAGACACAAGTCCAAAGATAAGTCCACTGATAGACCAAAGGTAAGCAAAGAAGAAACCAAAAAGGAAACCAAACAAGAACATAGAACGGCTGTGAAGGTAAAAGAAGAACCCAAAGTTAAAGAAAATGGAGTCAAAGACAGTAAGTCTGGAAAGTTGATTTCAGAAAAGGAAGATACATCAAAGGTGGTGCCAAAAATAGTGACTGAAGATCTGAACAGTGCTACCAGTAGTGCAAAACATAAAGAAACCAAAAATAAAACCAAAAGCCCAGAAGAAGAAGCAACTCCTAATAAAAAAGACACCAAAGGAAAACCGAAAAAGCAAGAATCGAAAAGAGATGTTGAAGAAAAAGAAAACGAAAAATCATTGGGGAAGAAAATATCCAAAATGCTGGACAAAGACAAACATAAGAAAGAGAAAGAACCAAAAACCAAAGACAAGGATAAGAAAGAACGTAAAAAGCTTAAAGACGCTTTCAAATCTGAATCGTTATCTAAAAAAATCGATGAACCAGGAACGTCAAATGGAAATTTAACTCTCACCTCAACCACCAATGATACAGCTAAAAGTTTAAGTGATAATATTGGAAATGGAGAAGCAACTTTAAATGGAAATGTTGCTTCAGTCAAACCACCAAATATTTTGGTTTATGCTGACAGTTTAGTCGCCAAAGAAAACGTCAAAGATGTTTTGAACAATATGTTAAATAAAGACAAGTAAGTATAATAATATATATATATGTATATGGGGCATTCCACGCCAAATTTTTTTAATATTTTTTAGTATTCCTTGAAAGAGCTTTCTCAGTAAATTTTGAGATTTTTTCACGGGTTTTCACGGGTTCAAAAGATATCAAATTTTCACTAAAACTTTTTTTTTGTTTTTCGCTCATAACTTCTTAAAAATGGTCCAAATCAAAATGTTCATTCTATATAAAATTTTCGTTTTTAAATGTACTTTTCGAAAAAAATTATATTGCAAATATTTGAAGCGTTTTAAGTCAAGATTTTTGAGTTTTAAATTTTTATTTTCAACTTCTATCTATTCAAAAACTATTTAGCCTTGTCTGGTAGTGGGCCTTCCATAATTAAAAAAAAAATGATTCCATGCTTCAATATTTATTATTAAGTTCAAAATAGAAACACAAGAAACACTGAATCGAGCTTCCAATAGTGAATAATATAACGGAGTTTATGATACGAATAAACAAACTACGTAACTGTCAGAATAATAACGTGGGCAAGTCTTTTCAAATTTAAATAAAAAATTCATGAAGATACTAATAATTAATTAAAAAAATTACATTGCTACAGAAAAAGCATTATAAAATAAAAATTTACATAAATTTTTAAAAGAACACGAAAAAAATAAAAAAGATTTTTATAATTGCTCATAAATAGAATTAACTTAAACTAATTTATTTTAAATCCCTATCTAAAAAAGTCGAAAATCGAAACTTATAATATTTTTTAGAGAATTTTTTTTTTAATTTTGAAAAATCGATAAAAATAGTAATTATGGAAGGCCCACTACCGGACCAGGCTGAATAGTTGTTGAATAGATAAAAGTTGAAAATAAAAAATTTTTCGCAAAAATCGAAGAAGACACCCATTTTTAAAAACACGATTTAAACTTTAAAACTCAGAAATCTTGACTTAAAACGCTTCAAATATTTTCAATATATTTTTTTCGAAAAGTACATTTAAAAACGAAAATTTTATATAGAATGAACATTTTGATTTGGACGATTTTTTAAGAAGTTATGAGCGAAAAACAAAAAAATCTCAAAATTTACTGAGAAAGCTCTTTCAAGGAGTACTAAAAAATATAAAAAAATTGGAGCAAAAAATTTTTTTTAACCATGCTATTTGGCGTGGAATGCCCCATATATATCTAAAAATGTTATACGCTAAAGAAGTATCGGGTTTTCGCAACGCGCGCGCCATCTGGTGGACTTAAGAAATAAATAAATAGTTGGTTTTTTTACAAAAGAGAGGAAGGCAGAAGTCTTACTCGGCAAATTTTGTTCAATTGCACAGCTAAATCGCTCACGTTATTTGTGTTTTACGTTGCAAGGAAAAAACTAAAAAACTGGTTTAGTACTCGATTTCTATTGATTATTCCTTATATCATTGATTAAGAAACTCGACGCTTAAATGCTTATATAGTTACGTTAGTGTGTGTATTTTATCTGAGGGATCATGATAAAATTCAAGAACTGAATCGTTGCATTTTCATGTTTTGTCAAAGGATCCAATTCGGTGAGTACATTTATTGGTGCAGAATTAACTAATGATAACTTTACCTAATATAATTTATATTTAAGTTTGGACATTTTTAAGAAATTAGTAAAAAATAATTTTTGCACAAACATAACCTTAAAATCAACCATTTTTATGTTTGAGTTCTCTAAAAAACGCCGACAACTGCATTTTAAACAACAAAATATACCTACGAATTCATGGCAACATAATATTATATATAATACATAATATAATGGTATTTTACCGTTGAGTGGAAACTATCTTAATCAACGCTTTTAATAATGCTAAATGTTGTTTAAATTTAGACGACTTATTTGTTTGACGATTTTTACTGAATTGAAATGTTACAGTTTTCACGTTAATCACTACTAAAATGTGTATTTATTGCATCTAATAGGTACAATTTATATTTACAGAGACTGTATGCAATTTATTTCTTCATTCAGATTAACACTGTTTATTGGAAAACCGGTTAAAAACTCAACCCAGGATTTCCTCTCGAAATACACCCAACAACACAACAAATCGAGCCACGGTTTTTTTTCCCGAAATTTTTTAACATTTTCCGGCTTTATTCTCAAAAACACTCGTTTGTAACGTAAGCGTTTGACAGCTGATTATTAAAAGTTGTACTTTTGTTACGAGTGGTGGCGCTACTAGCGATACTTCTTTAGCGTATTATTAACATCTTATGTCAATAATAACTATTTTTAGATACACTGTCTATGACATGCCAACCAATACATCCCCAGTGTGGAATTCCTCGACTGTTTTGGTTGTTGTTTGCGGACAAGTTCCGCAAAATTTGACCAACAATTTACTTCAGTATCTTTTAAATGGAGGTCAATTGTTGTGCCTGTGCAGCGACTTATTGTACAGCGTGTTGCATACTTTTACCACAGCAGAGGTAACAGTACACTTCTTTCATTTAACATACGGACCTAAAAGAACATATTGTATTTATTATATTTGCCTGTATCTTCTAAAGTTTTCTACTCATCAGTGCGGCCCGTGACATTTCATTTTGGTGAGGCAGAGGCAGGGTTTCGCCTCCATTTGAAGGCGAAGAAATTTTTTTAAACCCAACTTAAAAAAACTGACGTCGCAGTTCACAACCTATACTTAAAACCAAGTAAAAAACTTAGACTGTGGTGGGGAAGGAATCCTCTACTTTGTCAATGAAATATATTTTATTGTAAAAATGACGTTTATTTTAAATAAACCTCATTTTTGTCCAATTAATATTTCATTGTTCAGCAAGAACCACGTGAAGGTCAACATTATCGTTACAATTTCTCACCGTAATATCCATAATGACTAAATTCACATAAATCACCAAGTTCAATTAACTAAACCCGCAGAATAAACCACTTACAAAAGAATCATAAAATAGACAAACTCATAGAAAAAGAATAAACAAAATATTGCGTAAATAACCGCAGATTTGTTCTTTAAACAGTTCAGAATTTTATAACCAAAACAAACCTAAAAAAGGAATCTGTATTTATTTTATTGCTTACTGTGGGCTACAAGATGATGATAGTGTTAAAATATGTTTATTTTAGAATAGAAATATAATTTCGATTAAATCGATTTATTATACCATTTATTATTGAATTTTGAAAAACGTGTGAAGTATAATTTATCTAAAATTCCGCAACAGTGTTGCCCCAACACCTGCTTATCTCCTTGGATGTAGGCGTGCCTGCCTCGCTTATGCTAATACGAGAGAAGGAGACAACTATGATATCGCATTGTAATAGAACGAGACAACAAGGCTAACGCCAATCGTGAGTCTAAATTAGTTCAGGCATGCTTCTGAGCCAATCATCTAGCTATAAATATTAGTTTTAATTGCGGTCGTTTCAAATTCAAATAATTTAAATGTTGCTGGGTATTCCACGTATAAAATCAATCAATTTTATTGACTATTTCACAATTCATGTAATCCAAATATTAAAAATTTATAGTATATTATAGAAAGTAAAATTTTTTTAATTCTCTATGATGAGGCATCTGCCTCCCCTGACGGGCCGCCACTGCTACTCATCCACTTGAAATTTGGTACTCATTTAAGACCATTGTTAAAGTGCATTGTGTTAAAATTTTAAAACTGTAAATTGACAAACTTTAAAGATATATGTCGATTTAAAAAAATCCAACACTTATTAGCTATAACTATAGTGGTGAGTTTACATAATAGTCTTCGTTAGGTTCGCGAACACGAGTTGGTCCGTTTTTCCTACGGCCAATGGAGACAGGTGCAAATGATGCACCACATTTTTTGCTATCAGGCGTCACCCACCAAAAAACAGTTCTCTAGAGAGTCGGAGAACTCAAATCCTGGGTAAGAATGTTATTATAATGAACGTTAAGGTGAATAAAACGATTTTTTGTAGCAGCGGTAACGGTTCGAGTCCAATTTTTCCCAGAACGCCATCTTCCGTGGAGATCCAACATAACGGAAAAGATTATTTAATACAGGTTAAATTTTATTTCTACACTGACGTGAATTTCAATCGCAAATAACTTTTTTATTTGATGTCGGATTTAAACGAATATTAAAGAATATTGTAGATAAATTAATGGACAATCGCTCACATTTTAAAAAATACTAAATAATAGACGTACGTTTATAATATACAGGTTTAAACAAAAAGATGTTTTTTACCATAAGTTTAAGACACTGCAGAGTGGCAAAACCGTATATTGTTCTAAATTAAGTTTTATTTATCAAGTCACATCTATTCTTAACAGTTTTGTTTTTGGTTCACCTCGATATGAGTACCTTAGATGCAAAACTCGGTTTTTGCAAATTTAAAAAAAAAAAAAATTGGCTTTAAATTCTGTTTGGTGTTCGTCCTAGATAAATGGCGTTTATAAAACTTGATACATAATAATATATATAATATAATATTATTATGTATCAAGTTTTATGAACGCCATTTATCTAGGACGAACACTAAACAGAATTTAAAGCCAATTTTATTTTATTTTTTAATTTGCAAAAACCGAGTTTTGCATCTAAGGTACTCATATATTTATTTTTGTGGAAAATATGGATTTTTTTAAAAAACATTGCAATTTCCATTTTTTTTCTGTATGAAGAACTAAGGTTGCTATGGTCCATGCATAGGCTATGGAGAATGACAGTGACAGTTTTGTTGAATCATACCATACTTGGACATGTCATACACGGCTTTCAAAAGCTATCAAATTGTTTTTTGCAAATTAATGTTTAAATTTTGAGGTGTCTTCTTACTTTATAAAATGGATATGTCTTCGACTGATGTTGCCAGAGCTATTAATTTAATCCAGGATGGTCGGTCACAGTATTACGTGGCAAGTGTTTTAAACGTCATAAGAAGTAAAGTACAAAGGGCAACATCAGTCGGAGACATTTTTAAAAGTAGGAAGACACCTCAAAATTAACAATTAATTTACAAAAAACAATTTGATAGCTTTTGAAAGCTGTATATGACATGTCCAAGTATGGGATGATTCAACAAAACCGTCACTGTCATTCTCCATAGGCTATAGATGGACCATAGCAACCTTAGTTCTTCTTACAGGAAAAATATTGAAAATTGCAATGTTTTTTAAAAAAATCCATATTTTCCACAACAATAAATATATCGAGGTGAACCAAAAACAAAACTGTTAAGAATAGATGTGACTTGATAAATAAAACTTAATTTGAAACAATATACGGTTTTGCCACTCTACAGAGTGTCTTAAACTTATGGTAAAAAACATCTTTTTGTTTAAACCTGTATATTATAAACGTACGTCTATTTTTTTAGTAATTTTTAAATTGTGAGCGATTGTCCATTAATTTATCTACAATATTCTTTAATATTCGTTTAAATCCGACATCAAATAAAAAAGTTATTTGCCATTGAAATTCATCGAAATTTTGTGTGGATCGATTATTTTGCACGTGAGTGTAGATTAAATTTTTTTATTAACTTTCTTATAGGTTCAGGTATTGGGGGCTGAAGAAACATGGCAGACTCCGAGCTTGATGCTGGCAACAGTGAAAGGGTCAAAAGGAAGGGCGATTTTCTCCCAGGTAGATTCTAATCGGAAAATTTCGTTACCATATGTTTTTATATTTCTTGTAGGTTCATCTTGAAATAAATCCTTCTCAATACGAAGAAGACGAAAACAAATTTGCAGCCCTGAAGGATTCTGATCAAGCAAGGCTGGAAATTTTCAAGGACATCCTCACAAAACACTTCGAAATCGACTGTAGCGTGTATGCGGCGTTGCCGTATACTCCAGCGTATTTCCTAGGAAGACACGATGTAAGAGCAACTTTTTTAATATTCGTTCGATAGAAACATTATTTTTTGCAGCTGAAACTTAAAATGCTCTCAGAATGCGACAGCATTGTGAATAACAAAATAACAACGAATAATTTGGAAATTAATTTTTGCGGAAAAAATGTCGAACCCGAAATACCAACCAATAAAAATTTACCTGTCATGGTGCATGCATGTCCAACGAATTTTTCTACCGTCAACTATTTTGAAGTGAGTACATTGGTAATTTTCCCTTAATTTTTACTTTTGCTGGAGACTAGGGATTATTCATTTCCGCAAAGTTTTTGTTTTCTTCGGTGCTCAAGCAAAATATTAATCTGCATATAGAAAAAAAAATTCTCAACAAGTTTGAGCTCTTAATATAAATTTTAAGTACTTACTATTTAAATTTAAAGTTTTACCGTTTAAAATGCATGTAAAAAATATATTTTTTTTTTCAAATTTCTAATGCTTACCCATCTTTGACAATATTGCAAATCGGTTTAATTCACCTTATGGGGAATTTCACGCTCTTTAAAATTGCTTTTGAGTTTTTTTTTGTAACTCGCATTGGTTCACCAGTAGGAGTCGTCAAAGGACAGTTTTTGAAAAAAATCGTTTTTTTTTTAATTTTTTCTAACAAACCGCAAAAAGTAGGGAGAAAAAGGGCTGAATCATAAAAAAAAGTTATCCAACCAATATTTAATGAATTTACTGCCATTTTTATTACTGAAAACGTAAGAAATTGATAATTACCAACTCATAATGTTATTTAGATTGATTTTTTCTATTTATTATCATTATATTTCCCTACACTAAGAAGTTTTTTAAAATTATTGATTTCTCACTTATAATGAATATGAAAACAACAGATAAATTCATAAAAAAACAATAAGAAAATTGTAACGTGGATTTTGTAATTTTTCAACATTTCTGTCATATAGCAAAAAAATAAAAATGAAGATTATTTAATTTTTTGAAGCGAAATTTGAAATATGTTACATAACCTTCTGTATATTCCGATTAAAGTTTTGTTGTTTTTTTATGAATTTATGTGTTGTTTTCATATTCATTATGAGTGAGAAATCATAATAATTTTAAAAAGTTCTTAGTGTAGGGAAATATAATGATAATAAATAGAAAAAATCAATCTAAATAACATTATGGGTTGGTATTTATCAATTTCTTACGTTTTCAGTTATAAAAATGGCAGTAAATTCATTAAATATTGGTTGGATAACTTTTTTTATGAATCAGCCCTTTTTCCTCACTACTTTTGGCGATTTGCTCGAAAAAATAAAAAAAAAACGTTTTTTTTCAAAAACTGTCCTTTGACGACTCCTACTGGTGAACCAATGCGAGTTACAAAAAAAAACTCAAAAGCAATTTTAAAGAGCGTGAAATTCCCCATAAGGTGTATTAAACCGATTTGCAATATTGTCAAAGGTGGGTAAGCATTAGAAATTTGAAAAAAAAATATATATTTTTTACATGCATTTTAAACGGTAAAACTTTAAATTTAAATATTAAATGCTTAAAATTAATATTAAGAGCTCAAACTTGGTGAGAATGTTTTTTCCTATATGCAGATTAATATTTTGCTTGAGCACCGAAAAAAAAACAAAAACTTTGCGGAAATGAATCACCCTACTGGAGACCTTATTTAAATACTCCGACATTGTCAAATTGACAGTAATATTTATTATTGATAATTATTATAAAAAAATTTTGTTTTAAAGCGTTCTTGAAGACCATAATAAAACTTAAAATGTTACTTGGGCTTGTCCCAAACCTGTTTTTTAACTTATATGAAAAAACTGTAATAATGAAAATGTTTTAAAATGATTTCTATAAGAAAAATGTTACACTTTTAAGAAAAATACTTGTCGATTTTTTATTAACATTATGTTTTTTAAAATTTATACATAACCTCAATATTTTACCTACCATTGGTATCAAAAATAAATACAGCTTAATAAATACAAATATTAAAATATTAATTAATTATTTAAATTTTTTTATACAGACTGTTATGTAATTAATATAAAATATTAAAATACTGAATACCTTTTGACATAAGGTGTAACGGAAAAATATTTAAAAAAAATATTTCCCCAGAGATAAAGAAAAAATACGCATTAGAAGTTTTTTATATTTTTTGTGATACGCCACTGGTTACACACTTGTGTTCTGTGAGTACATAGATACCAACCGACAATTTTTCTTGCTGTGGGTTTGACTTTCTGAAAAGTTAGAATAACATTAATTTTACATTACAAACTTTTTAAGGCATCACAAATACAGTTATAAATTATAAGTAAAAAGCAAATGTCTGGAAGGAAAAGTACTACCCACTTGACAAGGATCTGTTGCTTAAACGTTTTATTACTGTTAACGAGTTACTGTAACGTGTCCAATAAGGTAACTTAAACGTAACGGCATCGTCACAGTTACAGTTAATGTCCGCCTTCTGCAACGTAACATTGTGACGGTATTTTTAAAACGCTTATGTAACGTTCCGCTTGTGATGTTACATATGGTGGTACAGCGCAGCATCTATTTAACGTTATTATCAAAACGTTTATGTAACGTTCCGGTTGTGGTGTTACATATGTTACTGTGGCATAACAATGGCGGCTGCTGGATTTTGCGTATACCAATATCTTAGTTATTAGACATGGTACCCACACCAAACTTATATGAGTTTATAATGACACTAATTTAACAAGTTCTGCACAAGCAGAATTCAAATATAAGTTTGCGAAAAAAAAAAATAGTTTTTGCTCCGCCTACCCTGCAGCCTGGCCCTAATAAAGATAATACAAATTTAAGTATATAAACTTAAATTTGGATTATCTTTAATAGGGCCAGTGCAATTTATAATTTACCATAGTTTATCAACAAATTTTAAATCAAAATCCAAATATTACAGATTGTATACCATAAATATGTAATACTTGGATTTTTTAAATAAATTTTGAAATTTGTTAATAAACTGGTGAATTATAAATTGCACTATTTAAATTTTTATTATCTTTATTAGGGGGGCCAGGCTGCAGGGTAGGCAGAGTTTAAACTATATTTTTTTCGACAAATTCTATTTAAATTGTTAATTTAGTGTCATTATAAATTCATATAAATTTGGTGTCTAATAACTGAGATATGGCATATGCAAAATCCACCAGCCGACACTGTGGTAATAATGTAATTTATGAAATAAAAATGTTTCACTTAAAATTATAAAAAAATTTATTAAATATTTTAACAAAACTAAACAAATATTCTTTGTGATTAAAACAAGAGTTAGTTGTACTTTCTGAATATATTAAAATTATTTTCTCGACTAGTTTCGCCTATTCGGCATCATCAGGAGATGTCGTCAAATTATACATAATAGGTCATCAAAATAATAATTAATCTTAACATATTAAATTTTTTTTAAAACTTAAACATACATAAAAGAAGCGTGCAGATATATTATATTATTAATCAACAACCAAATATTCTTTGGTTTCTTTATTCTCTACTCATTCATGGTCATTTAAAATTATTCAACGGCATTTTTTTCAATTGCAACTTTTTCCCGTTTTAATCGCTGGTTTCCTTGACGGAAAAAAATCCATGGCGCTTTTCTCGAATATTTTCAATATTAGTGCCGGGTAGTACCGTTTTTACCGCGCCTAGGCATAAAAGAAAATAAGTTAAAAGACATATTCATTCAATGTACCATCAAGTTTTAAAAGTTACTCATGTATATGTGTATGTATTAATAATACATTTATTTTATTTCTTTTTTTATATAAGAAAACTATAGAAGAGTTACCAATTTATTGTAAACATCTTCCGCAGTTAACACATTCTTCAGTTGTTTAAGTTGTTCCAATGTGTTGCATGGCAATTGAGGTCCTACATTTTCGACTCCCTCCTGCGGATACTGCACGTTTACAGAAAGCTCCAGTTTGTTAATCTTGTCTAGCAACAGTTTCTGTATAGTTTGAATATTTATCAAGTAATTAATGACGCGTGACTCAACTAAAAAATAAATAGTTACTATTGGAACTGGACTTACTCACACTTCTTACAAGTTTCAATATCAGATGCAATAATAATGGGGAATTCATCTTATGCATCAACTGGATTTGCCTCAGCTAGATTCGCTTCTATTGGATTTTCCTCTGAAATTATGAAAACTTCAGTAATATTCATAAAATTTCTCTAAAGTATTACCTTCTTGCACTTGGTGGTTTATCTCTGGAGATGAGCTCAGGTCAGACAGTCCATCATTTGACCTTGGAAACTCTTAACAGTGTGGTTTTCATTTACATATTTCTAATAATAATTGTTTCAAAAAAAATATTACACCAACAAAATATTTTAGGAAAGAAAATCGAAGAATTTTTGTTTTAGCAAAATAGGATCGACAAAGCATTAAAACTTGTGCACCTTTTTGTAAGTATGATTAACATTAATGTTTTGCAATGGAATATACCTAAGCAATTACACAAGAGTAAATGGTACTCACCTCAATGTTTTTTCTATTTTGTTTCATTGTCCAAGCAAAAGCGTGCTGTTTAAATAATAATAACCATGAATAATAAGAACAAACAAACACCCAACACGCGTGACGCCAAACAGACATATTGGCTTGGTTTTTTGGCGGCTGCGCATTGCTTCTAAATTTTCAATATCAATATGTAACGTTTAATAAATGTACATTTATAAACCTTCTAGAAACGTTCTTAATGAACGGCAGGATAACGTTATATTTTCGTTTTGGAATCAACATTAATTATGTACCGTTTAGTTAATGTAAATTTATTAACAATTCAATAACGCTGATGAATTAGCGTTGCATATACGTTTAAGGATTAACAGTTAGCATATATACCGTTTCATTAACGTAGATATATTAACAATACACTAACGTTATAAAATTAGAGTCATCACAACGTAAATGTGTTAGGGTAAAGGTAAAACGATACAGTAACGTTTATGTATTGTATAGCTTGTTGGCATGATTATGCTTACGTTCAGAATACAAAACAGGAACGTTTAAATTTGAGTGTTTAAAATATAACAGTACGAAAACGTTTTTAGGGTTTCTGTTACATTTCTTGCCAAGTGGGTAGGCTTTGATGACTTGATAAACTTGTAACTTAAAAAAATAAAATTGTGCTTTGCCATTTAGCTTTTCATTCTAAGGCAAGTAAAACTGACAAATTTTATGTTTAAAAAATTTTGGATCTAAATATTAATATATTGGGGGAATTACCCACATACAAGTGGCGCCACCAGACGTCAAAATTTCGCACTTTTCTCGAACGAAATATATTTTAGACACTGGAGACTCAAAGTATTGGTAGACTGGTGATATACTCGGACATATTGACTAGTTCCCAGGACGTTTTGCAAAAAACCCTAAGCCATGGTTTGGCGGTGATTCCCCGACAACAAACTCAGGGAAAGGGTGAGTAAAAATACAACTACCCAACATCGCAACCAAAAACATTATGTGGGATGAAAAAATCGCGAAAAACGACCGAAGAAAAACTGTTTTTTGTCACTTTGTCGTACATGCAGCGACCTGCAAAACTATGGGACATGTTCATTGAAAAATTCGGATATTTTTCTTCAAAAATCGTTGAGTGTATCAATGACGATATTATTATCCCACATGACATAATAAGCTAGGCAGCTAGTTTTAAAACCATCAAAAATATACAGGGACATATGGGATAAAATTTAAATTTTCTTTTATGCGTTCATGGACAGTTTTTGGAGATGATGGTTTGTTTATTAATTTATGAAAAATTCCTATACTCCTTATTTATCTATTTTTAGTTTTAATAAAGTTTCTTTGCTTTACTTCTTTTAAATCGCCTTTTTAGTATCTATATTTAAAGGCTTTTATTATTTTTATTTTATTATTTTTTTTTCAAAGTAATTTACTGACAACAATCGGGATTTCCTGGTGAACTCATTATGATATCACGTGTGATATCATAGTGATATCCGTGAAAATCACGAATGTTGTCCAGGAGAAGCAAAAATCTTCAAACTTGTTCTCCTATAGGGCGTTCCAATAACAAATGGATAAGTCCTATGGGTGCCGCCATGTTTTCTTTGCAGCTACACATTCCCCTTGCCACCCCCTTGGGGAAGTTCCTCCCCATAACGCAGCACTTAGTGATGGTGGCTGTCATAACAGCTGTACAAAAATTCAGAGGGTGTGAAGTAAGTTTAGTGTATCAATATTGTTAAGTTTTAAAAATGTCAGAAACTGTTTTGCCTTTTTAAGATGGCAACATGGTAAAATTATGAATTTTTACACAAAAAAAAATTAATATAAATTTATTGTTCTTTAGAGACTTAATTTAGGATTAAAGTGGCCTAATGATCTCTATGCCAATGGCAACATTAAAATAGGAGGATTGGTAATCAAATCTGCACTTATGGGTGAAATGGCAGTTGTTAATATAGGTAAGTTAATAAAATAACTTTTTTGTTTAATATAAATTTTATATATGGGTGATTCTACAAAAATTGGGCAACTTTTGACCTAATTTTGTTTATATATTTAGTTTTCGGAGAAAATTAAACAGTATTTTGTTATGAGAACATAGATAATATAATAAATATACTGTTCCAGACCGGGCCAGTCACTTTTTCAAACAGTTTCTGAAATATCCGTGTTTTCTAAATTTGATTGCAAGGGAAGTGACAAGTATACCAGGGTACTATTAAATACATAATTTATTGGAAAATATAAGATTTATTGCAACTTTGAGCATATTATACATTAAATACCTTAAAATCAAATAATACCACACATCAGTGGCGGCTGGTGGATTTTGGGTATACCGATAATCTCAATTATTAGATATGGGACCCACACCAAATTTATATGAGTTTATAATGACATTAAATAAACAAGTTCTGCGCAAGCAGAATTTAAATTGAAGTTTGCGAAAAAAAGATAACCGAAACATCGAACATGGAACTGACGACACGGTACTGATGAATGGGATACAAATTTGAGATTATAATTCGGAATTAAGTATTTTATTGATATTTTTTATTAGTGGATGCTACTTATCAACAAATCACATATAGCCTATACAAATTACAAGAAAATAACTACTCACCCCAGTACTGATATTTTGACTGGAACTATACGTGCATTAACCACAACTTCACCGCTTGCATTGTTTTCAAGATGACTGTCGTGCAAAGGGCGGGCTCTGTCGGTAATGTTTTACCAACATTTGAGTTAAAACGAGGACTTGACGTTTAAACTTCAATATTTCGCAGGAATTTTAAATTTTAACATTGGACACAGAACTGACGGGTAAAAGTGAGTACAACGATTATCAATTTTTTAAAAATTGCTATTATTCGAATCTATGATAAAATATGAAAAATACATTACTTAATGTTTTATAGTTTGTAGTGAAATTGAAAAATTTTAGATAAATTATTTATATATTTTAAAATCAAATCACTCAAATGTTTGATTCAGGAGTTGTGACACGCCAAGGTACTGATGTTTTGAATATTTATTATGTTTTTCTACAAACGTGCTTTTGAAAAAATACATTAAAATTGGGTGGACAAGTTAAAAAAACCTGGATACTAAAATATTTACAAAAAATATTAAAATACCTACTCTATTGACCAATGACATCAAGTTGTCCAACTTTTGTAGAATCACCCATATATAAAATTTATATTATAAATACCAAAGAACTAAACAAGAGGACGCTGGTGATTTGTCAAAACAAAATGAAAATCAGCGCCTCTAGAGGTAAAAAAAGCAAACCTAATTTACCAGATTTAATGCGAGAAGAACATATTTATTTTTTTACCCTTAGTTTCGTTTGTCATGGAATGACTCCATCTCCCCACCTCTTAAATCTAAGCATAGTCGCTTCAGAAACGTGTTTTTACTAAATTTTAGGTGTTGGTGTTAACCTTAGCAACTCCAACCCAACCACCTGTATAAATGACATGATAAAAACTGAAAATTTAACGTTTGGCAGCGATTTGGCGTACATATCATACGAAAACTATTTTGCCGAAGTTTTCAATGAAATTGAAAGACTTTACGAGGTTTTTCAAAATGGAGATGTCGACTATTTTTACAATCTTTACTACAAATATTGGTTGCATAAGTAAGTAAGAAGTTCTTGTCAATTTGACAAAAACTTCTAATTAGAATATATTGAGATGTCCCCCCAAGTGCAAATGATTATTTTTTTTTTTTACTGTTAGTCTAGAATGGGATTTTTGGGTCTAGTATAACATAACCTAAGTGGTTCTGCACTAATACAAGAATTTTAAGAAATCATACATTTTGAATATTAGAGCTTCACGGAGGATAGGATTTCGTGTGTTTTTTTTAAACATCCGATATTTTTAAAAAATACAATTGTACATACATAAAATAATATAAATCTACTTACTGAGATATTACACTTCACGGTGGATAGGTTTTTAAATAGCAAATTAATGAACTTATACTTTTGAATTTTAAAACAGAGGTTTTTGCTTATTTAACATGATTAAAGCGCCATCCGTTGCATAAAATTTAAAGAAAAAACAGATTCACGGAGGATAGAATCAATATTCATTAATTTACTTAGTGAACTGATATTTTTAGTATGCTTTTACTACCTCAGATATTTGAAAACGTATAGGTTAACCTAGAAAGAGTAACCGTCACGGAGGATAGGTTTTATGCTTTTAAAACATTGTAAAAATTATTAATTGCGGTTAAAAATCTGGAAGATGAGCTGTAATATCTACTTAATTATGAAAAATCACAACGCAATAAAAGTTTAGTTTTATTAAATATTACGGGGTAACAACATAGGGGGACATTTCGTGAGATTCATATTTCACATTTTTATCTGGGTAATTGTTTTTTAGTAATGTCGATATAACCATAAAAACCAAAGATGGCGCTAGTAGAAACGTAAAGGTCATAGGTATAGATGACTATGGTTATCTTAAAGTTAGAACGGCAGAGGGCGCCATAGATATTGTACAACCTGACGGTAACAGTTTTGACATGATGAAGGGGTTGATAGCGCCAAAAATATTTTAGGGTGAAATTTTGAATTGTATTGTTGTTAATATTAATTTTTTAAATTGGTTTGTAATTGTATAAAATTATGTGATTTAAGTTAAGATCAATCAAATTAACGTTCACCCTGTATATTTTGTGATTTGCCTGTTGTGACAAAAAGTTTAATACTCCATTTTTTATATTAGCTTTAACATTCCTCATAAAATGAAATAAGAATCTCCTTTTATAAGATTTTTTTTTTGTAAAATTTGTTAAATTTTTTTTCTTCCATGTTGATGTCCGCCTAAAAGTTACCGTGTGTTCAATGTTTTTAAATATATTGATAGTTTATAATAAAAGTTGTTTCAAAAATATTAATAAAGTACAGTCTATTTCTTCTAAAAATGTTTTATTACTTACCTCTAAAAACAATCATATTATTCATCCAAGCAAAAAAAAACAGGTATGTATTATGTAATATCAAGAACTCCAGCGGCAGATGAAATCCGCTTATGTTACAAACGAGTGTTTTTGAGAATAAAGCCGGAAAATGTTAAGAAATATCGAAAAAAAACCGTGGCTCGATTTGTTGTGTTGTTGGGTGTATTTCGAGAGGAAATCCTGGGTTGAGTTTTTACCGGTTTTCCAATAAACAGTGTTAATCAGAATGAAGAAATAAATTGCATACAGTCTCTGTAAATATACATTGTACCTATTAGATACAATAAATAAACATTTTAGTAGTGATTAACGTGAAAGGGGTAAACATTTCAATTCAGTAAAAATCGTCAAACAAATAAGTCGTCTAAATTTAAACAGCATTTAGCATTATTAAAAGCGTTGATTAAGAAAGTCTCCAATCAAAGGTAAAATAGCATTATATTATGTATTATATATAATATTATGTTGCCATGATTTTTGTAGGTATATTTTGTTTAAAATGCAGTTGTCGGCGTTTTTTAGAGAACTCAAACATAAAAATGGTTGATTTTAAGGTTATGTTTGTGCAAAAATTATTTTTTACTAATTTCTTAAAAATGTCCAAACTTAAATATAAATTATATTAGGTAAAGTTATCATTAGTTAATTCTGCACCAACAAATGTACTTACCGAATTGGATCCTTTGGCAAAACATGAAAATGCAACGATTTAGTTCTTGAATTTTATTTACAATTAAAAACACAATCGGTTGTCATAGTGTAACTTTAAATAATAAGAAAAAATATAAAACAATTATTTTTATTATTAACAATGCACGTTACAATAAAATTCTTAACAATTACAATGCAATACAATCAATTCCAAAATGATGTTAAAGTTAAAACTTAAAATTACTTTACTACATATATTATATATGACAATAACTTTTGTAAAATTCAATTAAATAAAAAGGTTAATATTATGGAATGGGGAAACATTTTTGTATATAAAAAAGTTGATTAAAATAAGTTAAATTAAATTAAAAAAATGAGAATTGTCAGGCAATAGCGTCTGGGCCTGGTGGTTCATTTATTTGAGATTGATATTGTAAAGCGTTTTCGTAAGCCTTTTTAACCGCCTTTCTATCGGTGGGTTTTCTTGGTTCGTTTACCTATAAATAATACAAGTTAAATGGTGGTGTTTTGACCCTATTAAACACATTATTATACCTTTGATAGATCCTTTTCTGTATCTAACCCAAGCAATTCAAGCTTGTCTGCTGGAAGCCATTGCCATGTTCTTTTAACGTCAAAAAATAACACTAAATACACGTGTTCGGAAAATTTGGAGGACAAAGCCATGACTTCCGCTGGAGGGGATGGCATAGGGACCCCTTGGTGGACATAACCTAACAAAAAATTGAAATGATACCATCCATCAAGGTAATGTGAGTTTTACTAAAAACATCAAGGAGGAATCATGAAGGAAAGAAGAGATTTATTTCATAAGAAGGAATCATGAAAGAAAGAAGAGTCATCTTTCATAAGGAGGAATCTTGAAAGAAAGAAGAGATTTCTTTTATAAGAAGTAACTATAAAATAAAGAAGATTTTTTATGAGGTGAAATCATGAAAGAGAGAAGAGATTTCTTTCATGAGAAGAAATCATAAAGGAAAGAAGTGAAAATCTAAAGAACACCTACCTTTTGGTATGATTAGGAATTATGAAAGACAATAGAGATTTCCATTATAAGAAGGTATCACACAAGAAAGAAAGAAAGAAAAAGAGAAAGAAAGAGTTATCCTTCATGGGGAGGAATCATGAAAGAAAGAAGAGCTTTCTTTTATAAGAAGGAACCATAAAATAAAGAATCAAGAGATTTCTTTCATTAGTAGGAACTACAAAATGAGGGTAAATCATGAAAGAAAAAAGAGATTTCTTTCATGAGGAGGAATCATTTATCATTCATGGGGAGGAATCATGAAAGAACGAAGAGTTATTTTCATAAGCAGGAATCTTGAAAGAAAGAAGAGATTTCTTTTATAAGAAGTAGGTAACTTTAAAATAAAGAAGATTTTTTATGAGGTGAAATCATGAAAGAAAGAATAGATTTCTTTTATGAGAAGGAATCATAAAGGAAAGAAGAGAAAATCCAAAGAACACTTACCTTTTGGTATAAGGAGGAATTATGAAAGACAAAAGAGATTTCCATCTTAAGAAGGGATCATACAAGAAAGAAAGAAAGAAAAAAAGAGATATGCTGAATGGGGAGGAATCATGAAAGAAAGAAGAGTTATTTTCATAGGCAGGAATCTTGAAAGAAAGAAGAGCTTTCTTTTATAAGAAGGAACCATAAAATAAAGAAACAAGAGATTTCTTTCATTAGAAGGAACTTTAAAATAAAGGAGATTTTTTTTATGAGGGTAAATCATGAAAGAAAGAAGAGATTTCTTTCATGAGGAGGAATCATAAAGAAAAGAAGAGAAAATCTAAAGAACACACTTACCTATTAATATGAGGAGGAACTTTGAAAAAAAGAGATTTATTTCATAAGAAGGAATCATACAAGAAAAAAAAGAGTTATCTTTCATGGGGAGGAATCATGAAAGAAAGAAGATTTATTTTCATAAGCAGGAATCTTGAAAGAAAGGAGAGATTTCTTTTATGAGAAGAAACTATAAAATCAATAAGATTTTTTATGAGGTAAAATCATGAAAGAAAGAAGAGATTTCTTTCATGAGGAGGAATCATAAAGGAAAGAAGTGAAAATCTAAAGAACACTTACCTTTTGGTATGAGGAGGAATTATGAAAGACAAAAGAGATTTCCATCATAAGAAGGGATCATACAAGAAAGAAAGAAGAGTTATTTTAACAAGCAAGAATCTTGAAAGAAAGAAGAGCTTTCTTTTATAAGATGGAACCATAAAATAAAGAAACAAGAGATATCTTTCATTAGTAGGAACTACAAAATAAAGGAGATTTTTTTATGAGGGTAAATCATGAAAGAACGAAGAGATTTATTTCATGAGGAGGAATCATAAAGAAAAGAAGAGAAAATCTAAAGAACACACTTACCTATTAATATGAGAAGGAATTATGAAAAAAAGAGATTTATTTCATAAGAAGGAATCATACAAGAAAAAAAAGAGATATCTTTCATGAGGAGGAATCTTGAAAGAAAAAAGAGATTTCTTTCATGAGAAGGAATCATAAAGGAAAGAAGTGAAAATCTAAAGAACACTTACCTTTTGGTATGGGGAGGAATTATGAAAGACAAAAGAGATTTCCATCATAAGAAGGGATCATACAAGAAAGAAAGAAAGAAAAAAAGAAAGAAAGAGTTATTCTTCATGGGGAGGTATCATGAAAGAAAGAAGAGTTATTTTCATAAGCAGGAATCTTAAAAGAAAGAAGAGCTTTCTTTTATAAGAAGGAATCATAAAATAAAGAAAATAGGAAGGAACTATAAAATAAAGGAGATTTTTTATGAGGGTAAATCATGAAAGAAAGAAGAGATTTCTTTCATGAGAAGGAATCATAAAGAAAAGAAGAGAAAATCTAAAGAACACACTTACCTATTAATATGAGAAGGAACTTTGAAAAAAAGAGATTTATTTCATAAGAAGGAATCATACAAGAAAAAAAAGAGTTATCTTTCATGGGGAGGAATCATGAAAGAAAGAAGATTTATTTTCATAAGCAGGAATCTTGAAAGAAAGGAGAGATTTCCTTTATGAGAAGAAACTATAAAATCAATAAGATTTTTTATGAGGTAAAATCATGAAAGAAAGAAGAGATTTCTTTCATGAGGAGGAATCATAAAGGAAAGAAGTGAAAATCTAAAGAACACTTACCTTTTGGTATGAGGAGGAATTATGAAAGACAAAAGAGATTTCCATCATAAGAAGGGATCATACAAGAAAGAAAGAAGAGTTATTTTAACAAGCAAGAATCTTGAAAGAAAGAAGAGCTTTCTTTTATAAGATGGAACCATAAAATAAAGAAACAAGAGATATCTTTCATTAGTAGGAACTACAAAATAAAGGAGATTTTTTTATGAGGGTAAATCATGAAAGAACGAAGAGATTTATTTCATGAGGAGGAATCATAAAGAAAAGAAGAGAAAATCTAAAGAACACACTTACCTATTAATATGAGAAGGAATTATGAAAAAAAGAGATTTATTTCATAAGAAGGAATCATACAAGAAAAAAAAGAGATATCTTTCATGAGGAGGAATCTTGAAAGAAAAAAGAGATTTCTTTCATGAGAAGGAATCATAAAGGAAAGAAGTGAAAATCTAAAGAACACTTACCTTTTGGTATGGGGAGGAATTATGAAAGACAAAAGAGATTTCCATCATAAGAAGGGATCATACAAGAAAGAAAGAAAGAAAAAAAGAAAGAAAGAGTTATTCTTCATGGGGAGGTATCATGAAAGAAAGAAGAGTTATTTTCATAAGCAGGAATCTTAAAAGAAAGAAGAGCTTTCTTTTATAAGAAGGAATCATAAAATAAAGAAAATAGGAAGGAACTATAAAATAAAGGAGATTTTTTATGAGGGTAAATCATGAAAGAAAGAAGAGATTTCTTTCATGAGAAGGAATCATAAAGAAAAGAAGAGAAAATCTAAAGAACACACTTACCTATTAATATGAGAAGGAACTTTGAAAAAAAGAGATTTATTTCATAAGAAGGAATCATACAAGAAAAAAAAGAGTTATCTTTCATGGGGAGGAATCATGAAAGAAAGAAGATTTATTTTCATAAGCAGGAATCTTGAAAGAAAGGAGAGATTTCCTTTATGAGAAGAAACTATAAAATCAATAAGATTTTTTATGAGGTAAAATCATGAAAGAAAGAAGAGATTTCTTTCATGAGGAGGAATCATAAAGGAAAGAAGTGAAAATCTAAAGAACACTTACCTTTTGGTATGAGGAGGAATTATGAAAGACAAAAGAGATTTCCATCATAAGAAGGGATCATACAAGAAAGAAAGAAGAGTTATTTTAACAAGCAAGAATCTTGAAAGAAAGAAGAGCTTTCTTTTATAAGATGGAACCATAAAATAAAGAAACAAGAGATATCTTTCATTAGTAGGAACTACAAAATAAAGGAGATTTTTTTATGAGGGTAAATCATGAAAGAACGAAGAGATTTATTTCATGAGAAGGAATCATAAAGAAAAGAAGATAAAATCTAAAGAACACTTACCTTTTGGTATGAGGAGGAATTATGAAAGACAAAAGAGATTTACATCATAAGAAGGGATCATACAAGAAAGAAAGAAAGAAAAAAGAAAGAAAGAGTTATCCTTCATGGGCAGGAATCTTGAAAGGAAGAAGAGATTTCTTTTATAAGAAGGAACTTTTTGAGGTGAAATCATGAAAGAAAGAAGATATTTATTTCATGAGAAGGAATCATAAAGGAAAGAAGTAAAATCTAAAGAACACTTACCTTTCGGTATGAGAAGGAATTATGAAAGACAAAAGAGATTTCCATCATAAGAAGGGAAAATACAAGAAAGAAAGTTATCCTTCATGAGGAGGAATCATGAAAGAAAGAAGAGTTATTTTCATTGAAAGAAAGAAGAGATTTCTTTTATAAGAAGGAACTATAAAATAAAGATTTTCAATGAGGTGAACTCATGAAAGAAAGAAGAGATTTATTAAAAAAAAAAAGAAGAGAAAATCTAAAGACACACTTACCTTTTGGCATCTCCGGGTCAATAATCAAAGCCGGGTACCAAGGGTACCCGCGGCACTTGGCCCAAACCAAGGTCAAAGGTTTCAGGTCGACCTTTTCCCCCCCTCCATCCCCACCTCTGGTTGCCTCCTCGTCGCTTTCCGATGCATTACTCCCCTCGCCACCTAAAAAACACCAAGATCCCGATAACAATTCAGTTATGCGTGTAAAGTATGTAAAGTTAATTTTTTTATCTGGACTGCGGCAACGTTGTAAAATCATATAAAATAGTTATTTATGTCATTAGGTTAAGAAGTAAGACTTTTTGTGCGTTGCGGAGGCCTACAATTGAGCGAAGCACAAAAAGGCACTTCTTGGCCGAATGGCATACAACATTTTATCTTCAAAGCACTTTATATAGGTCAATTTAATTCAACATCAAAGCGGCCTAACCTCACTTTTTTAAAATCTCATTTATTTATTGGCTAAAGATTACATTAAATGTAGAATAATTATTATTGCTTTTAGAAGCAGTAACAGTTTGACAATACCTAGCTACATGATTTAAGTAGAAATGGATTTTTGCTTTTGCATTGAATTCAATTGATTGTTTAATAAATGAGTAGGTATCTAATTTCAATTTGTTTGGATTTTTATTTGAAAAATAGGTTGTTTGGAATGTTTAAGCTGTGTTTAACGTTTAATTTCACTGAAAACTTAAAGCAAATTAAAACTTAAAGATAATTTAAATCGTAGAAAAAGAATCGTGCGTTTTCTTGGTTGCCTAACCTCACTTTTTGTTTTATTATTCATATTTAATTTTACAATAATTTAATGAAAAATATTAAACATTAACAATAAAACAAACAAATTAGTGCTCATTATAAATAAATTAAACCAGTTTAGTACGTTAATTTCTTAGAAAAGTATTAATTTGTCAAAACAATACCCCTAGCGAGAAAAAATCGAACTAATTACTTGCCTCATAAATTTTTTTATCGGCCTAGGCCATAACAATGTATTTCTTTATCGAATGTTGACAACAATAAAGTTTAAATTATAGACCGCGTGGAGATAAAAGTAGTTAAATGTAAACAATGTTGGTGATTCATTTCCGCAAAGTTTTTGTTTTCTTCGGTGCTCAAGCAAAATATTAATCTGCATATAGAAAAAAAAATTCTCAACACGTTTGAGCTCTTAATATAAATTTTAAGTACTTACTATTTAAATTTAAAGTTTTACCGTTTAAAATGCATGTAAAAAATATATATTTTTTTTTAAATTTCTAACGCTTACCCACCTTTGACAATATTGCAAATCGGTTTAATACACCTTATTAGTCCAGTCATCTTAGTAGTTTCACCTCGGAATATGAGATACCAAGCTGTATATTTGTATAAACTTTTATTTTGACATCCTAAAACTTGCCTCAAAACCTACATACTGTAAGGTGTCCGCATCTGTCAAAAATTAAGGTCAAAGGTCACAAAAATCGATTTTTTTAACATTTTCTGCAAATATCTCGTTTCCTATGGGGTTTACGCGATTTGTATTTATTATCAATATTATAGAAGATAAAATTCTCTACAACTTTTGTTCAAAAAGTTTTTTTATACTTGGAATCGTTTTTGAGATAGAGGGCAGTGAGCGCGCAGTGTTTAACTATATAGAGTACCATTTAAGGTCAACCGGAAGGCCCGATCAAAAACATGCCTTAAACAGTTTATAAAATGTTGAGAAATATATAATTATAAATAATTTTAATTTTTTTAAATATTACATTATAGTTAATAACTTTTTTCATGATGTATCTATTGTTAATTAAGTATACTTAGTATACTAAGTATACTGATATATCAGTGTATTTAATCGCACTTACCTGGTTGTGTACTTAAAAATTACTAAGAGAAATACCTAAATTTTTTGTAATGTTAATCAATGCTATACTAATTACTTAAATAAGTAAAAATGAAGAAATGAAATAAATTTCTAATTAACTTTTTTATTAAAAAATTTTCAATCCTTACATTTATCAGTAAAAACTAAAAAAAAAAAAAGAATAATTATTCAAACAACGACAAACTCTGATTTTAATTCTCTTCTTCCTCATTATCATTTTCTTTCAGTTGAATGGTAAGTGCGATTAAATACACTGATACTTAATTAACAATAGATACATCATGAAAAAAATTATTAAGTATAATGTAATATTTAAAAAAATTAAAATTATTTATAATTATATATTTCTCAACATTTTATAAACTGTTTAAGGCATGTTTTTGATCGGGCCTTCCGGTTGACCTTAAATGGTACTCTATATAGTTAAACACTGCGCGCTCACTGCCCTCTATCTCAAAAACGATTCGAGGTATAAAAAAACTTTTTAAACAAAAGTTGTAGAGAATTTTATCTTCTATAATATTGATAATAAATACAAATCGCGTAAACCCCATAGGAAACGAGATATTTGCAGAAAATATTAAAAAAATCGATTTTTGTGACCTTTGACCTTAATTTTTGACAGATGCGGACACCTTACAGTATGTAGGTTTTGAGGCAAGTTTTAGGATGTCAAAATAAAAGTTTATACAAATATACAGCTTGGTATCTCAAATTCCGAGATTCTTACCTTATTTTGACTAAGATGACTGGACTATATGGGGAATTTCACGCTCTTTAAAATTGCTTTTGAGTTTTTTTTTGTAACTCGCATTGGTTCACCAGTAGGAGTCGTCAAAGGACAGTTTTTGAAAAAAATCGTTTTTTTTAATTTTTTCAAACAAACCGCAAAAAGTAGGGAGAAAAAAGGGCTGAATCATAAAAAAAGTTATCCAACCAATATTTAATGAATTTACAGCCATTTTTATAACTAAAAACGTAAGAAATTGATAATTACCAACTCATAATGTTATTTAGATTGATTTTTTCTATTTATTATCATTATATTTCCCTACACTAAGAAGTTTTTTTTAAATTATTGATTTCTCACTTATAATGAATATGAAAACAACAGATAAATTCATAAAAAAACAATAAGAAAATTGTAACGTGGATTTTGCAACTTTTCAACATTTCTGTCATATAGCAAAAAAATATAAATGAAGATTATTTAATTTTTTGAAGCGAAATTTGAAATATGTTACATAACCTTCTGTAAATTCCGATTAAAGTTTTGTTGATTTTTTTATGAATTTATGTGTTGTTTTCATATTCATTATGAGTGAGAAATCATAATAATTTTAAAAAAGTTTTTAGTGTAGGGAAATATAATGTTAATAAATAGAAAATATCAATCTAAATAACATTATGGGTTGGTATTTATCAATATCTTACGTTTTCAGTTATAAAAATGGCAGTAAATTCATTAAATATTGGTTGGATAACTTTTTTTTTATGAATCAGCCCTTTTTTCTCACTACTTTTGGCGATTTGCTCGAAAAAATAAAAAAAAAACGATTTTTTTCAAAAACTGTCCTTTGACGACTCCTACTGGTGAACCAATGCGAGTTACAAAAAAAAACTCAAAAGCAATTTTAAAGATCGTGAAATTCCCCATAAGGTGTATTTAACCGATTTGCAATATTGTCAAAGGTGGGTAACCATTAGAAATTTGAAAAAAAAAATATATTTTTTACATGCATTTTAAACGGTAAAACTTTAAATTTAAATAGTAAGTGCTTAAAATTAATATTAAGAGCTCAAACTTGGTGAGAATGTTTTTTCCTATATGCAGATTAATATTTTGCTTGAGCACCGAAAAAAAACAAAAACTTTGCGGAAATGAATCACCCTAGTGAACATACCTTCCTCTTCTTCTTCTTCCTCGTCCGATTCAACTTCGGACGTTTCGTGCGAGTAACAAGTGGACAGAGAGGTGCCGCTGTCGCTATCCTCGTCAGCCGATGCGACGTTGCCGGCTCTGTACACTCGGAAGCTGTCGGGAACGTTCGGATCTTTCGCGGTCGCTTCCTCGGTTTTCGAAGGCGATTGAGACGAGCCGCGATTTTTTTTACCTTTTTTCTTGCTGAAGAATCAATAAACGAAACAATGAAAATGTTGAGTTTAGTCGTTATATTTACGTTTCACATCAAGTCGACAAATAAATAATGAGAGTATCGTTGTTTTTTTGTTGTTGCTGTAAGGTGGTCCAAGGATGGAAAAAATTGAGGTGGTGGATTCCTTAGTTTTGTTTTTTTGGGTTACGTTGTGGAAATTTTTCTCTGAGAAAGTCTTACTTTCTCTGAAAAAGTCTGAATAATACTTATTAAGTCGGAAAAAGTCTGAATAAGTCTTATTAAGTCAGACTTATAGCAAGATTTGGGAGTCTTCTGGAAGAGTTAATTTTTTATTTAGCATTTTTGCTGTTGTTATAAGCCAAGTTCGGCATAATTACCTATATAATAACATAGGTAAGATGTAATAATTATAACAAATATAATTTTATACATACGATGCGCTTGACATGCATGCTTTCATTGTTTCCACCATAGAAAAAGGAGTTGCCACTGTACGTTTTATTTTAATAGTTTCTTTTGATACACGCAAATATTTACCTATCTAAACATTGTTCCAAACAAATCTTCTAGACGTAATAACGAGAGACCAGCTCAGCTAGCTGACCAATTAGAGCACAGCTGACCTGTCAGTGGGACACAGTGTTGCCGTTTGCAAGTATTTTACTCGAAAATAGGGTATTTTCGTAATATTTGCGGGTGATTTGCAAATTTCTATCAAAATAATAACAAAAGAAATTTTCAGTAAATAATATTGTATATTTACTTAAATATGCACAATTATTTTATTCTATCCTGTTACATTTTTATCCTTTTTCTATGGTGGAAACAATGAAAGCATGCATGTCAAGCGCATCGTATGTATAAAATTATAATTGTTATAATTATTGCATCTTACCTATGTTATTATATACCTAGGTAATTCTGCAATAAACTTGGCTTGTAACAACAGCAAAAATGTTAATAAATACTTTTCTATGTGTTTTATTTTACGATAACCAAATACAACCTCTATGAATTATTTCGGATATTTATATTTATCTCCGTAGGTACCTACCATTTCCCTACTAAAAGTCTTATTAAGTCTTAAAAAGTCTTATTAACTCTTCCAGAAGACTCCCAAATCTTGCTATTAGTCTGACTTAATCAGACTTTTTCCGACTTAATAAGTCTTATTCTGACTTTTTCCGACTTAATAAGTATTATTCAGACTTTTTAAGAGAAAGTAAGACTTTCTCAGAGAAAAAATTCCACAAGGGTTAGAACGACGCATATCTGATCACGATACACAAAAACTGTTACGCTGGTTATGAAACGAAAACTCGTCTACTGTTAAGAACAGTTTTGCATAAACGTTTTTCGTAAAGTTTTTACTGCATTTATTGAACAGCGATAACTGCACTATGATATTTCGATTTACTAACATTGAGTACGCCCACCTATATTACCTAATTTGGGCTGCTGATTTCAAAAATGCCACTCGTTTTGCTCCAGGACGTCTAAGATTCGAAATAATTGCGTAATAAAATGCTCCGCCCAATTATCTCAAAATGTAAGTTTTTCGTTTATATTTTGATTATTTATTAAATTATTTTGCCTTAAATCTATTTTGGATGTTCAGTATATTTTTGACGTTTTTGGCAAAAATATACAGGGACTCCATACAAATTCATCGGTAGATAAATGTCACAAATATAAATTTTGTTTGTTCCATTGTAGCACACGTTGGTACATTTGGCGTTTTCAACTTAAAAAATATATAATCTTCCAAACATTTTTTTTTTAATAGTGATATTATTAGCTTTACTTTGCAAGAAAAATTAAAATTGCGTATGCAGCCGTTGTGAAGATATACACTTAAATGTATTTTTTTATAAATTAATTTGCAACATTAAGCTTAGTCTCTGTGTATCGCCTCTTTTATTGAGGTTTTTCGGACATTTCCCTATTTCAATGGCTTCACGAATGGTACGTTTGGTTCAGTATTCGATGCCCTTGTTTTTTCAAAGTCAATTTTCCAATATCGCCAGCAATAGCCAACTTATTCATGGAAGACATAGAAGTACGAGCAATCGAAACGGCAACACTAAAATCAAAGTTATGGCTACGGTACGTAAAAGAAACATTTGTCATCTGGACCCACGGAGAAGAGAAACTGAAGAAATTCCTGGACCAGAATTCCCAAACAGATTAAGTTCACAATGGAAACCAAGAAAGAACACCAATTACCTTTTCTGGATGTCTTCATAACCAAGATAAATAATGGCACACGCCCAGTTTCACCACCACCCGTTACAACTGCAGTCAATCATTAAGACACTTGTCACGCGAAAGGCTGGCGGATGATGACCACGAGAAACAAGAAGACCTGAAATTCCAAACGACGCTACAGCATAACGGATTCTCCAAAACCATCATCAAAAAGGCTCTTAGACCACGACGCCGGTTAAATACCACAGAGGACGAGAACAACAAACCAACTTCGAAGGCCTTCCTTCCCTACGTGAAAGGGACAACCAAGAGAATAGGCACAGTTCTCAAAAAACATAACATTTACCGCCACAAGAAAGATCTGTCAAATACTTCCAAACGCCAAACCAAAATTAGTTAGAGTTAGAGGCACAAGGGGTGTACGAAACTCCTTGTAATAATTGTGACGGAAGCTACGTTGGACAGACCAATAGACGTATCAACGTTAGACGTGAAGAACATCGAAACGCAGTCTTAAAACAAGGGTCTTGGCTAGCATCGAACACAGGACCAAGAAACCTCAGCACAAGAGACGATACACACTACCTTACCTTACCTTATGGTAACGCAATGGAATTTAGGGTAACGCAATAAAATTTTTCGACAACAAATTGGATATTTGCCGTCGCTTTTATTAAAAGTAGTTTATGATTAACCAATTGAAAATGATTTGTAATTACAACTCATGATATAGATTACATCCAAGGAAAAATTCCACGCAATATAAAAGTACTAAAAGGGACCTTCACCAGCTTATAGTCAAAGAAAAAGGGTGTCTACAATTTAGAAATCTAAGTTGTTATTCTGCAAGTGAGCACCACTACAAGGGATTTTGTTTATGCAATACTCTAAAATCGTACCATCCTATATAGTTTCTTTTTTACGTTATCTGATTAAGTCCTTGTCCGTTGTGATACCAATGTCTACTTAGTTACTTTTTTTTAGTTTTTGTTAAAAAAAATACTTAAAATGATTTTTATACACTATCACTTGGTAATACGTGTTTATAAATTAGAGTTTAACTCACTAATACAGTGACTAAAAGAAAATATGAATGGTATTGTTTTTTTAACAAAGAATCGGAATGGTTTCTTTTAATAAGTAACTTAATTAACATAAATATTTAGAAAAAGCATACAATTTTTAATAAAAAATAAAATAAAAAATTGGAGTCAAAAGTTTGTGAACTAAGTACATTTTATTTCAAATTATTTTTATAATAACTTTTTTTATTGAATTAAATTGGATTTCAAATTGGTAATGGAGATATAAACACATTTTTCTGAAAAAAACGTAAAAAAAATTAAAAAGTGAACTGCCTGTCTTAAATGTAAGTAAACAAAACTCTAAACATTTATAGCGGGTGTTTCTTGAAAATGACCCATAAAACCTTAAAAGGAATAACGAGCAAAAAAAAAATTTTTTCAAAATAATTAAGCATTTTTTAAGTTTTTTTAGTATGTATTTGTGACCCAGGCGACCTTTTTTTTCCTTTTTAAGAGCTTATTTTAAAACATTTTTTAGGTGTTAAATAACACCCCTAAATAAACAAAATTTGGAAAAAAACAGGTTTTTACTTTTTCTTCTTTAAATGTACAAGAATTTTGAAAACGACCCATCCGACGTGCGCAATCTTGGACCACCTTACCCAAAAAAATATTTTTTCTCGTTCGACTTACCTTTTAATCGGAGAAAAAGAAAAAGTAGTTTTTTCTTGTTTCTCTTCCCCACCACCGACTTCCGGTTTTTTCAAAGCCGCCTGAGCTTTTCTCGTAAAAAGAACCGCGTTTCTTCTATTAACACCGGAAGGTGACGCGTCTTTAGACAAAGATTTAACAAAAAAAAACAGTTAAAAATACGCACAAAAAAACGAACAAAAGAAAAGTTACAAAAATTAAACCTCGCCGTCTACACTCACAGGCAAAATAATCGATCCACACAAATTTTCGATGAATTTCAATCGCAAATAACTTTTTTATTTCATGTCGGATTTAAACGAATATTAAAGAATATTGTAGATAAATTAATGGACATTCGCTCACATTTTAAAAAATTACTAAAAAATATACGTACGTTTATAATATACAGGTTTAAACAAAAAGATGTTTTTTACCATAAGTTTAAGACACTCTGTAGAGTGGAAAAACCGTATATTGTTCTAAATTAAGTTTTATTTATCAAGTCACATCTATTCTTAACAGTTTTGTTTTTGGTTCACCTCGATATATTTAGTTTTGTGGAAAATATGGATTTTTTTAAAAAACATTGCAATTTCCAATATTTTTCTGTATGAAGAACTAAGGTTGCTATGGTCCATCCATAGGCAATGTAGAATGACAGTGACAGTTTTGTTGAATCATCACATACTTGGACATGTCATACACGGCTTTCAAAAGCTATCGAATTGTTTTTTGCAAATTAATGTTTAAATTTTGAGGTGTCTTCTTACTTTATAAAATGGATATATCTCCTACTGATGTTGCCAGAGCTATTAATTTAATCCAGGATGGACGGTCACAGTATTACGTGGCAAGTGTTTTAAACGTCACAAGAAGTAAAGTACAAAGGGCAACATCAGTCGGAGACATTTTTAAAAGTAAGAAGACACCTCAAAATTAACACATTAATTTACAAAAAACAATTTGATAGCTTTTGAAAGCCGTATATGGAATGTCCAAGTATGGGATGATTCAACAAAACTCACTGTCATCCTCCATAGGCTATGGATGGACCATGGCAACCTTAGTTCTTCATACAAAAAAATAGTGGAAATTGCAATGTTTTTTTCAAAAATCCATATTTTCCACAAAAATAAATATATTGAGGTGAACCAAAAACAAAACTGTTAAGAGTAGATGTGACTTGATAAATAAAACTTAATTTAGAACAATATACGGTTTTGCCACTCTACAGAGTGTCTTAAACTTACGGTAAAAAACATCTTTTTGTTTAAACCTGTATATTATAAACGTACGTGTATTTTTTAGTAATTTTTAAAATGTGAGCGATTCTCCATTAATGTATCTACAATATTCTTTAATATTCCTTTAAATCCGACATCAAATAAAAAAGTTATTTGCGATTGAAATTCATCGAAAATTTGTGTGGATCGATTATTTTGCCTGTGAGTGTATTTTTTTTTTTGGTAACATTTCGGCACTTACTTGGGTTCGGGGAGTCTATTTTGTGGTCGACTTCCACCTCCCGGTCTGATTGGGACTCTTCTGTGGTTGCCAAAGCCTTCTTAGCTTTGTTTAACTCGCTCCGTATTAATTTCACCCTTTTCATTCTGGCTTGGCTGTGTTTTAAGGCGTGGCTTTTGGAAAGCAGGTCTTCTAATTGAGTGATAATATCTGGACCGGTTTTGCCCTAATTGAGAAATATTAGTTATTGCTCAATAGCTGATAGCAAAATTTGATGACCCGGAATAATGGAATATTCTTAGAACCTTCCCTTATTGCTAAGAATGTTCTTAGGGACTTTTAAAACATTCAATAGATACCCTTTTAATGATGCAATTAGACTATTAAAAGCTTCTTAAAACCTCCCTAAAAAGCATCCTAAGAACATTTTAAGAATACGTTTTTGGAATGTTCTTAGAAGGTTTCTTATGGAGCTTCTAGGAAGCTTTTGAGAATATTTCCAAATATGTCAGATACCCACGTTCTAGTATGTTGTATTCTACATTCGTAAAATTCTTCAGGAGACGACAAATACGCCTCACTGTCATAATATGACAGTGAAATGTATTTGTCGTCCCCTTAAAAAAATTTTGTGGGATAAGTCAGATAAGATTGAAGTTGAAGTTGGGATTATTATACATAAAAATGTTAATTCAGAAATAGAAAATCGGTATACAAATTAATAAATATTTATTTTTAACATAAAATAAAATACCTATAGTAAAAGTATTTTTGTTATCGAATATTGTTTAAATTTGACAAATAACTATAAAAAAATATTTTGGATTATGTTTTTTACTTATTATTTAATACTAATTAATAATTATGTAAGTATACGTAGTTTATGGTATATTTTACTATTATATAGGTAACTGAACTAAATATGCCTAACAGGAATATTCCTAAATGAACTTTCTATAGCAATTATTTTCTCAACATTCTAAGCATATGTTTAGAGTAGACTAATTTTTACCACTAAAACTTTGCACCTTCTAAGAACCTGCCAAAGGCCAGTAAGAATATTCTTAGGATCATGCTATATGTCTTTTAAGCATGTTCTTTAGAAGAAATACAGCATGATCCTGAGAATATTCTCGCTGGAAGGTTTAAAAAACATTCTTAGAATAAAGTGTGCTATCAGGGTTCGACTTTTTAACCCTTAAAAATGGTAAAATTTTAAATTAAATTGTATGTTAAAATCTAATAAGGTCTACTATTTATCTTAATTTCAAATCGTTACGTTTTTAAATAAAGTCAAAATTTTAACCTCAAATTTTTTTCCCATTTTTTAGAAAAAACAATTAAAAAAAATTAGCCGATTTCAGTAGAGAAGCTGTAAAAAAATTTCCTCAAAAAATAACGACTCACCCCTTATTGCCTGATTTCTTCGGTACTTCCCCCGAAACCTCACCTGTAAAAGCTCCAATTTCTTATCGATATCCCCGGCGATGCAATCTTCGGCGGGGGCAACCTTCCCCTTACCCCCCTCTGCCACCTCCACCTCCATCAACCCCGCAGACTGCAGATCCCTTTTAGCCTGTCTGAAAACCACGGCACATTGATCTCTCATCTTCACTCCCGCCCTGTAGAAAACAGTATCTTTGTTGTTGTAGGCCAGACAGTTGGCGATCATGAGGTTGAAATCTTTCTCGATGGAAAGGAGATCGGGGTAAAGGCCCTGGTCGAGTTTTTTGTACATGGTGCTAAGGTCCATGGGGTCTGTCACCACAGTGGTGTAGTCCGGAACCTTTTTTAATAGAAAAACATTTTTAGTACTCGATTTCGATTGATTATTCCTTATATCATTAAATGCTCATATAGTTACGTTAGTGTGTGTATTTTATCTAAGGGATCATGGTGAATTATTGCGTTTTTAATTGTAAATAAATTCAAGAACTAAATCGTTGCATTTTCATGTTTTGCCAAAGGATCCAATTCGGAAAGTACATTTGTTGGTGCAGAATTAACTAATGTTAACTTTACCTAATATAATTTATATTTAAGTTTGGACATTTTTAAGAAATTAGTAAAAAATAATTTTTGCACAAACATAACCTTAAAATCAACCATTTTTATATTTGAGTTCTCTAAAAAACGCCGACAACTGCATTTTAAACAACAAAATATACCTACGAATTCATGGCAACATAATATTATATATAATACATAATATAATGGTATTTTACCGTTGAGTGGAGACTTTCTTAATCAACGCTTTTAATAATGCTAAATGCTGTTTAAACTTAGACGACTTATTTGTTTGACGATTTTTACTGAATTAAAATGTTTACACTTTTCACGTTAATCACTACTAAAATGTCTATTTATTGTATCTAATAGGTTAATAATTTATACATGGTGTTATGTAATTAATGTTATATATTAAAATACTGAATACCTTTTGACATAAGGAATACAGGAAAAATATTTAAAAAAAACATTTTTCCAAAGATAAAGAAAAAATATGCATTAGAAGTTTTTTATATTTTTTGTGATACGCCACTGGTTACACACTTGTTTATCTCTGCACACCTGTATTTTGTGAGTACATAGATACCAACCAACAAAGTAGCTATGCGTTGCCAGATGTAAAAAATTGTTACTAAAAATTTTTCTTGCAAAAAATAAATAAAAACTCAATAAATACAAAAGTTTTATGCCCTTAAAGCTCCAATACCCTTCTGTATTTATTTACTGATCCAGCTATTAGCTTAAGCAATGATTAGAAAATTTAGTACCTTTGAAATTTGAAATCCATAACCACAAAATTAATTTTTTCATCAGTTTTTTTCTCTGTTTACTCAGATGAAATTGGGACCAGTTCACAGGTTAAACTTTAAACATTTAATTTGTGTAAATAAATCCAAAAGCACTTCCCTTAGTTAAGATATTTACAATTTGAAAACATAACCTAAAATTTAAATAAATGCACTAGATTCTGTCATAAAAGTTGGCAGATTTTGTTTGAATTTACCTTCAGTACAAAAATGAAATAACCAACAATTAATAAAAACGCCAAATTGACAATTTGCATTGTTAATTTTGTCATTTTTGTAATTAAGCTAAATTTAAACAATGTCAACTTTTTTGAGAGATTTTGGAAACACTGTTGTTACCAACCATAACATAATAAATCCACCAGATTAACCTAAAGTTCCTAGTCGATCAGTGGCGTACTTTTTGGTAGGATAAAGGTTATTATAAATTATTTTTAGACTTTGGAATTTAGAAAAAAAAACTTTCAGGTGCTTCTTTAAGGAACAACCCATTTTAATATATAACATTAATTACATAACACCCTGTATTTACAGAGACTGTATGCAATTTAGTTCTTCATTCATATTAACACTGTTTATTGGAAAACTGGTATAAACTCAACCCAGGATTTTCTCTCGAAATACACCCAACAACACAACAAATCGATTTTTTTGATATTTTTTAACATTTTCCGGCTTTATTCTCAAAAACACTCGTTTGTAACATAAGCGTTTGACAGCTGATTATTAAAAGTTCTACTTTTGTTACGATGATAACAGCCGAGTGGTGGCGCTACTAGCGATACTTCTTTAGCATATATACTTTTTTATTATTAATTTTACGAAGAAATTTTTTATAAAAAGTTCTGCATGTTTACTATACGCCATTTTAGTTACGATTTTAATTAAGCACGAGCGAAGCTTGCGAGCGAGTGTTTAATAAAAACGAGTGTATAGAGAAGTTTATAAACGAGTTGCATACTATTATAGTATAGTATAATACTTTATCTAAGACGAACACAAAACAGAATTTAAAGCCAATTTTATTTGTTAAAATTTTGACATCTGTCAACTGTCACCCGAATTTAACCTCACTTTTTCCCAATTTATAATAAAGCTAACTTCAGCCCGTGACTTAAAATGTCGAAAAGCCACAGTTGTTAACTTCAGCCCGTCAATAAAACGCCATAAAAGTACAGCTCGTCAATGTAGGAATCATCAGATATCAAATTTTTTTGAGCAAGATCATATTTTTTGACAAACCGCGTAATCGACTGAAATTTTTTTATATCTGATGATTGTATTTTAGATTTTATAACATGCAGATCTTTTTATGTAGAATAACTTTTTTTCTTAAAATGAATAATAAAGAAGTTTCCCATATGTTGCCAACTTAAGTAGACACATTGTAGAAAGTCCATTTAACCTAACCTTTTAATTAACTATTGAAAGTGGAAAATTTATAGTTTTTTATGATGTTTTATATATTTTATTAAAAGACTTTTCTATGAGGTTTTGATAAAATTAAAAAGTGTTTATAGAAGAAATGTTTACAAACTTTCTCAGTATATTTAATTTCAAGGTCATACTTTTTCAGTTTATTATCTTTTTTTGTTATTCTACAAATAGCAAGTGTAGATGTAAGTTTTTTATTTTATATTGCTTTGTTAGCATATAATTTAAAACAAATATTCACTACTATAGATGTAAAAACTTTTAGTTGAGCGTTTAGTGAAGTATCTGTCTCTTAAGCGTTCTCCAAATATTTCAAATATTTAAATATGGGGCCCATATTATGGGCCATTTAAGAGAAACACAGAGAATTGAAGATTGCATTCCTTCCTTCCTCCCGTAAAAGATGAACAGTACGAAAATCGTAGTGCCATTTATAGATTTCCGTACGGGAAACTATAAACAGCAGAACGGAAAGGAAATCTATAAATAAGGCTGTACGTCTCATGAAGAAAGAAAAGTACCATCCATACAAAATTAGACTGGTGCAGGAACTAAAGAAAATGATCCGGACTGTAGACCACAATTTTGTGAAACTATGATGAATTTACGAGGTGTGTTCAGAAAATAACGGGAATTGTTAAATTTCGCGGGTTCGGAGGGTCCGGTTGTCATAAAATTTTCTTTATTATGTTGGTATACATGACCCCGAAGTATGATAAAAACTTTAGCTGTTTTCATTATTTACTTTGTCTGTGGCAGCCGCTAAGGTTAGACGCGTTTTATGAGCTCGGCGATTTTCGTTCGTTCGAAAGAAATAGATCAAAGAATTTGTATCCAATTTTGCTTAAAAAATGAAAGAAACTCTGTGAAATGTAAACAAAGGCCTATAGTGAGTCTGCTATAAGTAAAACAAGAGTTTCCAAGATGGCCGTGAAGACGTTGAAGATGATGCACACAAGCGCATTAACAACCGCCCAGCTAACATTGCTTGAGTTCAAACAAAACTCAAACCTTGATTTATCAAGTTTTGATGTTGTCTTGAGCTCACATTGATTTAAATTTTTGAGGTTAAATCAATGCTTGAGCTTACATTGATTTTAATTTTTGAGGTTAAATCAATTCTTGAGCTTACATTGATTTTACCTCAAGAGTTGAAATCAATGTGAGCTCAAGTTTTGAGTTAACCTCAAAAAGTCGGTCCAAGGTTTGTATACTATAGTCATAATTTATAAATTTATATACATATATGTATAGGATGGATAAAAAAAACCTTATGGGTATACTGTCCGTTCAGGCTAAGTTGAGCGGTCTAAGGAATGTCACCCAGTTCATCATCTCTATGTTAAGGCACAATTAAATACATGTATTTCGGTAGCCGCTCTGTACGAACAAACGACAAGCCGCGGCACTGATAAATCATCTTCTTATTACCAAAATCTCGCGACGATTCGATATTTAATTTAATCAACGGCCACATGATCCCCACCAAAGCGCTCAACTTAGCCTGAACGGACTGTACTTCTGTTAGTATTGTAAATCCATATCAAATAATGGCAGGCTTTTGCAATGGTTTAAAATATACGTACGTATTAGGTACCTAATTTTAATAATAATAATTATTAAAAATATAATAATTGAACCAACAAGGATTTAATTTTTAAATAATATAATATTTATTAAAAATATAATTTTAATAATAATAAATATTATTATTAATATGTATTATATTTTTAAACAATTACAAAGCCCGCCATTAATTGTTAATGTTGTTAATTGCAAGCTTTCGCGAATCGCGGGCTACTTTACCGGCTTTATTCAGAGATTTTTTCGTGCATCAATACGCAAATTATTCTTGTGTCGTGAAAGTTAATATTAAAAATAAATTAGGTAAGTAAACTTAAAACCCGTTAGTTACTGTTTTCTTAACGAAAACATTGTAAATAAATACAACAAAATCAGGAGAAAGTGAGGTTATAATAAAGTTTGTTATTAATGAAATTTACATAATTGGAGTAGATAAAGCATAGTATTACACTCGAGATAATGCGCATTATTAACTCGTGGGTAATAGGCTGCATTATCTCTTGTATAATAATATACTATTATTTTTAATTTCCTTTATTTGTTTTTAGGTCATCTGCTGAAAGCAGAATACTTCAAGAGCTTGCTAAAGTTCTGCCAAATCAAAGGTAAATATATACTATAAATACTGTTGAAAATGCAGGTATTCTAAAACTTAACCTGAATTATTTCTCTTAGGGAAATTCTTCAAAGCTTTGTCAAACAGAATTGATGCTTTGTATGAGGGGACCAGTTTTGACGCAAAAATTTCCAGCATCCAACAGTTGAAGGGATTTCCATTGAAAAATTGGGCAGAATTTAACCAGTTCAAGTCCAGTGAAATGAAAGAAAAAGTCTGGTGGGTTGAAATATCGTCAACCTAATATAACAAGGTTGTATGTTAAAAAAAACGAAAAATTTAAGTCTATGTGTCTACAGGATTATACGTGGCCTACGCTTCACATACCACTTAAAA